GTCTGAGAACGACGTAATACTGACTTCTCTTTTTTGGTAACAGTCCATGAGATGCGCGCCCCTCTCTCCTGAGATCTAGTGAGGCCTGGGGGGCGGGAGGAGCTGTGGGTGGGACACTGTACCGTGTGACATCGCGATCATGCAGCCGGTGCCGACAGGACAGAGGGGTGAGACCGAGGCTCGGGGCGTGAGGGCTCTGGGTGGCCCCCCGGGGAGCAGGCAGCTCGCAGGGAAGTGCCCGGCACTCAGGAACATGGTCCAGTTCCAGCAGGGCCACCTCCTGGGGCCGCCATCCCCTCCTGGCTTAGCCCTCGTCCTCCCGCAGCTCGGTGGGCAGGAACTTGTACTGCTGCTGGCGGATCTGGGCCAGCTTTTTCCGCGCTTCTTCCAGTTCTCGCTCTTTCTTTAGCATTTCCTCCTGGGCAGCGATGATCTAAAAGGAAAGGAGCGATCCGATGACCCAGTGCGTTCTAAGACGCCATCCTCCGCTCTGAGTCACAGCGGAGCACCCGGGGCACGGTGCTCAGCCTGACACTGGGGCTCTGCCCAAGGCTGGGTTTTGAGGCCAGTGACCCAGCTGTCCCAAGATAACAAACTGACTCTGCGCACAGGATTAACAGCGGCCATGTACTGCATCCTCCTGCCCATCACGGTCCGGTGTGAGCACTGCTCACGGACTGCCTGTCATCTTCCCGGTTATACGTGAAGCGCATCTACTGAAGTCCTACTTCCCAGTAGGGAACGGGAAGCTGAGAGGTGTGTGGGGGGCACCACTGGAGTCACTCATCCAAGTGCAGGAGGCCCTGGCTCAGGTGTGCTGGAAGCTGACCTGCTGCCTTCACCCCTTAGATGACTTCTCTATCTAGTCAGCCCTTGGTATGGGTGGCTGGTTCCAGGGTGCTGCCTCTGGAGGATACCAAAATCTCAGGGTGCTCAAGTCTTTTACTTAAAATGCCACAGGAGGCCACGCATGGTGGCGCACGCCTGTAATCCCAGCACTCAGGAGGCTGAAGCAGGAGGATCATTGCGAGTTTGAGACCAGCCTGGGCTACAGAGTGATCTCAAGGCCAGTCTGAGCTGCATAGTGAGACCCTGTCTCAAAAAGACCTAAAAAAAGAAGCTACAGGGGCTAGGGAGGTAGCTCAGTGGTAGACCACTTGCCTAGTATATAAAAAAAGGCATAGTATGTGCGTATGACCTATGCACACCCTCTTCTATCTTTAGACAATGTCTAGATCACTCATAATGCTGAACACAATGTAAATGCTATGTATTTATTTATTTTGGGGGGTTTTTTGGTTTTTTTTTTCTGGTACTGGGAATCGAACTCACGACCTCTTGCTTGCCAGGTAGCGGCTGTGCCACTGAGCTAAATCCCCAGCCCCTATAAATGCTATGTAAATTGTTGCTATGCTGGATTTTTTAGGGAATAACAACAAGAAAAAATTCTGTACATGTTCACTGCGGGTGCGGTTTTTCAACCCATGGTTGACTGAATCTAAGAAGGTGCAGCCTTCGGACAGATCCAGAGGGCAGACTATATTCCATGTTTCTAATCTGTGATCCGAGGAATACTAGCTACAGTAACAGGTACTGTGTGAAAAGGGTCAGTTTGTGTCTAAGAAAGCCAAGTAAGTTCCTTTCCCGTGGGCCTTTTCACAGCCTTTGGTAGGCTAACAAGCACCGTGACCTGGTGGACTGCCTGTCCATCCACACTGACAGCGGCATTTTCCAGGTTTATGTGACCAGAGGCCCTTCCTTAGGGAACTTCTAATGGAAGAGTGCGTTGAGAAATACATTCTAGGGCTGGGGATGCAGCTCAGTGGTAGAGCGCTTGTCTGTCCTGATACTGCTAACTCCCCCTCCCGCAACCCATTCTAGTGACAGGGCATCCGGGCCACAGGCAAACACAGGGAGCAGCTTGGGAAGATGTCAAGCAAAGCACGGGGAATGAGGAACTTCAGGGCTCCTGGTGCCGATGGGAAAAACCGTCTCATATAATGAATCTACATTCACATACAGCAACGACTGTGAAACCAGTTTGCTGGAGTTTCTGCCTCCCTCATGCACGAGCACATAGTCAGTCCTATATATTCTCAGAAAAGTTCTGGCAGAGAGAAGCCTTCATTCTGTTGGTGGGGGCCAAGGGAATGGAGTGGGCAGCAGCTCTGCACACAATTTTATTTAAATTCATATTAACACTGCTGTGCTGCAATTTCTGTTCCTCTCTTTTCTTACAGCAGAATCCCTGATTTTGAGTGTCTCATGGCTGTGCAGAAAAGAACACTACATTTCCCAGCCTCCTGTGCAGCTACGTTGGCCATGTGACCGAGTGTTGGCCAATAGGACTCAAGAGGAAGTGATGTATGCACCTTCAGGGTCACTCCCTCCCCACCTTCCCCTCTTCCCGATAAAGACAGAAAACCAAGGTGGCAATTAAGCCACCCTGGACCAAGTGGCCAAGGGCAACATCTCAGCCATCTTGGAGTAATAAGGCACATGGAGTCCTGGTCTCTGATACAAAAAAACCATCACATCATTCCTGTACTGCTTATACCTGGACAGTTACCTAAGGGAGATGTGAATTCCCACCTTGTTTAAGTCACTCTGTCTTGTGTGCCTGTTCTAGCACAGCACTCAGCCTGGGAGTAGACACACTTCTGGGCTTCATCACTAACCTGAGCAATGCCCCCCACAAACTTTGTTTTCACCACGACATCATCATCATCAGTTTTGCCAAATGCCGCCTTCTGGGCTGCACGTACGAGATTGTCTGAGGCTCTTTTCACAGCATTTCCTGCTGCCTGGAGAGGGGATAAGACATGCATTGCATCGTTAGCCACGGCATCTGGGTCTGGCAGGAATAGACATGAAGGCACAGTTCATGAGACCATGCGTTAATCTGTTATCCAACTGTAACACGGACATTCTCTCTAGCCATTTAGTCCCCATCTGTCTGTCCATTCATCCACCAGTTCTAGCAAGAGTGGCACCAACCTGGCTGCAGTTTGTTCCCCAGGGGAACTACGAGCACGGAACAAAGGCTGCAGCAATGTGATAAGTGTGCTCGGGAGCAGACCCTCCTATCCCAAATTCAGCACGTTTTAGGACTTGGCTCAGACATCCCTTCTTCCTGTCTCCTTGGCCCTGCCCTCACACTCCTGTCTGTACTCCTCAGTGCTCAGTGCTGGCTTCTCTGCAGCCCTCAGCACACCTGGGCTTGCCTGACTCTCTCCTGACAGTGGTGCCTTGGGGAGAGGGGCAGTGACTTGAGTTTTTGCACCCCGCACTTGGTGCAATGACCACCCAGAGTTAGCAGTCACTGAAAATGTCCTGATGGGACGAAGGAGTCTCAGCACACACGCAACGGTGTTCCATCCCTGTATGGCTCTGGGGACTTGTTCTTTTCCAGCTAAGATCTGGAACTTTCTCCTAATGGTGGTCAAAGCTACATTAATGTGCTATATCCCTTTCCCAGCCCGCTACCCTCAGTATCAAGAGTTTGTGCTTGAGGGTTAACCGGGGAAAAAATTAAGAATTCTTCTCAAAGTTAACTGGCCCACCTGTTTGGTGACCTACAGTGACCACCAAGGATTACGAAGGCTCACACACGAAGGGAGAAAGAGGTCCACTAAAAAGTGGCAAGGAATTGTCATGTGCTGATGCTACAATCGGCTCCATGCACTCAGAAGTCATGAGCCCACCTTTCTCATGTGGAGACCGAGGTTAAGGAACGTGACTAAGGTCTGTGGTTCCTAAGTTATAGAGCTAGGACGTGACGTGAGGTCTGCCTAGCTCCGGAGAACTCTTGAGTCATGTGTGAGGGACACAGCCACGACCCTGCGTGGTGTTAATGGCTAACCATGCTCACAAGCATGGTGTGGTGTTACATCTGTATAAACTATTAGGGCCTCCCAAAGCCACTTTTGTATCCACTGGCCTATCTGACCCTTAGAAAAGTCCATGTGGAGACTCAGCGGGGTAGGCGCCAGGAATGCCCTTTGGGACTTTCGAATACAGTCAGAGTTCTGGTAGAACTGTCTAAACGATTTTACTCATGACCTACATCAGTGGTGGCAAACCTACGGCACATGTGCCTCAGCGGGCTGTTTGGTATCGTTGAAAGCTTGAAAAGATTCGCCATCACTGACCTACGTAAACACGTCTTTTAGCCATATAAACGATTTACATTAGACCACTAAGAGTGATAAAATTCCAGAAAATTGGAAACGAACAAAATGCTTGAAGCACAAGGGGATCTGGGACAACTGGCTGATGTAATACCATGCGATCATTAAAAACGAGACTCGGGAATAGCAGAGCCTTGTCTTTAAGGAAAAAGACGATGACGCGTTACGTGGGAAGAAAGCCGAATGCATCCTGCTATGATGACAACCAGACCAAACCGTCTTACAGAGAGATTATCACAGGAACTGAGGACAGTGAGACACTGGATGAGTGAGGGGACTGTGTGATTTATTTTTTCTTTCTTTTTTTGGGGGGTGGGGAGGAGGAGGGTTTTCCGGTACTGGGAACTGAACTCACGACCTTGGGCTTGCCAGGCGGGCGGTGTGCCGCTGAGCTAAATCCCCAGCCCCTTGATTATTTTTTTTCATTCAGACATCTCCTTCACTGTGCCTAACATGTTTATCTAATGAAAACAATCAGAAGAATGTCATGCACTGACTGTCAGGTTCATAAATGTGCTCTCTGGCCCGGGGGAAGCCTAGGGACGGCTTCCAACCTGCTCTTTGCTTTCACTCCCTGCTGGGGCCACACGGAGGACCGAGAGCCCCCTCTGTTCTAGGGCCTTGGGAGGTAGGAGACGCCAGGGCGCAGATGTGTACCTAAAAAGCTCCCAGCTTGTCATGGACAGACATAAAGTGAGCAGTGGTAGCACGGACGGGAAGCTGAGGGTGGTCAGGTCAGGGGCTCTGGCGGGACAGGGAAGGGGCGGAGTGACCTGGACCCGGGGGCCGGGAGTGTGTCCTACAAGAGGTGACTCTGAGGCAAGTCCCAAAGAAGAGCAGGAGTTGGCCAGGGTGGGCTTGAGGGGAGGGGGCCAGGCCATCCTGGCTGGGTGCGGGCCCCAAGGTGCGGGCCCAGGAGGACAGGTGGAGACACGGGTGTGGTGGGCAGCAGATGTGAGATGCGATACAAGAGGCTGAGGATGACGCTGGACGGTGGACAGAACTGGCTGATGGAGGGCCGGGGGGTCATGCCAAGGAAGTGAGGCTGCCCCCTTTGGCGACACTTACCCGCTCCAACAGGAGTATTTTCCCACCAGCATCAGTGACCATTACCTGTAGCCGCCTCATGGCCTCTGAGTCCTGGTCGGCTTTCACCTTGCAGGCCACGAGCAGCTGAGCCGTGGAAGCCGCGACCTGCTTGGCGGATGAGATGAGCTTCTCCTCGCTGGCATGGCCCTGGACAGAGGCATTGGCGGCCTCACAGAGGCTGCTGGTCGCAGCCGCCACCATCCGGGCCTGAGAACAGTCAACAGAGAGGTGACCCACGGCCCAAACCGCCCTCAAGGAACCCACAAAGCCATATAGAAGGGAGGAGAAGGCGACTCACGGCAGAAATCAGCCCCTGTGACCACTGTCCATCATCCGCAGCGTTGGCAGGGATGGAGCCCACCTGGACGGAGGGGTAGAAAGTTGCGGTGACGGCTGGCAGTCCAGGGGGAACCACACACCCTCCCCACCCCGGCACCCAACATGCGGCAGCCTCTCCATGATCTCACAAAGGCGCTGGCCCGAGACTGGGGCATCCCTTTCTCTCACGAGACCCTGGCTACAGCAACATGTACTGCACACCCCAACGAAGCAAAAGGGATACGCAGAGTGGCCCCTGGGGTGGCCAGGCGCCACGCTTCCAGGAAACGGCGTGGGCACGGAACTTTGGGGCATCTTCCCGTGCTTCCTCCATCTGTCACCTTTCCCCACTTTAAAGTGAGGAGCCTACGAGTGTCACTCTTGTAGAGATTGAAGGAAAACTCCAATCTCTCCAGGTAACTGACCCTGAGAGTTGTGCTGTGATTTCTGACAGATACTTTACAGAAGGGCGGGTACTTCCCTGTGTACACTTGGATACAGACCCTTGTCTCTCAGAAATACAGGTTACTGTGTCAGGGTGGGGAGAGAAAAGAGAGAAGGCAGGTAGGAAGAATCTTTGTTTCTGCTTAGAAATCATGGCAACAAGTAAGATTTCCTCTGCAGGTCTAGAGAGTACTGTACAGCTATGGGAAGAAATGCCTCTGTGCTTGGGGGTGGTATCTGCTAGGGGGAGAAGAGCTTCTCCATTTGAAAACGAAACTGGGGATCCATCTGCAATTACAGGTCTCTGCTGGATGTCAGGTAAGACCCCAAGGTCCGGCATATAACCGTAGACTTCACCTAAGATCAGCTGAAGCTCCTTCACCACTGTTGAAACAGTTTGAATGCATGGGTTCCTTGGAGGACAGGAAATCCGCCATGCCCAGCTACCAGCAGATTCTCTAGTACCTAGCAATGTGTCTAGCACATAGTCAGCCTTTTCTTAAGGCGGAAATAAGCTGGTATTTTTAGGCACGGTGTTCTGTTCAGCGATTTATTTGTGGTCTTTATACAAGGACCAGTCAACAGCTGGAGAAACATGCATCACAAGATGAGGACCCTGCTCATCTACCCGGGGTTAAACGAGAAGCAGAGAGAGACAGGTGCGCACGGCAGGCGGGGAGAGAAACACACGACTGTGCTGAGTCAGACACCGCACGATGGCTTGGCAGGGAGAGCCAGAGCGTGTGGACTGGACTCAGCGTGGCTGAGTCCACAAGAGACGTTTCTGGGGAAGATGCACGGCCTGTGGTCCAGCATAACTTCTTGTCTGCACTACAGAACACAATCCTCTCTGTACACTGATGACAACGGCCTTTCAGTGTCGAACAGGAGTGACCGACAATGACAGTGACCGATTTCCCAGCCCCCCGAGCTTCCTGTAGCATCTCTATAGGTGAAAAGCACACAGACGCAGCTTGGATAGCACGGCCCCACACTGTACGGGGATGACAGGGCACATGGCACATTATAAACTGGAACACTTCCACATCCAGAGTTACTCCACTGTACCACTCAGCTTTTGAACCCTTAAAAACAACTGCTTTTATGCTAATGCAGACAAGACGGGTGAAAGGAGACAAAGTCGACTGAAGCAATCTTACATTTAAACTTCCATCGGTCTTCTGACCAACAGCTCAGGAAAGCACTCACTGTAGAGTTGGACAGCATTCAGCTCAACCCAATGGGGCCACTTGGAGCTGGAGAGTGGTATTATAAGGCCCCTGGTTCTGCTGCTTATTGGGTTGTTCAACAGGAAACTATGTCAATTTATATCTTTAAATAGCCTAATGTACAGCGGGAGTGTAAGTGTCCTGTTCAGGCCCTGATCACCGCCTGGAACCGGGGGCATGCCTTAACAAGAAGCAGATGAGAGGCCCAGGAGCCAAACGTCTCATTTAGTTGGCTGAGTCCAAGCAAATAGAGTTTCTGTGGTTGGGGCAAAGACCGGCAACCCACAGGGAGGCCCAGCACGCATGTCCTCGGTCAGGCCATTGTCCTCCTCTTCTTCCCCTGGGAGGCTCGCCCTGCGGCAGCGCTCCATCCCTCGCCCACCCGCTGCGCTCACCTTTCCTTGGGCCACCAGCTCCCTCTGGGCTGCTGAGGCAGATTTGACCAGGGCACTTGTGGCAGCAGCAATGGACTTAGCAGCTTCCAAGATCTGTTCTTCAAAATCCAGCGTCTCATCTGCTTGCTATAATCAAAAGAACACCATGTCATGTGCAATTCGTAGCCATACCGGGCTCTTCCTGCCAGACTACTTACTGCTTGGTCACCTGGCTCTTCGTCTGCCTACGGCTTTTGGTTGACAAAGCGCACCACCAGGTGGAAAGGCCTAAGACGTCAGGACTCCTCCCATCCGCTGCCTCCCCTCCACCCACTCTAGAAGGTAAAAGGCTTTAGCAGCGACATCCTACGCAGATTTTAAATCAGGAAGTGCTACAGACTATTTTTCTCCAGGCTAGCATCTTCAAAGAGACCTCAGTTCACAACAAGTAAGACCTATTTAAACGGTTCCAGCAGCATCAGATAACTGATAATCAAAATTTTAAAAGTAGCGAGCGGTGGCATACTCTGCCAGAGCTCAAAAAAACAAAACAAACAAGCAAAAAAAAAGGGTTGAGGAAAGGAAAGATGGTTATTAGTTCTGAAAAGTCTTATTTTTTCTTGGGCAAAACCAGAAACAAAATAGTGTTTGCATTTCTGTGGCTGAGCACACAAAGTGTTACGTAGCAACCACAGATAGCCAGTGGTAGAAAAACAAGGCAGCGTGACATCCGGAGGGAGCTGTCCAGTCACCGGACACCACTGTGTGCCTGTTGCCTAATTTCACCACCAGCATGTCCCCTGCTGCTGAGACAACCAGAAAGCTGGGAAGGAAGCAGCTTTGGGGAAGCGGGCCAAGGGTAAAGACCATGGTCCCCGGCAGGGTGGGGTGGTCAGACCGTATGACCTCCGAGGTCTCCTGAATTAACATGCTATGACGGTAAGTCACTTTGATTAGGCTGTTTTTGCTCAAAGAATGCTGAAGATATGGCCGGTACCTTTTAGGCATTCAGAGAAAATGATGACACATAGCAATGCTTGTGTGATAAAATATACATAGCATCAAATTTATCCTTTGAACTGGTTTTAGCCATATGAATCAGCGGCCTGAAGGATATTGACCATGTTGTCTAATAGTACTGCACTTTTTAACAGTACCTACTATGTGCTAGGTATTTCTGCCAACACTGACTTATGTAATTCTCACAAAGAAAAAGAAAAAAGGAAAAAAAAAGAAAGCCACACTGAACCTTATTTTTATAATGAGAAAACTCAGATTCCGGGATGAAATCTTGGGTCAAAGGTCATGTGGCAGTATGAAGAACACAGACTAGAAACTAAATAAAAGTCTGATTTTAAAATAAGGTGCTTTTACTAGCGTGAGCCACTTGGAGAACATCAGTGAGAAATGACTAAGTGCCTGGGGTTCACAGCCAGCCTGCTCAGGGCCCACAGGAAACCTTCGCTAGGACAGGACGCAATTCTTTTCCAGACTCTGATTCTTAATGGCCGTATCTTAAACCACAAGGTGCCAATCTTTTAAAAATACCTCATATTGATAAAATAAAATGCCAGTGTAGAACAAGTGGCTGTGAGAAGAGACTGCAGCATTTTGTAAGTTCCAAGACAGAATTTGTACAGACTTTTCTTATTTCTGACACAGTGTTGCTCAGAGAATATTCAAGAGTAGAAGTGGACTCATCTTTCCTGGATTCGTGTTGGGTTCATGGTGTATAGAATTAGCTTGCTGAAATACAAAAATGTCTCATTATAAGACACTGTCATAACAGGGGCTCTTATGCACAGGCCCCGCTGTTATCTTACACTCATATATAGAATTATTCTGATTATATATATTTGAAGTCTGAAAACTATGATGAATATTTAAATTTTAAAAGAATTACAGTGAAAAGTCACATTGCCATCATCCTCCTGAAGAACGCCTCCTTCCTTTGAACACACTTATCCCATTGTCTTGCCACTTTCTGAAGCAGGTCTGCAAGTCCTCTTTCATGAGTGTCTTTAGTTCTGCTGTTGGGATCGCCTTGATATCCCGAACTGATTCAAAAGGTTTCCCTTTATTTTATTTTACCTTTATTTGGGGAAGAGCCAGAAGTCACGCAGTGCCAGACCCAGTGAATAACACCCTGATTTTTTTTATGAGCCTGCCTTTCTGCTGGATGGCACTTGGCAGCAGCTTTAATTGTATTTTTGATCATACCTCATAAAGACAAGAAAGAAGACTTCTGCAGCTGCTTCAGAAGGTGGCAAGAATGACGGGGCATGTGTATTTGAAGCGGGGTACGCTAAGGGGATTAACGGCATTGTGTCTTGTACTGTAGGAAATTTTAAAATTTAAATATTCACCACACAGTTTGATCACCTGTGTGCATGTGTGTGTATATTTAATAGCCTGGCAATTAAGAGCTTTTCTAGAAGTTTCTTCTGCAAAAGGAAGTCAGGTGCACCACAGATGAAGTCAGCAGAGATACCACAGAATTTCTGAGTGCAAAGGAAGCGCCTCCACGGTCACTTCTGAAGCCTCCCGGACTCCTGTCTTGGGTGGCCTCAGCTGCAGTTGGGGCTTCAAGCCGGAATCCACTTTATAACACCAAACGCAGTATCATCAGATTTCCAGTTTCCCAAATTTCAAGAGTCACAAAGATGAAATTTCCTTAAAATTAAATGCCAAGCTGTAGCATGGAGAGATCTGAGATAATCATCTCAGCGCAACTGATTTGAAGAGCTTCTCCCACGTTTTCCACTGCCTGGAGATTTTTTTTTTTTTTTTTGTAAAACACATGTTTAAAATAGATATTCCACTTGGAAATATTTTTGACACCCACAGATTTTTCTGGCATTGGCAACCATCATGATGTTCTTTGATGGATTCCTACTTTTCCTGCCATCTCTATGCTTTAAAGCAGACAGAGCACAAAGTTTTATCTGCTCCAGACAGAAAGTCCTGCAGTCCCTTGAGAAAGGCTTCATAAAGTCTGGTGGCAGCAGGTTCAGAGGTTGGATGTGTACATGCTGCGGGCCTGGGCAGGGTCCCACCATGAGCACTCCCGCCTGTCTGCCGGAGCCTGTCTTTCTCTATGCCAGGGTCACCTTAGGATGAAATGCCCACTGTGTCTACTTCTCCTGCCGTGTCTACAGCAGCAGTTACTGTCTCCTCACGCCAGGCATCCTCCAGCCTAAGGGAAAACAGGATCTCCTGAAGCCCAGCAGAGCTGGTGAAAGGCCTAAGCACCCAGCCAGTGTCCCGTGACTTCCAACTCCCACCAGCCTGAGAACGGAATCTGGGAGGAGGAAGAAAACCACAGGACGGCGAAAAGGACAAATGTTTCACCACACTGTGAAAAGAGGACAGGCTTGGTCTTCGAAGGGCTTTTCCTACATGAAAGTACCACACTCGGAATACAGGCCGTGTTAACAGAACAATTCCCACTGGAGCCGGGAGGTGGGCATAAGCGCAGCAACGTGGAGCTGCTCCAAGGAGGGAACCTGCAGATCAGATCAGGTGCCACCACCCTCCTGCTCTGGGCCCCTCCTGAGCTCTCCCTACATCCCCGGAGAGGCTGACCTTCTCGGCCTTTGCAGTGGAGGTATTTCACAGATCTGCCCAGGGCAGTCAGTTCTGCCTCTCTGGCTTATAGAAGGGAAGACAGTGAAATCTCCACTCCTCAGTATTTTCTCCCAACAATGGGATCATGTAAAATCATTTCGATGATTACAGTAGCTTTTTAAAGACTGTGACTAATGCTATGTAGGAGGCCATTTAGATGTCTTTATAACTACTGGCATCAGGTGAAGGTGATTGAAGCCCATAGCTATAAGGAGACACAGGCTGCATTTAGCTCTTGCCGCAGAATCACCCAGGTGTCTGGTGGAAGATGCAAATTCTGCTTCACTGGGTTTGGGTGAGGCCCAGGAACCTTTCTAAGAGAGGTGGTTGTGGACGACTTTGTGAGAAACGCCACCTTAGACGAGGCAAAACAAAACCCAGTTAGCCGAATCTGCTCTAAGGCACATGGGTGTTTCTCTAGCACAAAACCTCAGGCAGAGGAACCTATGTGATGAATGTTTGTTGAATGAATGTATCCATTCAGAAGGAGCCTCCCAACTTCCAGCATGGGTCCAGGGACAGGTACACGGCAGGAGAAGACCCACCCGGAGTAAGCACCTGTATTGTTCACTGTCCACTTCTGGGCACTGGGATCTGGTGCACACACAGTGACCAGCAGGCTCCTGGCCCGTTTAAGGCACGGGCTGTTCACTGTACATGTCACTTTCACGTCACTTGCTAGCTAGCAATTCATGGCTTGTGACATTTGGTCACGGACACAAAAGTGCGGACACATAGCATTTTACCAAGAAACGCTCTTCTGTAACAAAATGGCAGTAGGAAAGGGTTAACAGCTACAGGAAGCACCTACTCTGCCTCATGAGCAGCCGCCACAGCTGCTCTCTCAAGCTCTCATCCTTTGGTGCAAGGTCCCTTTCCCCAGGCCCCTCCACTCACAGGCCTCCTGGCAGGGCCGTCACCAGACCTTTGCCAGCGTCTTCCCTGGCTTGCCTCGCAGGCCCTAGCCTAGGGGAACTTCTCCCTGCCTGGGCTTTTGTGCAGCTCCCAGAAAGGTCGGCCTGCCCTTCTGTTGACGGTTTTCCTGCCTGTTGATCCTCCGCAGGACAGAACTTTTTGGAAGAAGTTCCTCCCGGGAAAGGCCACATTTTGGGTTGGACCCTTTCCAGCCTGCTTTCCAGGCCCAGGAGAGCATCGGAGGCCCTCGCTTCCCCACTTCCTCAAGTTTCAGGAGCTGGAGGTCTCACTGGGCTCAGGGGGAAGCAGTCAGGAGGGGGCAGAGGGAGCCTCTCCTCATTTTTTATTTGGTTTCTGGCCTTTCAGGGACTCTGAGAAGATAATCTTTGCAGTGACTCATCCTCCTTCGTTCCCTCTTACCCGTGTGACTTGGCGTCAGGAGAAAACGATTTGTGTATTTAAAGGGTGACTGCCTCCCAGGAGATGCTCAAGACGATTAGTACTTCATCTTATTATTATTTCTACTATTACACATTTTTGTGTGTGGTTTTCAAAATTGCTTTTCCAGCTTTGGGCTGAGCTAGCTGGTGTATCCGTCCCAGCCCTGTGAGATACTCACAGTTCTAGGCAAGCACCCCGCCACCAAGCTACATCTCCAGCCCTTTGGTTCTAATGAAGAGTCTGCCTGCCATTTCTCCTTACCACTTACTGACAAATAAAAACACAATTCCAAGATACAGGAAGTGTCAAGGGACACACAGGACAGACAGACGCTGTTCCTGCATCTCCCTCAGCAGATGACCAGGCGCTGGACAGACAACTTGGGCACTGGTCCCCACCTGTACTGTCGGACAGGTGACTTCGGGTCTGCACTGCCCTTTTCCAGATACCAGTTCTGCTTGTAACATGAGGAACAACTGCACTCTCCTACTGCAGCTCACACAAAGCACAGTTGCTTATTACATTATTTTAGATGGTACCGGCTAAAATAAGCAGGAACCGTTTTCTCTTCCGCCCTCCCCGCTGCTGTGTCGTTGCTGACTGTCCTCTTCCAGCCACCCCGCTCCCTCATGGCCCCTGGGCAAGTGCTGGGCACAGGGAGAGCATTTCCTTGTGTGGTACCTCTCTGTTGCTGCAACCCTGCCTCCCTCAACACCCCCAGGGCGAGAGGGACCAGCAGGAGATGGCCCAAAAGTCACAGCCCTGACTTCTGCCTCCTTCCTCAAAAGCCTGCACCGAGGCACTGGTCATCGACAGCAAGACTGTGCATGCACTGCCCTTTTCTGGTAGCCTTCTGCATGGACCACGAAGCAGCTTATGATATCACCTCCCGTTAGGGTTGTGCTTCTCCCTGTGACTGAAGTCTTCTGGAAGGCTGGCTATTGAAAACAAGACCATACCGACTGCATCACAAACAAAATATAATGCACTGGATGTAATTTATCTTGTAAAAGCAGGAACATTTTGTAATTTAAATGTTCTCAAGGGGAAAAGGAGGTCAACATGGACTGAGCAGGTGGCAAAGTTTCTCCCTTTTTTGCAGTAGGTTCGGCTACCAGCTTCCGGTTTTGAACCCAGGGCCCTGCACATGGTAGGCAAGTGCTCCACCCCTCAGCTATATCCTCAACCCCCAAGTCACTAACTTTAAAACTGAAGATCAGGACAAAAGTGAACGAAAAATGAAATGTACATCTCCATATGTTTGGAGGTTATAATCCTGGCCTTTATCCCATGTCATAGACATGAGCTGGAATCTTCCATTTATTTTCCCGTCAGGCATTACCTTAAGGACTCCTTCCTTTATACAAACGAGCTGCACAAAGTATCTCAAGTTCTTAAGAAACATCAATAATCATGATTTGTTTCTATAATAAACAAATAATCTAGCAATACTGATGCAGGTCTCCAACGCTACAGGAAGAAATGAAATACAACATAACGAAAGGCAGTGAGCACTCCGTCTTCTAAACCTACTTGTGAGTTTAACACGTTCTTTCCTGTTGCCTTATAAACTCTGTTAGGAACCCCCGGAGAAAGGGCAAGACACTGTAGGAATATGTTTGATATATAGTTGGATTAAATAACAACCTAATATATCAAACATATCACACAGAGGCCTGCAGAAAGGCATCCAGGGTTGACCGGGCTTGAGAATAGGCACAGTACGGCTGCAGGGGGTGCTCACCAAGGCGCCCAGCCTGTCTGTGGAGCCCAGGTCTGCCTGCAGGTGTGGTAATGGCGGCACGAGCGACGCTATGGCACATGCGTGCCCCGGAGCTCCAGACAGTCTCATCTCGCCCTGACGCCCTTTCCCCAAGTGAACCCTGGATCCAGCAGTGCATACCTGTCCGTCATTCATCTCGGGGAGACTCCAGGGGAAAGGAGATGGTTATGTGTTAAGGGCCTGAGGTGGGACTACACCAGAATTACCCTCGTGAACTACTTTCTAACAACAGGCAACTGGAGAAAGCAGTGACATGAGCTGAGCAGGAGAAGCAAAATCACTACCTTCCCCCAAAGTGCTCATCAGTGACGCTCCCCAGTAGTGAAAAGGAGACGCTCCCAGGCATGTGCGTGTGTGTGCACCTGTGCAGCGGGGCGTGGGAAGCTGCAGGGACAGGGATGCAATAGCGATTATTTACTTATGGTACCTGGAGGGAAGTTTTAAGGTTACAGAAGAGGATGAAGAGAGAAAATCAACTTCAAAATACTGGTTGGTACTGGAGTCAGATTGTTACTCTTTTTCAAACTAGAGCACTAAATTCCTTTATAATGGTAAGGTGGACATTTTATTTCATGTAAAAGTTTTACCACAGTGGATGGCTCTCCTAGACAGAAGCAAAAACCATGGTTTGGGTGGATGGATCCTTTAGAACAGTTCTACAGATAGTCCCCATGTGACAGGAACCCTGGTCCACCAGGAGGGGAACGTCAGACCATTGTAAAACGTTCTAGAAGTGCCAAGCATCTTTTTTAACATGAAGATAAGGTAAGGTGGCTGTAAGGAACGGCTCAAGCTGTCGGCAGTGCTAACTCTGACCTTCCCTGAAGGGCCCCTCCACTCTCCCGTAAACACCAAGGGTGGATGACCCCAGAGCAGAGCAGGGAGCCCTCACCCAGCTACGTCAGCAGTCATCACTAATTTCTGAAGTGCTACTACGGTTTTATAAAAACTTTAAACGCAGGCTTCTCCATCTTCCAAGTTCTACCATTGTCCTTGACCATTCTGCATTCATCGCCTTCATATGCAAGCATGTTTTTAGTCACAATGGCCAGCACATAAATGTGTATCAGCTCTGCCCTCACCATTCCAGGAGCATCTCCCTCATGCTACACAGTCCCAGCAACCATCACTCCTAACAGCTGTACCGCATTCCTTCAAGGAGACCTCCTGTCTCACTTTTTTTATTTTTTGTTTTCTTTTCCGGTACAGGGAATCGAACTCATGACCTTGTGCTTGCCAAGCAGGTGCTGTGGCGCTGGGCTAAATCCCCAGCCCCTCACTTCTCATCAGTACGAACAAGGCGGCAAGGAGCACCCCTCTCAAACACTCAAACACACACACACACACACACACACACACACACACACACACACACGCTCATTCTCCTCTTGGACTTCCTCCTCGGGACAACTTCCCAGAGATGTATTAACAGCTCAAAGGACACACGCAGAGCACAAAGGCTCAGGGACCAGACCAGCCTTCTCTGATGGCGTGGGCACATGAGGAATGGCATGGGCTGGGCCCACAGTCATGGCAGCCGCCCCTGGCAAAGGAAGGTGCCCGATTCCTCACACACATTTTACAAAGACCAGACAAGCTAACGCATGTGAAGTACCTGGAAGGCCGGCACATGCCTCGCACTGGGTCAGTGTGCCCCCTCTCCCCATCTGTGGAACGACTTTTATCTTGGACATTTTCTTAGCGTAAAGGTCCCAGAAGAATCCTGTTTTTAGTGAGTGAAGGTGACAACGGCGATGCAGTTACCATTTCCTGAGCTGCACTGTTTGCCAGACACTGTGTTCTCACGTTACCTAGTTATGCTGTATCAGCTAATTTAACTGTTTTAACAACATTTTACGGGGTAGCGACTCTAGTAACTTTGTTTTTGAATCAAGAATCACAAAGTTACTTAGTGACAGGCCAAGGAAATTGGGATTTAGAGACAGACAAGAGCTCAGCAGAGCAAAGGGACAGGAATAGGAGCTCTCAGAATACAGGAGAAGGTTCAGGATAAATCAGCACTGGCAGTGTAAAGCGGCCCAGACACCACTGCAGCTTTTCACTCTTATGGAAAGAAGCCCTGTGTGATGAACCAGGGAAGGGAGAGGAAAGGCAAGCACCGGAGCTCTGAATGACAGTCAGTGGGCGATTCTTGTACAATGTTCATTAAGTTGATTTACAACACAGAAACAAAGAGGTGATCAGAAAACAGATTCTTAGCTCCACATACATTCTTAGTTCTTCAGTTTAGAGGAAAAACTCGGAAAAATATCAGACAATTCAAGACCCTCAGGTCAGAGGCCAGCAGAGAGAACCCTGGTGAACCCTAAAATAAGACCTTAAATCTCTTCAATTACATCTTGATGAGAAAAATTGAAATACCTCTACCAAAGGTGGGGCGACAATCAGTAGACCAGTTCTGAGGACTGGAAGGTTTTAAGAATGTTCCCAACCTTCACAGACTCCGGCTTTGCCCATGACGTCTGCCTGGGCACCGCTGTGGGGCGGGCAGGTACATTTCAGTGCTCAGATGCTATCCTTCACCTCTTAAAAGTCAAGGGAGAATTTTAGGCTCACCTAAGCTGTGTGTGTGTGTGTGTGTGTGTGTGTGTGTGTGTGTACTCGCGTGTGCGCTCACATGAGTGTTCCACCTTTTTTTGAGGGAAAGAACCAGCTTTCATTTCTTCATGCACGTGGATCGGGGAAGGAAGGTCCGTTACGGGAACCAGTACGGACTTGCTCAACAGGGAGGTGACATCTGGTTTTGCATCTTTCTACTGAACACGGCCATGGGGAGTGCGGGGTCAGAGCTGCTTACCAGGGCAGCTCAATCTAAAACCATCTCTTTCTTTTCAATGTGTTTCTCAGGACATACCCTCTTAGTGATAACTTTTAAACATTTATCTAGATGACAATAGATGGAAAACACACCCGCTACCCACAGCCCCAGGATTCTCGCCGTTGGGGTCCCATTTTGAGGTTCACATCGCTCTCTGTTGATTCTAAAAAAAAAGGGACCCAGCACTGTGATTTCCCTGTAAAAGGCATAATGGAAACCAGGGAATTCGAGGCTCACAATCTCAGTACAGTCACAGAAACTTTTGACAGGAAGCGGCCACCACCTGCTTTATATAATGGAACTAAGTCAAGATTGCAAATGCCCGGATTTTCCCTCTGGATACCCAGAGGTATGCTTCTGGGTGCTGGTTTTTCTCTATGCAAAGTAAAAAGTGCTGGGCAGCCTGAGCAAGTTTACAGCCTGCTAGTTTAACCACGGGCAAGGAGAAGGCTTCCCCTGGCACCCTTCGCTCTGTTTCATAGCCACCACTGGGAGACCGACTGACACGACACAAGCACCCTCAAACGAACACTCACTTTTGGTTTTGCTCTTGGCTTCAGTTGCTCTAACTTCTTAGCAGCAGCCTCAATGGATGCTGCAGCCCCCAGTAATTCGGTTTCTGCAATGACGGTTGGGTCTTCTGGATCCACCCACTCTGTTCCTAAAATCAGTCCAAAAAAAAGGTCATTCCTGGTCGGTGCAGACCTCAGGGCCCTGACTTACTTATAACGTTGAAGGTCCCTTGGGCCTAGCACGCACTGTCCCAGGGGACCTTGTCTCCAGATCCCATAAGCGCCATCTGACGTGGGAGTAAGAGGAGAGCTAAGCTGGCTTTCTTAGCTGTGTGCACAGGCCTACCCACAGGAGCAGTGATTCACAGCAGCTGCAAAAGTCCCGATCTCGGGCCAGGGATATAGCTCAGTGGCACAAGCACCTGCCTGGCAAGCGCAAGGTCCTGAGTTCGATTCCTCATGGACTAGGGTTCAATCCGCCTCCTAACCTAAAGCTCATGAGTGGAAGTAACATCGTCAGGAGACTCATGGTCGCCCTGGTCCTTCAGGAACACGTGAGCGGGGCACCCTCTACCCTCTACCTGTAATACACGGGAAGGGGAACTGGCCAGAAAAGCTTCCCTGGTGAAGAGACTGCTTCTTTGTGAGCACAAAGGGTGTACACACCGCACACTCCGCATGGTTTCTACTCATGAGGGCATTATTTGAATGAGAATAAATATCTTGATGAATGAAAATGCATATAAATATAAATGGCAAGACTCGTAAGAGAAGCGAGCGGTTCTGGACAAATTATACCATTTAAGGAGAAATACAGTGGCACCTTGGTTCACGAATGTTTTTGTTTGTGAACAGTTTGGTTTGGCAAAATTTTGTTTTTGTGTGCGAACTCTACATCGGGTAACAGACATGACCCCAGCCGTCTTTCACACAGAAACACAAATGTGGCCATCTTCCAAAACTGTGCAACAGATTAAGTCTGTGGACCGAGGGACCACTGCACCTAATACAAAGGTTGGAGAGAACACTTACAGCAGGGTGAGGGTTCCTTTTTACAAGTAACTTGCTGTAGAAAGCACCTCACTGCAGTCCTGGCTGCATGTGGTCGTGTAGGCCTGTGCTGGCTGTGCTCAGCCCCCCTCAGAGCCCAGCCCCCCTCGGACCCCACCCCTGCACGACGAAGCGGAAGTGAGAGGATCTGGCCTACCTTTCATCGCTTCCGCTGCCTGGATGAGCTCAGTTACGGCGCCAGCCACTCGCTTAGAGAAAGCAGCCAGCTGATGCTTGAGTTCTGGGGTTGGTTTCTGAAGGATCTGCGGGTGGAGAAGTCACATGCATGAGGACTGTAGAACCACTGCACCAGGAGACACTTCCCCTGGAGGACAGAGAGTCAGGGACGCTGGTTCTCAGTTGCCTCTCTGTCTTTGAGTGACTTTAGGATCTTGGGGGAAAACACTCGGACTCACTGGGCTTAAGCACCCTCATGGGAACCATGAGAAGCAGGGAGCTGGGGGTACAACTAAGGTCCCTTCTGACAGTTCCTGATGAGGACAGTCCTCATCTGTCCTGTCTGCATGCTTTGTGTATTAAGTAAACATACACACATGAAAATTACCCAACGTACAACAACATTCTGAGCGAAGACAAAAGTCCCAGGCTCAGACCCACTGGGACCCGAGCCTAAGCAAATGTGGGACCAGACGGAAAAGTGTGACTTGGGGGGTCCTGCAGACTAAACCTTCACTCAGGCAACAGCTAGTGGTCAGGATTGTTGTTTCTGAACAAGCATCCATGCCTGGGGTACCGGCCACAAGCTCTCCTGGGAGGAGGCATGAGGGTGTGCCCTCTTTTGATCTGCAAATTTTTAAGATTTTTCTATCTTTTGCTTTTTTTGTGGTATTAAACAAGGCATTAGAACCTCTATGCTAGGCACTGCAGCACACACTTGTGATTCTGGGACTCTCGGGGACAGACTGAGGCTGGGAGACTGAGGCAGGACTATCACAGGTTTGAGCCCAGCCTGGGCAATTTAGTGACTTAGCAAGACCCTGCCTCAAAATAAAAAAGGACTAGGAAAGTGGCTCGATGGGAAGGACCTGGTTTCCATCACCAGTGCCAAAAGCCAACCCGCCCCAGCCCAGCTCTCTGAAGAGTAACAGCAGATAATTTTTCTCCAATAGCCCAAGAATAGAACTAAGAAAGGAGACGAGAGAGAGCTCCTCACCCTCTTGACCATGGATTTGAACTCTCACGTGCACCACGCTGTTTCTTTCTAACTTTGAACTTCTCTCCCATTTTCAGTGCTTCATGAGGGCAATCTCCAGATGCACGCACGTTAGGGCAGCCAGGGAAAGAGCGCAACTGCTGTCTCTGTGGAGTCTCAGAGCTGGACTTCGGGACAAAGTACAGACTTGGAAGTGGACAAGCCTGTGTTCAAACATGGCCTTGCTGGTTGCTGGTGAGTGATTCCTGAACCCCTCACAACCTATTTTCTCATCTGCAAAACTGGGATCATGGCTACCCTTAGGGCTTAGGGCTGCATAAAGATCAAATGGAGTAACAGCTGAGAAGTAGCTCACACAATGCCCGGGGCATGGGAGGCATTCAGGAAGGGCTAATTCCCTTCCCGGTTCTCCACACCTTTTTCCACCTGGGCAGGACAGACTTTCGTAAGAGTCTGAAAAGACGGCATTTGGACCCCAGGCCGAATCTTTTGCACCATGACATTAAAGGAAGCTTAGTAAAACTGAGGCTGGCTTGGGAAAGGGAAAGAAACTTTCAAAAGGAAAGAACAACTGGGATGAGGGAAAGGAGAAAAGAAAGGAAAGAAGGATGGGAAAAAGGATATATATACACAAGACAGCTATGTGTAATACTAATTTCTGTTGGTTTATTGATTTTTTTTTTTTTTTTTTTTTTTTTTTTTTTTTGAGACAGGGTCTCACTATGCAGTTCAGGCTGGCCTTGAGCTCACTTTGTGGCCCAGGCTGGTCCTGAACTTGCAATGATCCTCCTGCCTCAGCCTCCCGAGGGCTAGGATTATAGGCGTGTGCCACCATGCCTGGCTCTGTTGGTTTATTGGAAGGAATAGTTAATGCTTAATTTTTTTGGACCAATTTTGCATGCTTACATCTGGTAATCTGAACAACTACTTTTGAAGATGACAATATGCAATATAACAACTGTTGTTGATTTCCTATCATCTTGTTTTGAAATTCTGTATCTTTTTAATGTTTTATTTTTATTCTCTTTAAAAAATAACAACAACAAAAAAAGCCAGAGTTGGAGGAGTTAGTGGGTTTCACTGTGACCAGTCCTAGACGGACCACGGTGCAGATGACATCTATGCCATACAGGCAAATGGACCAGCTACTGGTTTTCAAGAATTACTTCACATTCATCTGTCCCTACCTTCCTTCCTCTAGTAAGCTTTTAAATTTATTCTATTTGCTACTGTTCTATGATTCCACCTGCTTTGTACTTTCATTCTCTCACTCAAAGAGGACGCACACGCGCACATCACTTTAGATTCTAGGAACTCAGTACAGACCTGTAAGTTTGCAAATGAACAAATAAGTGAAAAACAGACCAGCACCCCCTGGGGACAAGTTTTAATGTGACACTTTCAGGACCAGCTTCAAAAGAACACTAGAACCGTGGACAGGTGGAAAGAAGAAGGGTAAATGGCTTTGACTTTCTAACATGCCAGTGGGCAGGCCCCTTTGTGTCTTGGGTCTCTGTAAGCCTAGCCTCAGTTTGTTTATCTCTTAAATGGGCACAACCAAAAAAAAAATAAAAAAAAAAAATAAATGGGCACAACAGTCCTTTCCTTATAGAGCTGTAGTGAGGTTACATAAACAAGTCCATATAAAGGTATAGTAATAGAACTGCCCGGGTGCATGGCCTGGGTATCTGGGCTTTTTAAGTTCCTCAGGTGGTTCTCATAGCTCTACCTGTGTGAACCACTGTTCCAGACTCAGATGGTGGCAGATGCTTGTATCATTTTTATCTAAAACAACGTATGCTATAAAGACTCCAAGTGGACAAAGGTTATGGCTCAGTAGCCAAGCAGTCCACAGGCATCACTAAATGGCTTTTCTACAGAGGCTAACGTAAGGCGGGCACACTGGCATTTAACGGTGGAAGACTGAACGTCTTTCCCCTAAGATCAAGAATGAGGTGGGAATTTTATCTGCAGATGTCTATCAACATGGCACTGCATTCCTAGCCAGTGCAAAAGGCAAGGATAAAAAACCATACAGATGGAAAGGGAAAAATAAAGTGTGTTTGTCTGCAGGTGCCATGAACATCTGCAGAGAAAATTCTAAGGGATTTGTACGTCAAAAAAAAAATCAAACTCCTCAGACTGATGAGTTTAACAAGGTCATAGGATATAAGGTCAACACATGCACACCAATTACATTTCCAGATACTGGTAATGAAAAGCAGGAAATGAAAATTTGAAACAGCAGTATCATTTGTAAAAACATAAAAATTACGAAACAGCTAGGTTAAAAAATAGACATATAAGACCCAAACGCTAAAATCTCCAAAACATTTCTCTCCATTGCCAAGAAATATTAAACACCTAAAAAAGTATGCAGGGTATGCATGGGTCAGAAGAGTCAATATTAAGATGTCAGTTCTCCCAAATCAACCTATACGTGTGACACGATCCCAATAAAATTCCCAACTAATTTTTTTTTTAAATAAAAATTGACGAGCTTATCCTAAAATGTGTAATAAGTGTAAAGGAACTAGAATGGCTGATAGCATTTTGAAAAAGAATAGAGTTGTATGTCTTAACTTACCTAATTTCAAGACCTATAAAGACACAGTAACTGAGAACGTAACATTCGTAGATAGACATACAGATGATTTGAGCAAAAAGAAAAAGAAAGAGTTCCCTACAGATTTACATATATGGTCAACTAACTGTCAATAAACGTGCTAAAGCACCTTGAGCTCAGTAGGGATAGAATTTTTTCCCTCAACAAATGGTGTTGGATTAACTGGAGAGCCACAGGTAAGAAAATGAACCTTTACACTCTCCCTACATCATATTCATAAATTAACTAGAAATGCACAGCAAATCTAAATTACACTATATACAAGAAAAGGAAAATAATCTTAGTAATCCTAGGTTTGGTAAAGATTCTCAATAGGTGCCGGGCATGGTGGCGCACACCTGTAATCCCAGCACTTGGGAGGCTGAGGCAGGAGGATCGTTGCAAGTTCAAGACCAGCCTGGGCTAGAAAGTGAGCTCAAAACCAAAAAAAAAAAAAAAAAAAAAAATTCTCAATAGGTGACTGAAGGCAAAAATTACAGCAGAAATCAATAAACTGGACTTTATATAAGCTTTTGTTTTTCAATAGACACCATTATCCACAAAATGAAATGTGACTTAGTCATAAAAAAGGAATGAAGTTTTAATACCTGCTACAACATGAATGGATTTTAAAACCACTACACTATGTGGAAGAGGCCAGTCACAACAGACCCACATCGCAGGGTTTCATTTATATGAAAAGTCCAGGACAGGCAAATCTATAGAGACAGAGGTCTTGCCCAGGCCTAGGTGGAGGGTGGGGAGAATGGAGTGTGACTGCTAATAGGTGTGAACTTTCTTTATGGGTAATGAAAATGTTCTAATAACAAACTATGGTGGCAGTTACACAACTCGTAAGTATACTACACACCAGCAAGTTGTATACTTTACTTTTATTTTTATTTTGTTTTTGTTTTTTGTTTTTCTCTGGTACCAGGAACGAAACTCACGACCTTGCGCTTGCCAGGCAGGCGCTTTGCCGCTGAGCTAAATCCCCAGCCCCTAAGTTGTATACTTTAAACGGATGGATTTTATTGTATGTAAAGTGTATTTCAATGGCAACATTTAAAGACAGAGAATCAACGTGGCATCTAATATAAGAGAATGGGAGCTGGGCATGCTGGCGCACACCTGTAATCTCAGCACTCGGGAGGCTGAGGCAGGAGGATCATTGCGAGTTCAAGGCCAGCCTGGGCTACAAAGTGAGCTCAAGGACAGACTCAACTGCATAGCGAGACCCTGTCTCAAAAAAGACAAACAAAAACAAAAACAAAAATAAGTAAGAGACTGGGAAGTGGAAAATAACTCTCAAAATAACTTGATGACTTATGCAAATGGCGAAATTCAGTTCATCGCCAATGTTTTATATCAGTTCATCCTAAAGGCTTAATACCTGGGGAACGGCAGATGTCTTTGGATATTACTTTCATATTTACCCAAATTCTACCTGCATATTTCCCCCTTCAACACTGTCACTGTCTTTCTTTTTCTCCTTAGTAGTACACATTTGCCTCCCTTGCCACTCTGCAAGACATTATTATTAAAAGAAAACGACAAGGCACGCCCCGAGAGAAGCTAAAGAGCATGTATCCGACACAGAACGTGTATCCAGAGGTCTCTGGTCACTGAGACATGAAAGCCACCACCCACAACTTACAAGAGGTGAGGTCGGTTTGCCTCATGGGAGAAAGGGCACAGCAGAAGAACCAGAGGGGGGAGAACTGCTCACATTATGGTGGTCAGGAAGCAGAGAGAGAAGGCAGGGGCCAGAGAGGGAGGCCGCTTTCAGTTCATGCCTCCTGTGACCTGCCTCTTCCAACCAGCTCCCACTTCCTACCAGCATATTCCACTGTGGATTCCTCAGCGACCGATCAACTGATGCTTAAAGCGCTGCTAGGATCCAATCACCTTCCAAGTCTCCAACCCCTGAACACATGACTCTTTCGGGGTACATTCCAGATCCAAACCATAACATCAGGATGTATTCTAAAAGCTCAGTGAAACAGGAAATCCCCAAACAGGGAGAAGACCTTAGTGCCAAACAAGGTATACAAGCCGGGCGTGGTGGCGCACACCTGTAATCCCAGCACCCGGGAGGCTGAGGCAGGAGGATCGTTGCAAGTTCGTGACTAGCCTGGGCTACAAAGTGAGCTCAAGTCCAGCCTGAACTGCACAGTGAGACCTGGTGTCAAAAAAAAAAGACAAAAAAACAAGTATACAGAAGTGAAACAAGAACATAAAAAGATAACACTGTAAACTAAAATCAGAAGGTTATCCCTATGCACGTACTAGAATGGCTAAAAGTAAAACAGCTGACTCCTCAAGTGGGAACAAAGAAGCAGAGCAAATGGAACTCTCATCCACTGCTGGCAGAAACGTAAAATAGTACAACCAGGATGGAAAAGAATTTGGTAGTTTTCTTAAAAAGTTAAGCGGGCACTGACCCTTCATGACACTAAGACCTCTAAGTGAGAAGAAATGTATTCATTTCTTCCAAGAGAACTGAATATATCCTGATAGAAAACGTGTATATGAGTGTTCTTGAAAACTTTACTTGTAATAATCAAAACTTGCAAACAACACGAATGTCTAGCAACAAGGGAACGGATAGTTCATTATGGTTTTTTTGGTACCAGAGCTTGAACTCAGGACCTTGCGCTTGCCAGGCAGGCACTTGTGCTGCTGAGCTATATCCCCAGCTCCCAACAGGGGAATGGATAAACACATTAGGAGACATCCATACAATGGAATACTACTTGGTAATCAAGAGGACAAGTTATTGGTGATGCACAACAATGTGGATGGAACTGAAAGAAATCAGACAAAAAGTAGATGTTCTATGATTCCATTGATACAAAAGTCTACAAAAAACAGTCAGTAATACAAAGCAGATCAGTAGCTGCATGGAAATTCTGGGGGCTGATAAATATATTCATCACTTTGATTGTGGTGAAGCTGCTACAGATGTGTGCACTCATGTCAATACTCAAGCTGTGTACTTTCGATGAGTGTCGTTTATTGTGTATCACTTACACCGTACCAGAGCTGGAAAAATTTACAGGTGTGGCGGGAGAGTCACTTAAATCATCAAGGCAGAATGATTACATACTTCTGTCTCTAACACAAGAGCCCTTGAGTGGAGAAGGTACCACTTGGTGCACGCCGTGGTCCTCTAAGCACCCCGACCTTAGATAAGGTAGGAGGAAAGGAGTTCTATTTTTATCCTACCATTCAATCAACACAATTCCTACTAGCAGGCGAGAGACAGACCCAAATTTAGTTCTGCCAGCAGAAGTGAATTTTAACCCTTTTAGGGATCTCATAGTTTTGCAGAAATATTGACGTGTACAGCAAAGTAAGTGGCTGCTTCTTGCCCTGCAAGGATTTATGCTGCATTATACAGCAACTGCAGGCGGCCGACACCCCTCCACTGGGTGTCCCCAAAGCTTCCTTGAGCAGCTCCCAGGGTGACAGGGAGGTGGCTCTGCCTCCGTGAAACCCTGTATGTTGTCGAGAGGTGAACAGTTCTCGAAACACAGGACACCCCAGGCAGGGGTCTAGCTTCGGAGTCTCTACACTCCAAAGGGTTCCAACTGACCTTCTGGGTCTATGACCCCTCTACAGTTTACGGGCCATTCTGCACATCTGTGCTCCTGTTTCTCTGATGAAGGGGCGGGGCATTGGGAAGGCAGTGGTGGTGGCAGCAAATGGCCCAGGGCTTTCAATTAAGACCCACAAAAGTTTACGAATGTTAAAATCACGATACCTATTTGTGCCTACGTAGAGGAAAAAGAGAACTGGACTGGGAAGGATACAAAATTAGTTACAGACATATTTCTTTAAAATTAAGCGTCTGAAGCAAATACAATAGGTTAATTAACAAAGTGAGTTAATTATAGATAGTGGGTGCATGGTTGGTGATACTATTTTCTGTGTTTTTAAGCCTTTTTGAAAGTACTACTAGAATGCAGCACCTAGAAAAGGTGAAGAATCCTCGGCTCTAAGGTCTTTTATCTGAATAATGCTAAAACAGTGTAAGCTCACCAACATTTTTATGCACCCAAATTGAAGACAAGTTGTCCATTAAAGAAAAGCTCCTTGTATACCTTAGAATCAATTCCATTCTCCAGATGGGTGGATACTTTATCTAAACCTTCATTTTCTTTCCTAACCCTTAATTTCTAAGAGCATTCTTTCTCCTTTTATAAAAACTGGATGATTACCTGGCCAATGTTCAGCTTTCAGGGTTTTACCTATTCTCTGTGAGTGATCCTCAAGGATGACTTTTTAACTCATCCCAGGAGAGCTACCCCAAGACCTGCTACCGTTCTGGTTTACACTGATTTTCTTCAGAATAGAGATACCACGGTCACCTGGTCATACACGAGCTTTCTGTGCAGGTCAAGGGTAGGGTAAGGGATAGGGTGTGTGTATGTGTCTAGTTGTATTTTTAATTGCTTTTTTCTATAGCTTGTAAATATGTGATCTTAGTATTCTTTCTCCTACCCTAAAGAGAACTTGAGCAAAATTCTGACGTCTTTAAATTAGCAATTGGGCTTACAGATTCTGTCAGTTAGAACTCCCCCTGAAACCTCAATAGAAGTTTCCACGCTGGACGTATTCTCATTTTCCCTATCTCCTGCGGGGTTTCTAGCTGGCCTCTGCAGACTCATGGCCTACAGGCTCCTCAGAACAGTACAGTGCTCCTGGCTCTGAGCCCCTTTCAGCCTAGCTCTCTTCAAAGCCTGCGCTAATCATACGAAGTGTGAGAAACTTATTTTTTGCAGCAGAACTTGGATGTTGATAAAGGCTCACACTTTAGGTGGCAGAGCTCTCACAGCGGTTTTGTAATTTTTAGTTAGGAACTTGACTTTTTTTTTATATCTTTATGCCAATTGCTTGGAAAGAGGCTTGTTTCCTTCTTATATTTTTACATTAGAAAATGCCTTCAAAGCGTGTGTCTAGCTTACTAAAGACAATAAACACACAACGCTACTTCATCCACATCCTCGGCCGTCATAGCCATCAGCACCTGTCACCCTTGAGGTACAAAAGCCAAATTCTTATTGCAAAAAGAGGAGAGAGTCTGTTTATTTCATAAAATTAGCTTTATCATCATTTAGCTTTTCTTCCTAACTAGTACTTTCATGTCAGCACTAGGTTCCCAAGCCCTCTGAAAAGCCTGGGAGAAACACAGCATTCTTGTGTCTAATCATGGACGACGACAGACAGTAATTGCCCAGAACAGTGAAAAATGCAGATGGACGTGTTCGTAGCTATGTCAACACCCACGTTGGTAACACACAGGGTTTGAGTTCCGCATCTGTAGTGGACACAGGAAGAATCCATGACAGCACACAACCGAGATGTGATCGGTCATAGGAGAAGCACACGCGGCCATAAAGTACAATGCCTTCTGGCCAGGGCCCTGGGGAAGAAAGGAGTGGCCCTTCTTCCCTCCTAACTGCCAGGCCCCAAGACACCTCGACTGCTCAGCAGGGCCCTCTGACTGCAGCCTGGGAATGGTTCGCAGACCTTCTTTAATGCTCTGCGAGATCCTGGACCCCCCTGTCCTCCCTTCAGGCACAGTGGCCGGCTGTCTGCCAGCCCCTCGGAGAGATGCGCCCTGAACACACTGGGATGCCCTGTCTCGCCCGCGTGCCCAACAAGGCGGGCTCAGAGCAGAGGAGAAACCTCTCGCGGAGGCAGCTGCTGGCGTGCAGTCCCGGACAGCGTGTAAGTCAGCCTGTGTCAGGGAGGGCGCTCTGTCAGGGTGCCATTTCCTTCTCTAATAGGAGGAAGTTCTTTGTAAGAAAAGCCTACCCCTCCTCCAAATCAGCTGCCTTTTTCTGGAGAGTGAACAGGGATTGCTCCACTCCACTGACCATCTCCAAGGCCGTCTGCCCCCTTTCTGTGGAAGCTCTGTTAGAGATGAAGCTGGAGGTGGCTGCCCCTGCAGCGAGACCTGGACTCACGCAGGGCAAAGGTGGAACTTGCTAGCCTGGACCACAACCGTCGTGCCGGTGATTAACCACACAGTTAAGGGAGGACAGTTCACCAGTGAGTGGGGTGGGAAGAGCGGGAATTACAAAGAAGGGATCCCTGCAGCACTTCCCTCCCCTCCATGAACAAGACAAAAACAAAAGCATTCGAGAGAAAACAAGAGAGGGAGTGCAGGAGGGAGCCCGCACTTAGGAAGCAGAGGATACTATTGCTGCAAGCTTGGAAACAGCCCCTGCCAGGTGGGAGCCCTTGGAAGGCACCCAGCAGCCCTCTCGGCCCAGAGTCCTGCGTTTCCCAAGAAGCTCAGTTAACCCTCAACACAAGCCTGCCGAACAGCTGAGGAAACCGGAGCCCAGGTAAGAACGGGGCCGTGCGTGGCCAGGGTTTGAACTCCTGTTTCATGTCACTGTCCAGTGTTTACTACAACAAGGTTTTAAAGGACTCAGGAAACATGCAGCGGTCACCCCTACCCGCGTTCCCTGAGGTCAACCCCAGTCTGAAAAGAGTAAATGGAAAATGCCTGGAATGAACAGCCCAGAGCTGCCCTAGGGTTCCCGAAACGCTCACTGAACCCGAAATGCATTCATTCAGACAGGATGCATAAGCACAGTATATACAGATCTCTTGGAATGTACACTCGGAAGATAAGGGGTGACCACTTTATATTGTTCCATAAAGAAGCAGATGCCTTTTGGAAGTCTTGCTGGATTTATTCTCTTTACACTGAATTTCCTGGATTGAACACTCTCTCTACAACATACCTAGCTGATCCGATCGGACCGCAGAGGCCCCTTGCCCACGGGTGTGCCGGGCTAGGCTGCTCTTTCCTCAGCCCTCTGCTTACCTTGATCCCTACTCACAAGGAGTCACTCATGGGGAGCCCAAAGCTCATAACCCCAGAGGAGCTATTCTCCCAAAAGATATACTGATTCCTTAAAAAGTCTAAAGTGGTTGACACACAATGGACTGACCATTGATACTCTCCTAGAATCTTCTTTTGAAATTTAAAAAATTAAATTTTTAAAAAAGAGAATAATAATAATAATAATAATAATAATAATAAAAAGAACAATAGCAAAATACCAACAACATAGACAAAAACAAAACAAAGCAAAAACAATAAAAATGATGCAGGGTTTCAGAACAAAATGATAGGGATTAACAGTGGGAGCTATATTACATATTGTTATCTTCAACGAAGTTGCTCAGATTACCAGATGTAAGAATACAAGACTGATCAAACCATTAAAGAGAGTAAAAAATAAAAACAAAAAAAAAAAACCCCTTTAGAAATGATAGAGTTTCACTAGACAAGATGTAGGAACTCACCAATGGTTGTTGTATTGCATACTGTTCTCTTCAAATTAGTTGTTCAGATTACCAGATATGAGAATACAACAATGGTCAAAAAAAAATTAAGCATTAACTGTTCCTTTCAATAAACCATTAGACATCAGTACTACAGTTATCCCAGCTATCCTTCTATATCTATCTATCTATCTATCTATCTATCTATCTATCTATCTATCTATCTATCTATCCATCCATCTTTCTATCTATATTTTCCCTTCCTTCTTTCTTTTTCTCCTTTCCCTCATCCCAGTTGTTCCTTCCTTTGAGCAGTTTCTTTCCCTTTCACAATACCTATTGTACCTTTTGGGTTTTATTTACTCTTTCAGGTTCTTACACTAGGGAGACAATACAATGGTTACACATGCGGGTCTGGTTTATTTTATTTCTGAGTATAATCTCTATTTGCATCCATTTACCTATAAAAGCCTTGAGTTTATCTTTTTTTATAGCTAAGCAATACTCCATTGTATAAAAATACCACATCTTTTTTTATCCATTCCTCAGTGGATGGGCGTTTGGGTTGTTTCCAAGATTTAGCTATGACAAATTGTGCTGCTATAAACATGGGTGCCCATATATTGCTGTGGTATGATGTTTTTAATTCTTCTGGGAAAATACCCAGAATTGTTTTGAAATCTTATACCATTGCTCTTACTGTTTATTTTCCTTTCTTTAAAATAAAAAAAATGGTTGACATCAGAGGACAACTTATTTTAAGGATAAGGCAGCGGAATGCTAGAATGAATACAGAACTGGAATAAAGATACTTAGGATGTGGTCCTAGGTCTGCTGAACAGCGACAGGACCTCAACCAAGGGACAGACTTCTATGGGCCTCAAATCACCCTGGCAGGCTCATGTGGTTATACAGTATGAAGGACAAAAACTAAGCATGCCCAGCCAACACAAGGCTTGCTGGCCCTCCTCTACAGGGTAGGGAAGTTGTGGATAGGACAGGGCGTCCACTATGTGTCCTTTTTAGGTTCGGAAGAGCTGGGGCAGGGGAGACACCAATTGTCTTCGGAACACACTCTCTCAGGGGCTGCCCCAGACCTCATAAGGTTCTAAAGATGCACCCTGTGCCTGGTTCTTGGATTTCCATGTTAGATCCTTGGGGTGTGCAGGGAGTCAGGCCACCCCAGGAACTGGGAGCCTATACCAACTCGAGGCTGCTGCAGGGATGGGCAATCCCCTGGCCACGGCCCCCACAGCTCTTCGTTGGTATCTTCTACTGCCATCTGAACACAGCTCCACAATGGGCATCCTGGCCTGGGGAGTCACTGCCACTCCAGGACGGGAGGCAGTAACGAGAGGCCAAAGCCACTTGTAGCAGCAGCGACGATCCTCCCTACCATGTTCTCGCAGGATGAGCTAGGGTCTCTGGCACAAGAATCCCGATACTTTCCAGGGGGGGCCCCAACCCTCTGCACCTTTGTTCCTCCCTCTGCTACTCCTCTTCCATGCGAGTCCTGCCTCTTTGGCACCACGCAGCACCTGGCTCTCCTGGATTCTATAGTAGCTGCCGATACCTGCATACTGCACTTTTGGGTCCAGGTCCTGATCTGATTTTTCCACTCAGCCCAGCCCTGGCCTCGCAGGAGGCGCCTGTGGGGACTGTGTCCAAATCAGCCAGGTCAGGGGACCGTGACACAGCCCCTCCCTAGCTTCCCAGCCCATGTCACTCCTCACCACCAGGACATGCTCCAGAAGGTCCAGGTAGCCCAGCGTGCACTCCGTCCCGTACCGCAAGGCTCGCGTTCGCACCTCGTCGCTGACATCAGGGTGGAAGGACGCTTGCTGGAGAGAGAAAGGGACGTCGACACCTTAGAGCAGGAGGAACCTTGGGTGGGCAGCTCACCGGCCACAGTGCTGGCCAGTGGGACCCCCTGGCTTCTGAGAAGCCTGCCAACCTCCCCATCATCGCCCACATCCCCAGGAGATCCTCTCACATGTGTGCTGACTCTGACAGAAACACCCGAGTTCAGGTCTTCTTTCTCCCACCCTCCTATTTTCAAATTAAAAAAAAATCCTACATGCACCAAAGCACCCAGGAAAGACTGGGAATCAGAGTTTCCCCAGGAGACTACCTACTACCTCTGCCTCGCTCAGCACAGGGAGGGCCCTGCAACCAGGCTGCCCCCCAGGCACTGTAAATAATTCACCCCACTTTACACAAATGCTGAGATAAGCAACCCAGAGCACACGGTAACACAGCATGTCACCCCTCTCCTTGCACTTGGGATCTGCCACCTCCAGTGGTTCATGATGCACCACTTCAGAGGGCACGGTGACCCACAGGGCTGACAGATAAAACAAACCCAGTTAGATCTGAACTTCAGATAAAATATAACCCGTTAAACCAGAATTTCAGATCAGCAATACAAACCATTTTAATACAAGTATGCAATACCTGGTCTGTCATTTGCTAAAACTGGCAACCTCACCCCCTTGGCTTATCTCCCTCCTATAGCTCTGCTCTGGAAACAAGATGAAGGGGAGGCCTTCAGAAACACATAAAATACACAACTATATGTAAGCCACAGCTCAAGACCAATAGAAATCATGCAATAGAATAAAAGGTCAGGCTGAAGGGGAACACCAGCCAGCCTCCATGATCTTCCACGCTGGCTGCGCTCTCTAGGGAGGGGGTACAGGTGGACACCTGTAGATCTTCTCCTGCTGTCCCCACCCTGGAGGAGTGGCGAGCACCTGTCCTGCAGGAGCCAGGTTTGACTCATCTGAGGCTAAGGAGCCCACAGCCGTGCTTTGCATGGCCACATCTTGTTCCTTCCTGTACCTGTGCCTCCAACAGCGTGGCGCCTGTCTTAGGGACACTGCCTTGGGAAGACGCAGCTGTTAGGGCCCTCATCATCACCTCTGGCAGGTCATGGGCAAGGCCCTCAATTAGGGCTGTGGGAAAGGTGAGGGTGAGGAGACCCTGCCTGCTGCGGTGGCTCTGTAACTGGGCAGAGCCTTCCGGAGATCAATCTGACAGTAATTCAAGTGTCATATCATTGACCCACTCACTCCACTTCCGGGAGCCTAGCCCAAGGACATAATCCAGATATCCCCAAAGATGTTTATGACAGGGAAATTCACGATAAAAAATGGAGACAACCTAAATATCTGGTAACAAGGGAGAGGCAACTTTCACTATCAGAAAACTTGGTAGATATTAAAAAGTCAGAAACACCGCATCATTGACAACAGCAGATGGGAAACTGTATCTATCACAAACGTACGCACGTGACAGCAAGACCAGACAGACACACACATGAACATGCGCTTGGGGACTGGGCGAGCCGGGGGATTGGAGGGATTCTCCCCGGTGAGATGAGCCCACACGGGTCTTGCTGCCGCTGCCTTGGTCCTGGCTGCCCCAATCAGCGTCAAGGCTGTGCTTAAACAGGGCAACGTGGCCCTTCTGTGTGACATGTGAGACTTTCATCCTGATTCACTTTCTCTTTTTTTTTTTTTTTGGCGGTACTGGGGATCGAACTCACAACCTTGCGCTTGCCAGGCAGGCGCTTATGCCACTGAGCTATATCCCCGGCCCCCTGATTCACGTTCTCAAAGGGTAAGGTGCCTTACTGCATGCACCTCCTCCTGGCAAGCTGCCTTATTTCCTCCCTGCCGAGGGAGAAGGGATGCAGGGGACGGAAGGATTTGTCAGTGTTCCGAAGTCCTCTCCTGACAGGCGGCTCAAGGCTCTGCAGGGACACTTGCCCCTTAACCTCTCTGAGCTCCTCTGTCACCATCTAACACACTGAAGCAATTACTCTTGTCCTCACCTGGGTCAAATGAGAAAACACATACAAAGCCCCTTGGAAAATAGGAGGTGCTCTGTGTGGAACCATGATGCTCTGAGCCACAGCTTGCCAGGTAAACCCAACTCTGGATTTGTAACCCGTTTGCGAGCTATCACGTGTGTTGGGCTGGGTCCACTGAGTACATGGAAATGGCAGATACCTGTGGCTTCCAGCCAGAGTCCAAACTCCCTGGCCTAGTCCTTCATGAGAACGGCCTACCCCCTTGCCCGCCCCTGCCCCCAGCCTTCCTCCCCACACCTAGGAGACCCACAGCTGTGACGGCATCTCCTGTGGCCAGCTCCTTGCAGCCCCCTGTACTTCCAAACCCTCTGTCCCCTCTGAAGGGGTCCCAAGAAGCCATCAGCACTGGACCTGCACTGCGACCCCGATGGAACTCTTCACCACAAGGAACGTCTCTTCCTTCGGACCCAGACGTTAGTCCTTTCCCCCTCCTGGGAGCGTGGCAGGGGCATCCCGCCCTGAGTGGAGCAGAGTCAGTCCCCGGGGCAGCGCTGCTCCCGGAAGGGGGAAGGTGTGGGGTCGGGTGTTTGGTGGGGAGCAGGGTGAGTGGGGTTATCTTAGTTCATTTTCTCAAAGGACAAAAAATTACTATAAAATAAAGGCGCAGGCTTAGAGGAGCTGCTCCTGTCACCCGAGCTTCGGAAGTTTTCTCCAGGGTCTCTGGTACAGCGGGGAAGACTCGGTTCATGAGTCAGTTCCTGATTCCTCTAACTCACTTCCTACCCAGTGACAGCGGCACCTTTCCTGGCACAACGTGCCTGAGCCGGAGAGGCGGGGGGGGGGTGGTGGTTGGGGGCAGAGGGAACATGGTGCATACTTGCAGCACCTGCAGTCCCCTTTACTGACGCCAGAGGGACCCCCCATTATCCCCGGGAGGGCCTCCATGCCGGCTTTAGGACTGGACAGCGGGTGACACAGAACTATCTGTGCACCATTTCCCCAGGTGGATGCCTACGCACCCCCTCTGTTCACTACAAAGTACGGAGCTGCTCCCCAGTACCTTCTCCAGACCACAGGAAATGGCTCAGTCAGGACACAGAACGTCTATCCACCCACCTAAAACTACACCAAGCCCTTTACCTTGCAAGCTGTCAACATATCCGACACGGCCTTCCGGCTCAGATTGGCGGTAGCAATCACGTCCTCCTGTCTGCACGAGTTCCCAGCCGCCACGGCTTTGGCTGTTGCCATGGTGATGCCTTTTGTCATCCTTATCGATTCTTCAGGTGATGATGTCTTTTCAGGTACCTCTTTTGATTGGAACACCTGGAAGTCAGAAATGGGAAGAGGTGAAAATCATTAAACATGAAAGGACAAGAAGTAACTTATCCTGCTCCAGCCAGGCTCGGGTCTCGGTGTCTGAGAACCAAGCCAGCAACCTGAAGAAATTGTCGAATAGCAGGAAATTAGAAATTTAATTTGAGGACAGTCACTCTGTCCTCGCTTTCAAGATTCTAGTGTGCCCAAGCCTCTCACGCCAGTGCTTGGTGCGCAGTGACACACAGGGGCACTGCCCTTTCTGGATGGCCTGTGGCTTCCCACTTCTCTTCCCCCATCCCTGCTGGTGTTTCCGCAATTTTCAGAAACTCCCAGTCCCAACGTGGCTTCTGCGGCAGGACTGATCTGCGTGAGCACTCTAGCCTCCCCCTCTCTGGAAGCGGGTGTGGGGTTGGGGCAAATGAAGCACTAGCTCCTACTATTCTCAGCCTGTCTTACAAATATAACTGCATAATTGTGCAGAAGTGTTCATGTCAAATGCGACACGGTGACTCTGAATTATTTAAACCCATGCACACACCTTTGGAGCAGCTGAAATAAATTAACCATGGTAAGTCAATAGCCCACTTTGGTTTCACCTGTCAACCAAGTGGAGCTGTTTCTGCTGGTCTGGTCTCTCAAACACCAGTGTCTGGTGCCAGGGCTGTGTGTCCAGTTAGTGTCTGTCCCTGCACAGGAAGACCCCTTCTCAGGTAGGGTCCGCCTATCTTTGGCTCTAAGCAACCATGTTTCAGCAGGGAAGACTCCAGGGGAGAGGTGACAATCCAGACAGTGCTCCTGCCAGGTGCGACTGGTGTCAAATGTTACCACCCCTGGAAACGGGCAGCTGCAACCCAGCATCCCAGGACTGCCAACCGCACATGTGCTCCTGAACACTGCAACGAAGGAAGGTCACACGGCCAGGTTCCCACCCCCGCTTATGGTACCCACGGTAAGGAACTACAGCCTGGCTGAACCCTAAATCCCACTGCTAGACCTAGCATGACCAAGGGTCGGTAACTTCCCACAACAGCGCCAACCTCCAAATCTGACCCATTGCCACCAGCAGGCCCGTTCACACCCGTCGGCGCCTGGGTCTAGACTCGGTGGGAAACGCCCAGCCCAGGCAGCCAGGAGACCGCCAGCTTTTGAGTTACTTACTCCCACAGTTTTTAGATTCTTCTTTAAAATATGAGCTAAGCCTATCAACCAAGGCTGGATCCATTAAAGACAGGACAGAAGAACCCAAGCCTCCATCCCAGCACCAAGAGGAGTTGCTCATTTCCACAGCTCCCTCTCAGGTCACTGTGGGAAGGGGAACTTCTAAAGGTGCACAGCCAGCAGCAGAGGCATTTCCTCGACTCTTCCCCTCCCACTAAAGACCGGCTCATCTGTGGTCAGCCTTCCTATTAAAAAGAAATCTCACAGCAAAGCCATTCCTCACCAGTGTGATTCTATTTGTGCGGATTAGGCGGAGTTGATGTACAACCTCACGGCGCGACAGAGGACAGTAACATTCCTGTCTTAGGACCTCCAGCTGTCCTCTGCAGTGATGGCACAAAGCAAAAATGAACTCGGCCGATGTCTTTTTTTTTTTTAAACCTTTTTTTCTGGGTATAAGGAATCGAATTGAGGACCTTGCGCTTGCCAGGCAGGTGCTTGTGCCACTGAGCTATATCCCCGGCCCCGTCGGCTGATGTCTGTATGGGCCGAACAAACCAACGGGAGAGCGTTTCAAAGGAAAGCGCCTCCCGTCAAGGCGCCTCGGCTGTCCTCCCAAGCGCGAACCCAAGGCTTCAGTTCCACACATGCGCAGCAGTACGAGCGGCTGTGGCCAGCAGCGTGAACCAACACAGGCCGTACACAGCAGCCTTGGTGAGAGGGCAAGGCGCGTGGGGGTGGCCGCTGGACTTCCCTGTGGCCAGGAACCTTCTGTAATGCTTCAGTTCATGCTTTGGTAATTTTAATGGAATCAAACTGAGATTGTTCTAAATGATAAGTTCCTCGATCACAGTTATCAGTAGACCCTAGCCAAACCCAGCGACACCTGCAGTGAGCACGTGCTCCCAGAGGGCAGGGGCACGGGGCTCCCTAGTTCAGGAGTTCACGTAGACCCTCTAAGTCAAGAATCTTGGAGAAGCCCCTGCCCTGGTCAGCTGGTGGACACCAGTGCAGAGGGAGGTGACCGCTGGCTTCTTACCGTGAGCTCCTGCTTTATGTACTCAATGGTGGCCTCAAGCGCCCTGGTGCCCCGGGTGGCCTCATCCTCCACCGCCTTCACAGTCTTGAGGAGAGAGGTGACGTTTGTCACCATCACCTGCGTAGGAAGACACAACGGCACGCTGCTTGAGGTCCCGTCCCTCGTCTTTTTAGCTGAGTGCCACAAGCAGACACCTCTCTCTCCTATAGTGGAAGGACGCGCAGATGTGTCCTCCCAACCCTCTCTCTGGGGATTCCCCCACCCCTCACACAGCTCCACCCCACCTTGGCGGCCCCCTTGAGCTGGTACATGGAAGGGTCGTCAGCTGGCTTGCTAGCAGCCCCTTTGGTAGCACCAATGAGGTCAGAGAGGGCCTTGGCCACGTCTTTGATGGCGTTGATCAACACCACCTGGAAGAGAGCACAGAGCCCAGGTGAGGAGGTGCTGACCTGCTCACCCCGGGCATTCCGTGTAGGGCAGGGGGGACGAGAGAAAGGTAGGTCCCTCCACTCGCGGCTGCACAAGACGCCCCTGGAAATTCTGGAGCGTGAACCTGGACTTGAAGTTGCCCCGGGGGAGGCTGATATTGAGCTAGGACGGGGAACTTGGATCTAAACACGCAGCCTCTTTCAAGCCTCCTAGGTGGCAACTGCAGGCACACTGTCAAACTGTGCCTCAAGACACAGAACAAAACCCAACCTCCCGCCTGGGTGCAGCGCTCCGCAGCAGCCCTGGGGATGGAGGTTGGTGCAAAGGCCCTGGGTCTGATTCCTCAGTATGGCAGGGAAAAAAAAAAAAGGAAATGCTGGAACGTACGACACGATGGGTGACCCTACAGCACATTACGCTGAGTGACGAAGGCCCAGAAGGACCATGTGTGACACTATCCCTTGCACACAAGGTATCTAAAACAGCCAACTCACAGAAGCAGAACAAAGTGGTGGTTCCCAGAGAGAGGGGAAGAGGAAAGGGCAGTTTCTAGTTTCTAGCCACGGAGTACAAATTCACTTGGAGCACGATGACATGCTGCACTACACGGGGTCTACAGCTAATGCCACGGAACTGCTCGGGCCAATCTCATTCTTACTCTAATAAAAAAAAAAGTGTGTGTGTGTGTGTGTGTGTGTGTGTGTGTGTGTGAGACTGTAAAGGAAAGCTGCTGAAGCCCAGGGGTGGGTACATAGGAGCTCATGTTTTGATTCTACTTTATTGCCTGATAAAAATTAATTTGATACTTTTCTCTATCTAAAGACTTAAATGCTCCAGGATGGGTCACTTCTCAGCTGGGTATGAGGCGAGGTGAGCGAGCTCTGGCTGTGGGACGTGGTTCCAACTCCTCCCTTCTCCATGGAGTAAACACATGTCTACAGGCAGGGATTTCTGCAATGGTCTAGAGTTCCATAGGCAACCATCTGGTACTCTGAGGTTCTCAAGAAGAAATTGGCAGAAGGGCTAACTGGGGCACAGGGAAGGTTTCCGTGTGGGGCCTGCTGCTCGGGAGGGCGGCAGGAAGGAAGGGGATGGTCTTCCACCCAGGCATGATGGGTGGCTCTCTACCTAGTTCGGTCCGCACAGACGGGTGGACTGGGTACAGGTCAGGCAATAGGAAGTGGAGAGAGTGCCGGGATGAGCAAGAACAGAACGGTTTAAGGTTTGCATTCCGGGGAAGAAGAGCATCTATTTGCTGATGACCCTGGAAAGACTGCCCATGCTCACGGATTGGCATAATTAATACAGTGGTACCTCGGTTCACGAACTGAATTCATTCCACGATTCTAGAAACGATGGCCATGGTCGTGTTCATCACTGGATGCAGAGCTCACAAACAAAAACCAAATTCTGTGGAATGCTTCTGTTTGCAAATCACATTGTTGGTAAACAAAAGCGTTCATGAGCTGAGGTACCACGGTATTGTTAAAAAGGCCACGTTACCAAAAGTGATCTCCCCAATGCAATCCCATCAAATTTTCAATCACATTACTTCACAGAGCTAGAAAAGCAATCCTAAAATTCACATGGAAACACAAAAGACCCAGAACAGCCAGTGTAGAAAAAATGGAAACACAAAAGACCCAGAACAGCCAGCGTAGAAAAAAAAAGCACACCAGGGCGCTTGAGGCCACCATTGAGTACATAAAAAGCAAGGCCGGAGGCACCACAACGCCCAATTTAAAATGTACCACGAGGCCACAGTACCAAAAACGACATGGTGCTGGCACAAAAAATAGACCAATGGAACAGAACAGAGGACACAGAAACAAACCGATGCCACTACAGCCATCTAATTCTTGACAAAGGGGCCAAAAGCAAAGGTTGGAGGAAAGATAGCCTCTTTAATAAACAGTGCTGAGCAAACTGGATATCCAGGTGTAGAAGATGGAAACTAGAGCCCTATCTTTCACCCCGTAGTAAAATCAATTCAAGCCGGGCATGGTGGTGCTCACCTGTAATCCCAGCACTCAGGAGTCTGAGGCAGGAAGATTTATTTTTTGGACTGGGAATCGAACTCAGGACCTTGCACTTGCCTGGCAGGTGCTGGCCGAGGCAGGAAGATTGCTATGAGCTTGAGGCCAGTATGGCTACATAGTGAGGTCAAGGTCAGCCTGAACTAGATAGAAAGACTCTTGTCTCAAGACACAACAAAACAAATCAAAACAAAAGGAAAAGATGCAGGGGAAAAGGAACCCTTCTGCACTGCCACTGGGAGTATAAATTAGTACATCCACTATGGAAATCTATGTGAGATTCCTAAAAATACTGAAACTGTAACTACCCTATGAGCCAGCTATATCACACCTTGGTATATACCGGAAGGAGTTAGATCAGCATACTAAAGGGACACCTGCACACCCCTAGTACTGTGGCACAATTCACAATAGCCAAGAGATGGAACCAGCCGAGGTGCCCCTCAACGGAAGAATGGATAAAGAAATTGTGGTATATACACACAGTAGTGTATTATTCAGCTGTAAGGAACAAATGTATGCCATTTGAGGAAAATGGATGAAATTGGACATCATGATGTTAAGCGATACAAGCCAGACTCAAAGACAAATATCATTTTCTCTAATGTGTGGAAATCAAAAAGGATGACATGGAAATAGAAGGGAGGTGATTATTACACAAGAGGGGAGTAAGGGGAAGAGGGAGGGGAGGGTGGGTTAGGGTAATGGGGGATGGAAAAAACTATTAAAAATATCATTAAGAGATTGAGATGCTGACATGAATTTATGGAGTGAAAAAGTACTCAGTATATTTTGTTAAGTAAAACAGCAGGTTATAAAACAGCATATATGGCATTGCCGAGTGTTTATTTTCAAACATGCATTCATGGCTAGAGATGGGAAGAAGCTGTCTAGAACGGTATTTTAATCTGTCCCTGGGAATGAGATGCTCAGCATGTTTGCGTTTATTTTCTGACTGTGCTATCATAAAATGTTTCTACGCAGAAGAAATTAAGGATTCCTTTAAGTATGCGAGGGGAAAGACATACTAATTAGCTTGATTGTAGTAATCATTTCACAATGGACCTGTATTTCCAATGTGATGTTGTACACCTTAAGTATATATGATTTTGTCAATTATACGCCATACAAAAAGCGAGAAGAAGGAACCTCATGTCTGAGCCCTGTTCTTAGGCCAGGTGCCCGCTCTGTCGGGGGGATACGAGGAGGAGGGCACTCTGACCTGTACGTACCTGGGTCTCAGGGTCATCCGAGCCCAGACTGGCTGCCCCCAGCTTGACCACCTCAGCGAGCTGGGTGATGGTGGCTGCCGACGACTGGGCTGCCTGGGCCAGCTTGTCTGGAGTGGACGCAGCCCCGGACACGAGCAGCTTTGTGTCTTCCACCAAGGCCTTGGCTGTCTTCAGGATGTTCTCCCTGAGAGGGCACGGGGCAGAGGGGTGGAGACGAAGGGCAACCCTGGCTTACTTGCGGTTAGGAAAGAAGTCGCTGGCAGGCAGCTTTGGAGAGGAGAGGTGGTGTGTTCTGCGTCCCCCGTCAAGGAGCGCATGTCTTCCAGGGAGGCGAAGTTGGGGACAGGAGAGAAGGCCAGCCCGTACGCACAGTCAGCAGGGAACAGAAAGTCCCACAAGGGATTGGGCCCAGGGTGCTGGCTGCTGAGCCCAGCCTGAAACCTTCTGTGGCTCCCACTGTTCCCTAGGCCACCTGAGAGCCACAGCGAGAGCGAGGACACACAGGCTGGGGCATCTTCTCTAGGGCGCTGGGCTTTGGGAAGAACGACTGAGCACAGGGAATCTCCTCCTGGGCCCAGCGCTGGGTTGGAGGGAGGAGGAGTGGGGCTGGGCAGGTGGTGAGGACGCAGGGCCCACAGCTGTACATACACAGCCCCAGCACCCGCCTTCTCAGCGCAGGCCTCGGAGAGACAGCAGGCTTCACACGCCTACCGTCACCCCCCATCTGCTGGGTGGGTGAGCCGCTGGAGGAGCTGCTCTCTGGCCACCCAAGCGAGACATGAAAGCGCTACTGTGCGCTGGGGCAGGCCGCTGCTAGGGCAGCCACGGTCAAGGGCAAACAGGACCCCGCTGACAGTGGTATAGGGGGCTTGTTCTGATCCCGTGGCTCGCTTCCCCCACCGGTGCATCTTTCCTGTTGAAATGCAGAGACCCCCCATTTCTGGTCCCCAGGCAGCACGACCAAAGCAAGTGTTGGCCTTTGCCCCACCCCCCTCTGCCCGGTCCCCTGGTACCTGTGGTCTGCAAAGGTCTCGCTGTTCTCTGCATTCAGTGTCCCCGCTGTCGCAAACATGATGGTGGTGTCCAGGTCGGCGATGATCCCAGACACGGCAGTGGCGGCTGTGATGCATGCTTGGGTTCCCTTGTTTCCAGCCTGGAGTGCCGAGAGCACCAAGGACACCTGTAGGCAGCAAGGGATGGTGAGGGGAGCCAGAGCCCCCACGTGTGGCTGCTCTGCAAACCCTGAGAGCTCACAGCAGCGGCCTGGAATCAGCAGCCTCGGTCCCAACACCGGCTTTGCCACTCACAGGCACACGGCCTTGGGCAAGTAGCTTCACTCTGGAGGCCTGGGTTTCTCCATCTGTGCAGTGGGGCCATACTTCTTACCACTGAGGGTGTGATGGGAGAATTAACATATTCACAAGGGGGCCATAATTCATGACTCAGCACCAGGCAGTTCTGAACTGCTGGGCTCATGGTCCAGGGTGCACGACCTATACCCTAAGACAGGTAACAAGGACACCAGGCACGCACACCAGGTGCAGGTGGGATGGGGCATGGGGCACGGAGCAACACGCGGCCAAAATACTGGCTAAGAGCCGGCTAGCTCCCTGCCCTCGGCTCTTCTCCAAGTGTCCTCCATCAGGGGCCATCTGCTGGGAGAGGCGCAAGGCCAAGACCGGCTCAGGAGACCACGCTGCCCGGCCACAGCATGCAGCCTAGGTGCCCCACAGGGTCCCACTGTGACTGCTGCTGCAAGCGGTCAATGGGACCTGGGCGAGAGCGACTTCCACAACAGGGAAAGGCCCTGAGGGGGGAAATGCCTTCCTCAAGCTGACAGATTGATCGCCTCATCCTGCAGAGGCCAAAGGGGCTGGACAGTCCTGTGGGCTGTGGAGCCTCAGCCTGGGTGACAGGCATTGGATAGAGCAGCTTCTGTGGGTGGCTTCCAGGTAGGGCTCCCTGGCCTGCCCTCCGGTCTTGTGGCCAAGCTTCTAAACAGTACAGAGCTCTGTGTGCTGCGGGCTACAGGGAGAGGCACAGCCACCTAAGCATGGACACGCCGGCCTGTGCCTTGCACAGCCCGCGGAAGAGCTCTGCTGAGAAACGACCTGGAGACGTAAGCAAAGCCAGAGGTCCACAGGGGCAGGCTGCTGAGCAGGGGAAGAGCGCTTGCCTAACATGCACAAGGTCTTGGATCCCAGCAGCACAAACAAAACAAAGCAAAACCCTGCAGGAGAATACAAGAACTACTGGGCATGAAAGGACCTTCTTAACCAGAGAAAACTTCCTCAACACAGTTCTAGAGGAACGTTTACAGCAAACAGTGGCTAGAACGTGCTCGGGGCTGAGCTCCCCATCTGGCACGGAGCCACGCACGCTTAGGCATATCATCACGTCTAATCTTCACAGATCTGCGAGCCCGCGACTGCTGATTTGTGTCCTCGCCTCGGAGATGAGGAAATCGAGGCCTGGGAAAGTAAAGTAACTTGGCTAAGCTCTTAGAGTCTCGCCTGCTACACTAAGAGAGCCTCTCTACAAACAGGTTCATGTCAAGTGACAAGGAGGGGTGCAAAGTGCCTGCTCTCCACATCGGGGCCACAAGCCCCGAAGTCACTTAGCGCTGCCGGGCTTCACCGTGTGACCGTATGTGAAGAGGTTGCACTGCCCTTCTAACTTGGTCCTTAGCACCCGCGAGCCTCTTGAGAAGGAGGACCAAGCGGACACAGGACAGGGCCTTGTCCCGGCTGGGTCTTGTCTCTGAGGGCGGCTTTGACAGGGTTTCTCTGCAGGAAAGCCCTCTGAGAAGGTGGGCTTTTCAGACAGCTCCTGTCACGCGCTGTTTCTCAGGCCCTTGGGGTTGCCCAAGCTCCCCCTTCCTGAGAGGGGCCCGGGTGGAGGGAGAAGAGAGCCGCCTCCGCTGGATCGGCTCTGACTTAGTTTCTCACCTTTGTCTCCCATTACAGCAGTGCCTGAGAGCCAGCGGCCACATCCGCCCGGGGCCTCTCCTCACCTTCTCTGTGACGGCGCGAGCACATTCGATCAGCTCCCTCTTGGTGTAGCTGTCCGTGGGGCACACCTGGAGGGCGCCCGCCTTCTGCACCAGGAAGATGCAGCCGTGGCCCAGGTCTTGCACGCGCGTGCGAATCTGGAAGCCGATCTGCAGGGGCAAGCCCGAGAGGGAGAGGTGGTGTGACGGGACCCTGCCACTGAGGCCTGCCCTACGTGGAAAATTTTTCCTGTGCCCTATGGGAGCCTGGCTAGGAAAATTCCACTCCCATTAGGAGTCTGTGTTTGGTGAAGTATGGAATTTGGTTGATTTAGCTTCCCTTTTTAGAGGCTGTAAAATGCCCACAGTCTTCATGTAGCAAGCCTGCAGCTCATCACGCTAGCGTAATACCTTCCTGATGTGTGTAACCTCTTCTGGTGTATATTGCATTTGTGTCCCAAGCCACCTGATAAGAAGGTTAGCTACACGAACCCCCAACGGATGATTCTGTTATTCATTCAACAAGCATTTATTGAGACTCTACTATGTGTCAAGGCCTCTTTGAGGCAGGTTATGCATTTCATGTACTCCTCCCAACAGCCCTAGATGGTAACTGGTTCAAAATACAGCTTTAGTATTAATCATATTTTAAAGCATTCAGAGTCTTACAAAATTGGTATGTTTACCGGGCAGAATGCCTCCTTCAGCTGCGCCACAGAGGGAGAGCAACCGTGTACAGCATGGGCTTCCTGTCTATCAAGCCGGGTTTGAGGTTTCCTTAAGAAAGGGATGTTTTCAGAACTCCAGGCTTGGCAGGAGTTTAACGACCCTGGGCTGTGTGATTATAAAAGGTAATCTGCCTAAGAGAAGCCAAGTGAGCGCCACTGTGGGTGAGCTGCCTGCTGCCTCCTGGAAGCTCTAATGAACCCCACCTGCACGGCTTCAAGGACGCACTCCTCTGGTTCCACTTCACATCAAATTTTATTTGGGCCTGACCAATACAGCTGCTCTCCAGACTAGGTAAGTGACTACAAAGCAAATGAAACTAAGTATGCACTGGCGTGGCTTTCAAGAATCTACAACAGTTGGAAGCTGCGTTTGATTCTTCCAGTGACGACATACCAGGAATATTCACCGAACGTTCTCAGGTATGATGAGGAATGCCTGGGAGGTTTTGGCCACCTGGATGCTATCTATCTTCCACTATCACCTCGTTAGTCAGAGTTTTAGGATGTCGCTTTGCAGAGTGGGGAAACTGTAAGTGCCCTCTCCCGTGAAGTAATACTGCTCTAAGGGAAAAACGGTCCTGCTCCTAACTCCTTAAGGCCTGAAAGACTTCTAAATCCACCTAGTAGAAGACGGTGGTGACCCAGAAAATGGAGCTGCTGTTTGGCTGTTTTCTGTATCGTCCACTGCTTGCTGGGAAAGCTTCCTGGCCAGGCAGGTCTGTCCTGTAGCCACCCATATGATGTACAACAGAGCGGCATCCTTGGATCCTACAACAGCACAGCTCTGCAAAGGTTTGGACCAGGGCAGCAGTAAGTGAGGCTGCTACCCGGGAGAGACAAGGCACAGAGCTCGGTCCACAGGGCCGTGACACCATTCAAACAGATCTCTTTGCTGGGCATGTTTGTTGGCTCAAAAACAAGGTGAAGATAAAGCCAGAGGATAAGCCGTTAAAATTTTAAACTCAGTTTAGCTCTTGAGGTCTTCCAAATCCACGTATTCAAGGGTCAAAGCTAATCTACGAGCCAGAGCCCTGGAATCCAGGTTGAGCACAGACCTCTACAGGATGAAGGCTGATGGAAATTTAAGCCGAGGAAGAAGTGGTGGGGGAAACATTTACAGAATTTCAAAATAACAAAGTCCTTACCAGTTCAAACTGGTTAAAGTGACTGCAATAAAAATGAACTTAGTGTTGTGGTCCTGAGGGATTTTGGTAATCTCCCAGACCCTCAGTTTGCTTATCTGTGGAAAGGGGAAGAAAAAATGATTCTTGTCTCACCTACTGTGCTTCAGAGAGCAAATGTGAAGTTGCCATCACAGTATCTGTCCTGGAGTTGGGGCGGAACTGCGCTTGTATTATTTTCCAGGTGAGTGAGACAGAGGGCGCTTAAATGCGCAAGGGCAACAGAATCAAGCTACTCTACCTGCGATTTCACAGAACATTTTGTATGGGATGAAGAACATTCTAGAAAGACTGTGTTCAAACAGATAAGGGGTTGAAAAATGTTCAGCTTCTCAAAGCAACGCAAAGCTTCTCAGCAAATATGACCCAACTCTGTAAGACCTACAGGGAGATTCAACGTACAAGCAGAGATTATTATGAAGGAATGTAGCTCGAAGACTTCGGGTTTTAAATTGGCAGCTTTAGTAAAGCACTACTCAAGCCTCAATTCCCTTCTTGCCCAAATAAAATTACAACGGAGAAAACCATCTCCTGGTTTTGTGCCTGGAGGGAAATTAAAAGACTGGTCTTTATGAAGTTTTGGATCTGATTACAACTGGAAGGGAATCTAAGAAAAACTGACCGTCTTTCCTTGCTGCCTAAAACCAATATACAGACTTTTTGTGGACTTTAAGAGCAACTGCATCTGAAACCAGACCCAGCAATACTAGCTGCTGGGAAGAGCTTGTGGAAGTTAAAAGGCAGTACCAGACCTTTTTGACAAACGCTGATAGGGACAATGGAAGAAAAGAGTAAAAGAGAAAAGAGAAAAGAGCAAAGAGTAGTGTACAACATAACTAGCTACCCCCTCTAGCCTCAAAGTGGGAAGTGTGTCTTGGAGCGGAAGGTTTTAGAGACTTTTGGAGTGGACATGCATCTCCTCTAGGGGAAAGGGCGGTGGGTTCTTGCCACTGGTTTTTAAGACATCCAATGTTCCAAGGGGTCACAGCAGATTTTCCTTAGGGACGAAGCTGTAGTCATAAAAGCTTTCCCCCAGAATTTTCATTTAGGAGTCGTGGCTCATAAAATCGCAACTAACTTCCTTCCCTTCCCTCTCCTCCCTCCCTCCCTCTCTCCCTCCCTTCCTTCTAACTTTCTCTTTTTCCCTTCCCTTCCCTCCCTTTCCCTTTTCTTATTTTTCTTTTTTGAGATAAACTAACCTCAAATTGCAAAGCTGCCAGCGGGTTTTAACTTTTTCTGAAAAGTTTTCACAGTGATGTTAACAAAGGTTTAAACTTTCCGTGGAAAAATAAGCAGATAAAGATCCCGCTTGAGTCTGAGGGCAGAGCTCTGGCTTTTCCTGTAATTGTCACATCTTGGAAAAGACCAAAGTGCTGACTTGACACAGCAGCCAGCAGGGCTGCAGCGAAACGAGCTGCTTGTTACTTGCACTCTGGATATAAATATGCTCACACGCCGTGATGTGGGACCCCCTTGGGTATACAAATAAGTCCACAATCTTGGAATATAAAACTGCAGTGCTTCAGGGATCTCCTAACCATCTCAGTTTTCTCCCCAAATATCTGCCCGACAAATGCACACCAAAAGTTTCCTTTACAAGCCACTGGTAATTTTACATACTCTGCCCCCTCTCACTCCAGGTCACTGTGCTCATGTCTGGACTGTAAAATATATCTCAAGACGTAAGTGAAAAGAGAAAACCTTAATGAAAACATCAGCTGGTACAACACAAGGCCAGTAACCAAAGTAACCTGTTGTGCTTTTAGCTGTACGTTCTCTTTCGGTGTTGCTTTGGCATTAGTTGATATTTTGCTTCGATAGTCTGTACGGCAGTAAGAAAATCTTGTTTCACACACGGTGTCCCTAGCTCGTAGGAGCTCTGATGAGGAAAGGGCGCTGCAGAGAACTCAGGCAGGTCAGCATTTAAGCTAAGGGAGGCAATGGGAGAGGATCCCATTTTTAAAAGATTCTGTGGATAGCCAGCCAAACCCCCTTTGCAACACGGTCTCTCTCTGTTTTCAATCTCCTCTTCAAAGCCAAATGCTTCTTCCCTTTGTCCAACCACATGGTGCCTTACTGTAACGTAAGTTTCCTTTCACTTATTTATGAAATTCAAAATTACATGTTAATAAAGTGAATGCCATGTCTAGATAAATTAGGGCTAGAATTATAGTGTAGTCTTAGTAAAGCAGAGTCTATTTTCAAAAAAGACAGACAAGCTTGTGTAAAAGAGTTAGGAAAATATAGACATGGGTCTCTCATACTGTTCTTTCTTGGGAGTGACTTAAAACGCTTATTACAAACCATTATTCATGCTGCAGCCTAAAACTTAATCACTCTGAAATCTGAAGACACAGGCACTGTTAGAAATGTCCCATGCTAGGTATATATGTGTGCAAGGACATATATACGACACATCTGTTCGCATGCATTGACACAGCACGTTAGAGGTGTGATTTCGGGGTCTTCGCTTCTGCAGCATCTCCGGGAATCTTTGTTAGACATGCTTGGACCTGACTCCCAGGAGAAACTGCAGCACCGAGGAACCTGAGGACAGTGACTGTCGTTACAGAGAGAGGAGCTGATGCGTTATAACCTTGTGCCTTGACAGCCCTGTTCAGTTAGGAGTGTCTTGAACAGGGTTTGTGCTCAATAAACAGCTTGTTGAATTTCACAGAATGCAGTTACCTCTACGTCCTGGGGGTTCCTGCAACCCACTCCATCATTCTGTTTTTTAGACTAAGCTTGATTTCCCCGAAGACCCCCATAGTTCCTCGGGCCCTGGGGCCCTTCTGGGTGTACCTAACACGGGCACCCTCGGCCCTCTGGGGCCCCGTCCACGCTGTGTGCCCAGTGGACGCTCCAGTTCTCAGGTCTGTGACAGGCAACAGCTTTTAGACGGTGGCTGTGGGGCCTCCCTGCTGCCATCTGAAGCCCCTGTGAGCACAGCCTGCTGAGGCCAGGAGGACACTGGCCTTGACGGAAAGCTAGTTAAGGGCGGCAGGTAGAGACTGAAGAGGCCACCAGAGGCACGGGGATGGGACCTGGCTCTTCCTAGATATTCACCAGGAACACTCAGCCAAGGCTTGTGTCGTGCAAGCAGGCTTTTCCAACGAGAGGGGCAGTGAAATCTCACACTTGGGTCTCCCCACTCTTCTGGGAGGTCCTGGGAAATACCGGCACGGCTGAGGGGCTGCTCAGTGCGAGCAGGTCGTGACAGGACGGTAGCCCCAGGCTCGGGCAGGCTAAGAGAATGAAGGGCTGGCGGAAAGGGGGATTGGCAAAGCACCGCCAGCAGAGTCCCTCTGTCCAGCAGCTCTCAGCCGGCCATCCTCAGAACGGACTTGAGCCCAACCTAGAGCTGTGGGGTGAACTTAGGGCCAGCTGCACGGCCCAGAGGAAACCTAGTTCCGGCTGCTAGGCTACAGAGAAACCCGGGGGTGGGCACCCCTGTGTGTGTGAGTCCTAAAACAGGGGCCTGAAGGTGGCAGACCTCCTCTGGTTCAGCCGTGGCAGCTGCCATCTGGCCCTGGGCAGCCAGGTGCCCATAGTCACTGGTCATTTGTGAAGCCAGTCCTCCCAGCTCCTCCGGGTTAGTAACCGACTTAGTCATCTGGAAAGAGAAAACAAGCAAGACACACACACACAGAAAAAGGCATGAGAACCACGTGTTAATACCAGCCTGCTCACAAGCCCCTCTCGAGCAAAGGCAGGACTGGCATTCCGGGCTGCTTGCCGGAGAGGGCAGCTCAAGCAGGGCCCATGCTGTGCCACACGCAACAGACCCCAGTGTGCACACCCCGCGGGGCCGTCTCAGGCCAGCAGCTGAGGCAGGGCCAGTGGGCACGAGCTCAGCATCCGGCCGTTAGCTCAGCTCCCAGGGCCTGCTCTTGGGAGGTGCCCTGTGGCAAGGCCGGAGGAAGTTCCCTGAAACACCACCAGGGGGCACGAGTGAGTGCACGGCACACCTGGGGCCAGGCCTTGTGCAGAGCTGGTCTGGTCTCTGGGGTCGCACCGTGTAAGAGAGGGCACGAACACAGGGCTCTTAGGAAGTCGTGAATAAGAAGTGGTGGAGCAGCCAGTGTCTGGAGGGAACTCAGAGAATACAGCTTTGTGGGAAATCTGTGCCAAAGCATGATGAGGTTCCAACCGAACATTTAGTTAAGAGTAGACTGTAGCCAAGCCAGGCTCCGTGGTGCACGCCTGTTAATCCCAGCACTCTGGGAGGCTGAGGCAGAAGGGTCACAAGTTCAAGCCCAATTTGGGCAATTTAGCAAGACCCTATCTCAAAATAAAAAATAAAAGGGCTGGGATGTTGGTCCATGCTAGAGCCCTGGGTTCGAGCCCCAGTATCTCTCTTAAGCACACACACACACACACACACACACACACACACACACACACAGTCCGGTGTGGCCAATGTCCTACATTTCATGGGCAAGACAGTCCTCTAGTTCATAGGAGAATGTGTCGCAACTTAATTTCACCTAGCTAACATCCTAGTTTCCAGCTTTTCTTCCCACTTCGGATAAAAATATTATTAAATCTGTACAGTAGCAGCTTTAACCTGTCACCCAGAGAAGCGTTCTGTTCCCTCCAGAGGCTTTTCTCCTCCACACTCCCTCTGGACGACAATACCGCCTTTCTGTGGCCGGCTAAGACCTCGCCATTAAAGGGCCTTACCAAGCCTCCTCATCTATCGAAGCAGAGGCATCCCACCCAAGGCATGTTCACAAGGAAACGTCACAGGCCGCACCCTAGTGCAGCGTCTCAGGAGCATACAGCGAACGCCGTCAGCTGCTGTGTGTGCGAGCACAAAGATCCTGGGACAAACCCGTGATGGACAACGGGCATCTCTCCAACTAAAGGCACCGAGGCAGCTGTCCCAGGAGCAGCCAGGTAGCCCCAAGGGTGGGCTTCTCGCATCACACACACCAAGGGTCGGGACAGGCGGCCCAGAGCCAGAGATGCCTTGAGGCCACTCAGAAACATCTCCCACCGCTGAACCTTACCACTGGGCTGTGGGGTGCGACCTGTGATTGGTCCTCTGTGCTCCCCGAAAGGACAACTTGGGCTCCACTCTGTCTTGTCACGACACACTGGGTTGGGCACTGCCCCTCCCTCCCTCCTTCCCCAGCCTGGCACCGGCACAGCCCCCATTCCCAGGAGTGAGCAGAGCAGCCAAGGAACCTTCGTGGTCCAAGCTCAACCTCTAGTGGACACATGATTATAGGACAGAACCAGCCAGAGGGGGCCGGGCCATCGTGCTGGGACAGGAGCTAGACGGTGGCTGATTTGGTCCCTCCAGCTAGGAAAGCCACTTCGACTTCTCAGCTCAGGCTTATGCGGGAAACACCAAAGAGGCATCTTGAAAAATTCTGCCCAGCGGCACCTGAGCCTTCAAAAGTTAGTATGAACTTTTCCTACGAATTTCTATCCTCTGAGGACATCACCCGCCATCCTCTGTATGACTTTTAACTTATTAAGCTAGTACTCACTATTTCGCAAAGCCACTTAGGTCTAAGGAGTCACACAATACAGTTCTGTTTCCACCACGTTTTAACAAAAACAAAATAAGAAACCTCCCAAGATCGCACGACTTCTAAAGTCAGACGTTTTGAAAATATAATCCCAGTTTTATTTTGCCTGAAAGACCGCCAATACTTTACCGTCCAAGTGTTGTAATTTAATTCTTTCACATTATCCCATCTCTGTTCTCCTTTATCCCAAAATATCTTCTCTTGCACTGTAATTTAAATCTATTAAAACACCTCAAACCCTTTCAGGAGTGCATAGAATTTTCCCTACTTTTCTCCTTATCTCCAATTCTTCCGTTCTGGCATGTTATCTCTCTCCTTTGGTCTCTGTCCTCATGCCCACGTGGCAGTCATCCTTAATTCCCGACTGCAGCTCTTCCACAAGATGGGACTGCCAGCCGACGGGGGCCTCCAGACCACACACAGCCGGAGGGTTCACCGGAAGTGGGCAGATGTGGGAACCCAGGAGAAACCACAAACACGAACTGGCCCGTCTCTCCAACACAGACCCCGGATTTGAAGGCTCAGAGGTGCTGGTGAGTGGAAGGGCCACGCAGAGTGGGGAGGACGGCGCCTTCGCTTCTTACCATTTCCTGAGCTGTCACGGCAATAGCTTTGGAGTATTTAACCACGGTCGTTTGGTAGTCAACAAACGTTCCCTTTGGTTCTGGAGGAGTGCCTTCATCCAGCTAGAGAGGAGAGGAAAAGAACCCAGATGTCACAAAAGCCTGTTGAAGCATGGGTTATTATTTATTAGAATTATATACTTTAAAAACTCAAAATGCTCTGAGAGATTCTCTGCCCCGACTCCACTGAATCCCTGAATGTCTATGGTAAGGACCGCAGTAGAGATTTACACAAGGTCCCCAAGGGCAAAGGCCAGGGGAGGCCTCACATTTGCATGAGAGAAGCAGGACGCACTCTGGGGACTAATGTTTCTGCGGAAGTCCTCCCAAGCGAGGGTGCCAGAGCTTGGGGGTGGGCCTCAAGTCACTGACCTAAACTCTCAGGTCTTTTAGAGGTGACTGGTATTTCTGAAACATTGTGTGGCTGTAGCAAACATCTCCTGAGACTATACCCGGTCAAGAATTACATAAGGAAGAGACGAAGACCATGCAATAAAAAAGATCGTGACAATAATGGTGATGCTGATGATGACTACAGGGAAGAAAAAAGCAACCCCTGTTGCAATCATCACCACTGTTGCTGCCCCCGGTGGCTGCAGAAGCTGTTCTAGCTGAGGGAGGACACAAGGTGACGGACACAGGGAGGTGGAGCGCAGCGAGGTTTGTATCAACTAAACAAAAAGGAGTGTTGGGAGGGGCGGGCATGCGACTGGATGAACTGTGTGGGGAACCTGGAGATTGTCATGAAGACGGTGGGATCTGGGCTGGCAGTGGGATCTCTGAGAAGATCTCCCTGGCAGCTCTTTGCCAGACAAGGACCAGGAAGTCAATTTAGATGACGTTTGATGGTGTTCTCAGTAACCGCTACATGTCATGAGCTGTACACCACGAGTAAAAGGAACATATCTACGGTGCGCAGCCTGGGACGTGATTTTTACCAACGCCAACTGTCAACGCCAAGTCTGGGCAAGATTTTTCAGGTCTCTTCTTCAGGCACACAGATGGTGACCCATGTCTCCATCACAGCATGGGGCCCTGCTAGCGGATGAAGTTATGGGCTCCTTCATTCAGTGTAAACAATGCATTTCCCAAGTGCCAGCCGTGTGCTGGGATCCTGTGCGTGAGACGTGGCTGAACTACAAACAAGCCAGGGTACGTCAGCAAAAGGAAGCTTAGAGCACGTAGCCAGCAGCCACCAGCTACCAGCCACCGTGACGAACACTGAGCCAGGTGGAAGGCAATGAGAAAGGTAAGAATAAAACAGTGTTTTCCGGAGTTCAGATTTATTTAGGTTAAAGGACTCCCCTTTATTTTGTGAGAATAGCCTTTACAGATTTTTCATATTAATATGACCTTTCATCAAACAGTGGTGGAACAGATAGCAAAGTTTCTGCTTCGGGGCTGGGGATTTAGCTCAGCGGCACAGCGCCTACCTGGCAAGCGCAAGGTCGTGAGTTCGATTCCTGGTACCGGAAAAAAAAAAAAACCAAAAAAAACCAAAGTTTCTGCTTCTTTTATTTCTGTACCTTTCTCTCTTGGGAGGGGCCAGAATCAAAGAAAGAAAAGATATAAAATCAAGAAATCTCAGAGAATCCCACTAACTTCACTGAACGGGGAAATCAAAGTTCAGAGAGCTTGAGTGACTTGTCCAAGATCACTGAAAAAGCAGATTACTTCGTATTAATCTATTAGTCCCCAACTTTCTGGTGCAGGGACTCCCCAGAAGGACCTCCGTAGCAGAAGCTCCAACGGTGTCAGGAATTGCATCCAGGTGAGAACCAACTTGGGTGCATTCCTACTTTTCTGCTTGTCAGTCCCTGCCTCTCAGAGTTTTAGACAACGAATTAATAAGAGTGTCAGTGTTTTAACCGCATTAACCCAACTCAGATGGGAAACGCCAGCTTCTTTATGCCTCGGTCCTTTGGGCCTAATGACCTAAAGCATCCCTTTGATACAAAGCCCCAGCGACGGCCGCATGAAGCGAAGAGGGTAAGAAGTGTTGTGCTGGCCCGGGACGCCGCGTGAGGGTTACTAAGTATAGTGCGAGGCATGAAACCCGTCGTGTATTTTGCAGACCCTTGGCTGTGGCCTCACGTGGTGTGCTGCAGCATTCCTCGTCATTGCTATCAGGAAACACGAGGCTGATGTGCCAGCCCTCCCGAAGAGCTGCGTGTTTCCTCAGCCGAGACAGCCGTCATCACCCCCCGACACAGGGCCGGGTGAGAGCTCCGGTATGTAAGGCTCAAAGGCTATCAAAGCAAGACTGCAGGACCTGACTTTCATTTTCCAGGGATTTACACAATGTTTTCCTATCACTATACTCATTCTAAAAAACCCCTTTCCCCAGAAGAAAATATTATCATTTGACTTTCTAATGTGTATTAAGAAACTCTGGACTCCATTACTTAACATCCTCGGTAGGCACGTAGCTTATCTTCAAAGCTCTGGTGTCCCGATGCCCTGGAAACCAAACAAACCCACTAAGGCTTATCCAGAAGCCTTATGAAAGGGGGATTTCACTATTCCACTCATTTTCTGCCAAACTGTCCATATTTGAAGCATGAAAAGCCCACATCAAAAATTAACGGGCACTTTGACAAAGCCCAGTCTGAGGTCCCCAAAGGGAGACCCAGGCTGGCTTCTTTGGCACTGAGACAATGACTGCATAATGTTTCCGGATAATTATGCTTATTATAGTCTCAAGGTATCAGTTCTTTATGGAGATACGAACAACCAATCTTCTCTAAATTAGCAATTAAAAACCGCTTATTATCCTGAAAAAAAAAATATTAATGTACTCACAATCTGACAATGGACATTTCAAAACACAGACGATGTCTACAGTTCTCGGCTGGGCTATCACAGAATGGCAATTAGATGCTGATGAGCAATTATTCATTCTAATAAATATCAAACGGACACAACTCGTGAAGGATTCCTTGGGGGAAAGAGCAGGAAGCACAGAGATAAAACTGCCTCCAGTCGTATTTTCCATATTCAAGTGATGGGTCACCAAATGCGAAAATGATACTCACGCTATCTTCTCTATCTACTGCCTAGGGGAGTCCACTAAGAGCTTTTGCACATGCTGTACTTTTGAGTGGCTCTTGCCTTTGGCTATCCACCAGCACCAGGAGGAGATTTTTACATGTACCAGCACAGATTCCCAGGCTTGACCCCATAGAGAGCCCCATGGAGCAGGTGAGGGAAGGTGCATCCTAGAAAGCTCCCTGTGATCCCCAAGCGGCCATTCCGGAGAACAGCATTTGAGAAGCACTTCCTCACTGCATTCTGGGGGTTGTTCCACCAACACAAGACAGAAGCAGTACATACTAACTATTTTCATTTTACAAATAAGGAAACCAGTGATTTTTTTTTTACCATCTCTTTTTTTTTTTTTTGGTTTTTCTCCGGTACCAGGAACTGAACTCACGACCTTGCGCTTGCCAGGCAGGCGCTTTGCCGCTGAGCTAAATCCCCAGCCCCTTTACCATCTCTTTTTAATGCACAGGTAAAACTGGGAGGAAAGGGCCAGAAGCTTACAGAGGTCATGAATTAACAGTAAAGAGTGAATGATGTGTTGGACATAAGCTTAGATGATGGTACATTAATAGAAACTTGGTGAAAAGGCTTGGTACTGTCAGAGCCAGTGAGCTCCTCGGGAACAGCACTTGGGGACAGCATGGAGAGGGACGGAGGACACAGTGCCAGGGAGCCCATACCCACCTTGCTCATGGCCTCTGCAATGGCGTCCACCATGCCCCCCACCAGCCCCACTTCACTGGCTGCTTCGTTCAGCGTCACCATGATGTCGTCCACGGCCTCTTTCATCAGCTGCGCGGCCTCCGTGATGGCGTCGTGCGTGTGCTGCGCCTAGGATAAGTGGGAAACATCTCTTTAGCGGGTGTAAAGGACGCTCAGTCCTTTGAGAACCCTTCACTTCCCTTAAGAATAACCTTACACAAGTGGAAGCCAAAGGCATAGCCCCCACAAAGGAATCAGCAACCAGTCTGTATTCTCCCTTTCCCTGATTTTGTACGTTTCTTTGCAAAATAAAGAAAAAATAGAGAGCCAAAAAGGAAAAATGATTGCCTTCTCTAAGTGAGGGGGGCGATTACAACATGGCCACAAACTATATTATGATGTAAGTAATTTTATATCTTGCAATGTTCAGGCCAACAGAAAAAGAATTCCACAGGTTTCTAAATATACAAGCAGACAGAATTAATGGGAAAAATTAACACAAAGGAAAAATACATTCAGAACAAACGTACTTCTCTTAATACTGCCCAATACACTGTAAGTTCCTTTCTATGAATATGTCGAATAACGGAAATACATCTGCAGAAGGTCTAAAGGCCCTGGGAACCACTTCACAAGTTATGTTACCATGGGGTTGGAGGGGTCGGTGAGGAACCTTCTCCAAGGGCAAATCTCTGCAAACTGGTACTCACTCGTCCTCTGACCATACCTGGATTATCTGCCAATGCCAAGCACAGGGCAGGAGCAGGTGAAGGAGTGAGGGAATGGGCAGAACAATGGCAGTGCTGGAAGACACCTCATCTGGTAGCAAGAGTAGGGAAAGAGCCAACGTCTTGGGGCAGGAAAACCTGGCTTCACTGCTAACTAACTAAACGGCGTGAGCTCGGCTTCCTGTTCAGTGAAATGCGAAGAATCACGTAACACCGTGCTCTGAAATCCTGATGGACTGATATGGGCACAGGTACCTTATTTGGCATAACACAGAGCAGGAGGAGGCTGTGCCTGGCCCTGTGACACGTGACCTAGCACCAGGCAGTCCATGTGACAAGTGTGCACCAAGGCTCTGGATCTACCCATGCAGTGACCACCCTTCCCAGCCCACTCCAGGGAGACGACTGCGGAGAGGAGCTTGATGGGGCAATGCTTGAGAATAATTAACCCAGGCTCCGAGGCTGCTGCTTCTTATTTGCAAATGCCTGCAGTATTAGGCACGTTATCTCAACTGGTCTCCACATTGTTTAGGTGAGGAAACAAAGAAATCATCTGTAACAAGAGGCAGAGCTGGGATGTGAATCTGATTTTGCCTGACCCAAGAGTTTGTGCTACTGTTCACCAAGTCAGAACTACCAAGGAATATTTAAGACTATTTTAACTTGATTTCTGTAAGTGGGGATCTGTAACACCTAACCCACAATGAATGAGACATAGTCAGTAGTGACCCCCAAAATGAGTTAAGTCTGTGGCCCCAGCCTCTCAGGGAAACTACTCTAGTCCCTATTTCCAAGCACAGGAGGTCATTATGAAGCTTACAGTCCTGACCATATGCTTCCAGCCACGAGGCTCCTTCAGAAGCTGACCTGCACTCAAGAAGATATGCTGACATCCTACAGATCCAGAGAACTCCTGCTTCCATATAGTACCCTACTGGCACCGAAACCCTCAGGGGAGGGCAGAGACATGTGGCAGTAAACAGCTCAGAGAAAGGGCAAGCAGACCAACTCCAAGGGTGGTTTGGGCTCTTTCATTTGGAAGCGGGTGCAAAGGGGCTGGCCTGACCTCAGGGCACTGTTGCTAAGCCTTTACAGGCAAAGCTGCCTTCTTTGTCCTTCTTGTTCTCCTTTACCTCTTTTACAACTAGACTTAGCATTCCAAAACTATGAACACCTTGCTGGTGGCGGCTGGCTCTTAATATTTCCAGCATCCTCAGAATTTAGCTGTTAGTCCTTGACAGATACGTGAATGAAAAAAATGAACACAGAAAATACACATCTAAGATAAGATTCACATTGCTACCAGTTTGATGTTTCAAAACATGGATCGGTCATGTCATTCCCCTGCCTGGAGACCATCACCGGCTCCCTCCTGCTTATCATAATGGCCAAACTCCTTGGTGTAGAAGTTGATCCCCAACACAGAACAGCTTGGGCTACCCTCCTGTCTGCCTGTCTTCAGGATCTGCATGTTCCAGCCTGCTTGTCCTGTTTGGAAGGCATCACATCTCTTTAGAACACAATGTGTGTCTTTGCCTATGTTGTTCCCTGTTGCCATGTCCCCAAGTTCAAAGTAAAATGTGGACCAAGGTCACTCAAAACATACTGTCATCATTTTTGTCCACCAAAAACATGTGAGTGACACAACAGACTAAATACGTGTTCCCCTTACAAACTGGCAAGGGAAAAATCATACTAAATTACAGTCTCTAAAATACAAAGAACAGACATAACATTTACTGGAAAACAACTGAGCCTTTCTTTGTGCAAGATGGGTGTCAACACTGAACCCAGCGGGTGTTAGTTGTTTGCCTGTCATAATGATGCTGTACATCTGTCATCCCCAAGGATGTGTGTCTGCACATCCTGCCACGGAAAAAGTAATTTACAAATAAACCTTAATTATGCGTATTCCTTGCCTCCCCCAATTCCCAGGAAAGGCCAACGGAAGATGATTTCCCACTGTGGAGCGAGAGAACCGGAAGTACTCTTCCTAGAGGGACATAACACAGGAGGAACTTGGTGGGCCTGAGCCATACCTTGGCGGTGGTGTAGCTAATGGGGTGGCGGGGGGAGGCAGATGAGTACGTGGCCTGCCTCAGGTGGCAGAATTTTGGGGCAGTATCATTGGCAGAAAGGAAAATTATATGATAATGATTTATGCTTCTTTTAAACTACACTTAATGTTAAGCTGAGGTTTCCTATGTGAGTCTGAACGCAGCCACATGACTGTCTCTAGTCATGTGACTGCTTACACACAGATTGTATTGTGTGGTTTCCATTCGTGTCCCAACCGCTGCGTTAAAAGACTGCCCTGAGGTGTACCTTGGGGTTTCCTCCACCTTCTTTGGCTGCATACAGCATCTGCAGGGCGGACTCTGCAAGAGTCTTCGTCTGGTCCAGCACTGTCATCTGCTGCTGATGGTCCAGAATCTTAGAGGCAACACCTACTGCAGCTAAGATCAAGGGCTCGAAGTAGCTCGCCAGCTGTGTCACCTTCAAGAAAGAAAAGCCACAGATGCATCATGGAAATTCGTTGACTCCCGGGGCAAGGCAGGGCTCTGACAATTTATTTCTGCAAGTCCTTGCTGACTAACTGGCTGTTGCTTGGTTTTTATTTCCTGTAGGGATGGAGGGAGATCCTTCATCTCTTGGCCAAATATGGCAGAAATGCTCAGAAGCCCATTCTAAGACCCACAGTCACACATCAGAATTGAACTCCGTTTTACAAATCCTTAGTTTTACAAGTAAGAAACTTTTTAAGAATCAAAGGTGTTTTACAACTCAGAAGGGAGGGACACACAGGGCAGCAAGAGGTGAGAGAAGCAGCTTGTGGTGATGAGAGTCTTCCAAAGCTTTTCAGCAAGCTGATCTGACTGGCGTCTGGCTCCTTTGGAATAAGAGCAAAGTGATTTTTCACACCGGCCTAGATTTCATACCAGCTCACTAAGGGGCCAAGGGTATAGCTCAGCGGTAGAGCACTTGGCTAGCACGTTCGAGGCTCTGGGTTCAATCCAAGGTACTCCCACCTCACCTTCCTGTACACAAAGTTTATTAAGACTGGCCTATTTCCAAGAAGGGAAAACCACACACATCCACACTGGCTAGCTTGATGCTGCAGGGTCATGTGTCACAAAAAACTTACCAGGCACATCTCCTATGCTAAGCTCTCTGCTAAACATTTAGCAAGCATTCCCTCCATAGCCGTTTAAGAGATAGATAAATATGAAGGAACAGGCTGAGGTGGGTAGGCCACAGGCTTTAGGCAGTAGAGAGCGGGAGACGAGACAGGAACCCAACTTTACAACCCCGCTCCCACCCGCCACGCTCTACTCCTACCTGTTATTTTCTGTTTCTGTCTTGGTTCTGGTGTTGTCAGGTAGAGCTTTAAAAGTTTATCACTTGGTATTTGGTTTTTTGTTTTTTTTGCTCTGCAAAGTACTGAGAATAAAGTCTGGGGATAACATGGTGACAGGGCTCTACCTAGCATCCAGAACGTCACATCGGAACCTTCTGCTGTATTCTGATGATGCTGTAATCTATTCCCACCCAGATCCAACACGACTATGCCAGTCACCTTTCTGTTCCACTTTCCATCCTGTGCAGTAATGACTAAAGGCTAGGTTATCCCATCAAGGGTACTTCCGGGCAAACCTCTAGCAGGAGCTCACTTAACACCTCTTCCCATCACAGGGAAGGAGAACAAGCATTGTGGGAAGCTAGGCAGAAAGGCCACTGCACAGAGCAGGGCCAGGGCCAGGCAGAGGCAGGCGTGAAAAGGGCTGGGGCAAGGCGTGTGCGAGCGCTATCCCAAAGATAAAGAAGCTCATGGCAACAGGAGGCGTGAGCAGCAATGAACACGCGTTCACTCTGAAATGCCACTGGGTTATCTGACAGACGGCTCTGAAGCACCTGAGCAGGGCAGCTGCTGGCCCTAGAGCACCTTCACGGTCACTCGGAAGGAGCTCGTTCGGCGACTTGAACGATGCCAGGCATCTGGCTTGGTGAGCAGAGCACAGGCTAAATGTGGGCCCCCACCCGCGCTCCATCTGACTCCTCTGCGCATGGCCAGCCCGCAGAGCCTCAGACAGAGCCCCGCACACACACCCTGCACTTTCTCCTCTTCCCCAGGAAGGCTATGGATGTTGTCATCACAAGGAATGAGACAGCGGTGCCATCAGGGTCAGGACTCAGTATGGACCCTCTCTGCTTCCAAGACACAGCAAAATGCCTAATGCATTAGAATCCTACAGGTTTTATAGACTGATTTTAGTTATTTTCAAAGGATACTTCATTGATGCCGCTGTAAAATGTCAAGGAATGCTATATGCTGAGAAAAATAAAATGCAACAACTAAGCCAGTGCCCACGTTCCTCCTGGAGGTGGTGTGACTGGGTCACACAGAGAGTAAGCTCTGGCTTCAGGGTCACTGGCTTTCGATCTGCCTTGCTGTTTCCTTACTGAGAAATTGGATACAAGTTTCTCCGATGACTACATTCCAGTTTCCTTGTCTGTCAGATGGGGATTAAGAATAGCACTATGCTCTTAGGAGGGTTAAGTCAATGGACACAATAACCCTGAGCAGAGTGACCGCCATAGTTAGCACGCGATAAACGCTGGATGTAGTTATTCCTTACATCACGGCAAAGGGTTTGGAAGAATGTGCCTCTCTCTGTATTAGGGAGCACAGCAAGGGCTCTCGCATCTTCTGTTCTGGAGCCATGACCAAACAGGAGACGGCATGTCAACTAAACCAATGCAGGCCTTTTAATACTCGCTACTTGATACATGTCCACGGTAGGTCGAACGGTGGTCTCCAGAAGATCTGCCCACAAACCAACCCCTGGAACTTCTGAATATGATCTCATTTGGGAAAGGGATCTTTGTAGATTTTTATGTTTGTTACAGTGCTAGGAATCAAACACAGGGCTAGGCAATTGCTCTGTGCTGCATCCCCAGTGCAGATGTGTCTAAGCTAAGGATCTCACACGCATCTAAGACGGGACCATCCCGGTGACCTGGACAGCCACTAAGTCCAGTAGCAAGTGTCTGTGTAAGAGACAGGAGAGACACAGAGCAGCAAGGGAACCACTGAGGCACAGTTTGGTGTGACAGTCAAGGGACAGCAGGAGCCACCAGAAGCAGGAAGGGTACAGCGCAGAATCTCTACGGAATCCACTCTGCAGCCTCCAGAGGAGGCACAGGAATGCCCACGTCCTGATTCTGGATTTCTGGACGCCAGAGTTGCAAGAGAACAAGTTTCTCCTGCTTTAAGCCACTCAGTTGGTAGTGATGTTACAGCAGCCACAGAAAACAGACACAAGTTAGGTCTGGGAATCTGCCTTTCTTTTGCCTGCCAGAGGATGGGAAGCTGCAGGTCCGGCACCCCACCTGAACACAGGGATGGAGCAGTGGGAAATGGGGTTACTCTCAGGCCACGGCTCCTCTAGACAGAAAGCCACAGGCTTTTGTCCCTGCCATCATTTTAGAAGAGATATATATTGAGCTACATCCTTGGACCTGTTCATTTATAGTTAGGGTCTCACTTAGTCACTCAGGCTTGCCTGGAACTTGCAGTCCTCCTGTCTCAGCCTCCCAAGTAGCTGGAATTACAGATAGGTAACATCATGCCTATTCTATATTATTTCTGTTTCAATGCTACTCTTAAACATTGGCGTTAGTCTTCTGACTAGCACATATATTATACATATATACCTACATAACATATAGATCTCTGCATAAAATTATATATACACATATTATGTATTATTCACACATACACCTGCAGAGACACAGATACTGCCCTCCAAGGACATCCAGAGATATTTTCTTCCAAAATTTATAATGGAGTCAAAAGTGACTGCTGAAATAATGTCCAGCTTCTCTACCAAACTCTATTCCCGTGTCCAGGTCAGTTCTACCTGCTCAGAGATCCTCACACAGCTAGACAAGTCCTTTCCTGATTATAAAGAAACTCAGATGAAAAATCAAACTGGCCACACTTGAAAAGGCAGAGAGACACTGGCCATTTTAAATCTCAAAAAAACCCCTTCCTAGAACCAGTGGGAGGCTTAATTGCCCCTTAAGCTCTTGTGTAATTTGAAAGAGCAAGAATATTGATGTTTTCAAATCAATACCCGCAGAGATTCTGGCTGCTGCATTTCTTGACATGCACGTCAATACTGACGGCTGCACCGACAAACGCTAGGAAACCCCAAGGGCTGTGAAAAATCCAATGTCTGGCTTCTTCCCGCTGTGGTACACGTTGTGTGACCCGCCAGCTCTCCTTGAAGGGTTTGCAAAGTGAACCCCAACCAGGCAAAAAGTACTTGCTACGTCCAGCAGTGCTTTGAGTATGAACTTGGTTGCGTGATCCCTCTGCAGTGGCTGTGCAGGGAGGCTTTGGCCATCCAGGAGCAAGTCTGCAAGCTTGTTTGGCCTCATCACACACAGGAAAAGAAACCAGGGAAGAACTCTGTGCTCTTGAACGCACTGCAACAGGCCCAGCTGGCCAGGGATGAAGGATGGCAGACTAGAGGCTGGGGATGGTCGCTTTAGTCCCTGGCTTCCTTCAGGGAAGGTCAAGAGCAACCAGTGATAGCCAGTGCCTTGCTGGCCGAATCTGACCACAATCCCCCCAAAATATCAATATAGAGTTCTCAATGCTACGTGAAAACAGGCCCCAAAGCAATCATTTTTGGAAAAGAGACCAGAGGGAAGCTGAGAGCAGTTTGCAGTTTACATAGAATTGTAGTTAGCACAATACCCAGCACTGCAGGCTTTTAGGGACAGTGACGAAATGGATTACTTGTAATCCCAGCACTTGGGAGGCTGAGGCAGGAGGATCAAGACTAGCCTGGGCTACAAAGTGAGCTCGAGGCCAGCCTAAACTGCATAGTGAGACCCTGTCTCTAAAAAGACCAAAAAAAAAAAAAAGGATTACTCCCTCTCTCATTAAGGTTTTTACCTAGAAGTCCCCCTAAAGCCTCATGTACTCAAAAGTGGGGCTTTCTGGAGGTGGTTGGGCCATGGGGTGTCATACACATCAGTGGATTAGTCCTAAGTCACTAATGAAATTGCAGCCAGATGTGATGCTGGGAGGCAAAGCCCGGCTGGAGGAGGTGAGCCACTGGGGTGTGGCCTGCAAGGGTCTATCTACTACCCTCTCCTTTGATCTCTGCTCTACCTCCTACGGGTGTGCTGAGAGCTGTTTCTCCTCTGCCATGCCGCCCTGCCTTGGAGTCAGCTGAGATACAGATAAACCGTGAGCCCAAAGAAACCTCTCCTTTGACTTGTGGGTGTCAGGTGGTGTGTCTCAGTGAAGGGAAAGAGGCAGGGCAGGGTGCCCTCAGCGCACATTACCTTATGTCCCAGCTGGGCTGCTTCTCCCCGAGCTGCTGTGGCGATAGGGTCGATAAGATGCCCGATTTCCTGGACCACTGAAGTCAGCTGTTCCTGCAGGGCCTGATACGGACAGAAGCGTGAGGATCCCCTGCCAACAGCTCCCTACAATGGGGCACCAGGATGAAAAGACCAGAGAAGACACCCAGAATGGACACTGAAATGCATGGGTGTGCCAACAAGCTGCTGCTTCCTGCCTGCCCAGTGGAGCCTCAGCTCCCCTGGGCCAGCTGCTGTGACACCGGAGAGGCCAGAGGCAGGCCCCAGAAAGGTGTGACCGGGGGCTTCCCGCTCCTGCCAGCCCTCACAGCAGATGCCAGTGCTACCTTTACTTTAGTTATTCAGCACAATTACTGGAAATGTGGAATAGCTGTGGCTTCCCCAGAAGGAAGGACAACTCTCTCCAGAAGTACACAGCTAACTGGGGTCTGAGGCAACATCCAGGTCCCTGTGTTCTCAGAACACACGGTGGGAGAGGAAGGTGATAGAAAAATGCAGTCAGCTCTCTGAAAGCAGGACGCTGCCACCCAGCGCACCAGGAAGATGCCAGGTGGGAAGCACTGAGCAGGATCCACGCTAAGCTCACTGCACTGGGTGGCACGCACACAAATCCCGGCAGGAGCACCCCGGAAGCATTTCCCTGGGAGTGAGATGGATTCACCACTCTGCCCCAAAGAGGTGAATTCAGGATACAAAGGACCAGGGAAGAGAGCTGTAATAGGCTGGGAGTGCGAGAGAACAAGGACTCAAGGCTGGGGATTATTAACCAGTCGCAGAAGAGATCTGACCCCTTTTTCGTAGGTGTATTGACGGGAGGTTCAGGGCCAGCAGATGAGAACTGCGCACACCAGCCTGGAACTAAGTGGCTCCCAATGAAGGGACAGAGTGCGGTCTTTGCCAGTTTCCCTTAGGACAAGGCTGCCCGTGAGCTGGAGGGCTTTGTGCAGACTTCACTCTGTGGAGGCTCAGCCTGACAAGCAAACTTGAAAACCAAGGAGAGCCAGGGAGAAGCTCAGAGAAGGTCCGAAGGTCTTCAGCTAATTACTTATTATCTTCAGGCTTGTGACGTGATGACAGATAAAAATGTTGGGCTGTGCAGCAGTGATGTTTCATTATAGGTGATTTGTTAAAATTAAATATGGTGGAACTGGTGGGCGCACACGTATTTCAAAAGAGGAGCTAGCTTTGTAGCGAGGAAGTCGGCATAGAGGACTTGGTTTGCGGGGGAGACAGGGAGGAGTCCAGAGGGGGGTTGACAGCTGTTTTTTGCAGTTTAAGACAGCACTGTAGTTAGCACAGTACTCAGCAGGGAAGGCGTTGGGAACGGACAAAACTGATCACCCCCTCTCCTTATGGCTTATATCTAGGTGTCCCGCAAGGCCTCACACACATCAGTGGGTCAGTCCTAACCCACCACTGAGTCTGCAGCTACGTGCGACGCTGGGAGGAGGAGCCGGTTGGAGGTGGTGGCCACCTTCGCTTCTGGACCTGGGGCTGAACACAGGGTACGTTCGGCCAGTGGTTCTCATCAAAGCCACACATCTAACGTGCCTTTCTGAACACTTTAACACGTTAAAAATAGTAATTCTGGCCTTCCACACAGGATGAGAATGCTTAGTTCTTTTGTATCTTCCTGGAAATGCGTGGATGTGAAGCTGGTGTGAAATAGACAGCTCTGTTAATAAAAATGAGCAACGCCAAACTCCAGGGCCACTGGTCAGAGACAGGGGCCAAAGCTCACCGCACTAACGCAAACGTCAGCAAACAGACCACTCATTTATTAAGCACCTCTGAATGCTAGGCTGTTATTTATTTATTTATTTTTGGATTTTTGAGACAAGGTCTCGCTATGCAGTTAGGCTGGCTTCGCCTCGAGCTCACCTTGTAGCCCAGGCTGGCCTTGAACTCACGGTGATCTTCCTGCCTCAGCCTCCCGAGTGTTGGGATTATAGGCATGCACCACTATGCCTGGCTAGGCTCTATTATTTATATAGAGAAAGTGGTAGGAATCAGGAGGCTTTACTCAGCTGACAGAAACCACTCAACAGAAATCCTCTTCTAAACTGGAAAAACCATCAAGAAAGGAGAAAGTGGTGCTAAGTAATACAATGCAAAAGGCGCTAACATACTAGATAATGATATGTATTGGAGCTTAATGCCAAGTGCATTAGAATCCGATGGCAAATTCGCCCACTACTCTGAAAGTGGATCGATAAGCTGTGACAGAAGCACTTAACAGAGGCCTAACTAGCTCTATGGCACTGTTCAGAGAAACACAGTAACCTTACATTACCAGCACACAGTTACCTGATGCTGATAATTTCTCCCCATATCTCCCGCACCTGAACTTCACCCCTGGCGGCAGGTGTACTCTCTCCTCCAGCTGTCCCCCACATCAGCCCGACCCCTTCTAAAAGCTTCCCAGGGTAGAAGGTTGCCTAGTGATAAGACCCCAGCATCAGAAATGCTTTGTCCCCCACCCCCAAATTTGATGCTGAGATTCTTCAGCATCTTCAGAGCTCCGTCGCTGGCCCCAGACATGTGCCTTACCTCCACAGAGATGTCGTCCCTCGTGGCCAAGCTCTGGCTGACAGCTGCCAACGAGGCCTGTTCGATGTCCCGAATGCACCGATTGATGCCATCGATAGAGTAGTCACACTCTCTCTGCCCAGGGGCCTTGTCCCTGGAAGGGACGGGGCAGATGAAACGCTGAGTTAGTTCATGGCGCTCACGTCCTGCCACCTGTCCTAGCCCTGGTGGGCTAGGAGCCCCTATCCCTGTCCCGTCTGGTCACCTTAATTAAGGAGTGAATCTGGCCCTTGCTGGGTAATGCCTCACTGCATAATCTGGGCATTTCTTATCTTTTTTTTTGTTTTTCTCTGGTACCGGGAACCGAACTCACAACCTTGCGCTTGCCAGGCAGGCGCTTTTGCCACTGAGCTAAATCCCCAGCCCCTTGGGCATTTCTTATCTTAACCTGCTCTCCTCATTTCTAGTGGGAAGGACACAGTACTGCCCTCCACCCCAGGCTGATGCCAAGCCCCTGCAAAGGGAAGAAGCTGGATTCGGATTCTCCTTTCACTGACTTGGAAAACTTCCAGTGCTACTTACAGCACGAATGTACCGTACTGTTGTTTACCAGTCATAAACTGATGGGGCTGCACAAGGAGTTAAAATATCTGGTGGGTTTTTCTTTGCAAGGCATTAAGCAAAAGTCAGCTGTGGGTTTGAGCTTCAAAAACAACTGGAAAACAAAACACAGCTATGGAAATAAATGCATCCCATGCCGTGGCACATTGACGTCGGTCAGCTTCAGAGATGTTGCACCTACCTGGGGATGTCTTTCCAGGCTCCTACTACCACCGAGGAAATCAGAGATGGCTGGAGCTATTGCGGGCTGTATCCTTTTTGTTTTATTATCAAACTAAAGAAACTCTCGCATTTTGAGAAACAAATAATAGTGCGTGCTGTATGTCTAAGCTCCTAGTTACAGACCACGTGGTACAAAGGTTAGAATACATGGGACTAACGAGAGGCAGGGAGATGCCAACTAAATTCTCCTGCCTGCATTTTTCATCAGTACAATGGAAATACGGGTATCTACCTTACAATGTAATGACGGTCAAAGAAGGGAATATAAGTAAAACACTCAGAATAACACCTGGTGTTTAGTAACATCTGGTGTTTACAACACTTAGTAAAAGCATAACTTGCTACTATTGAGGCCAGTGCTATCACTGGTCCCGAAGAGATAAAAAAAAAAAGATGATGATAATGATCAATAGGAGTATTAAGTGAGAAGCTTGGTGAGTGTACCACCCCCTCCTGCTCTGTTCAGAGGCTGCCCTATAGCCCCCTCTGGATGGGAAACTGACCTGATAGATGTGATGAGACTCTTAATGGAGTCAGACACAGTATGGGAATGTCCAGCCAGCACAGACCAGGTAGGCGGGTCTTTGGGGTTGATGGCCAAAGAGCGTGCGGTGCGGATGAGGTATGACGAGCTCTCCAGCATGGTCTTTGCAGAGACCAGGATTGGTTCCTGAGCCTGAGAGCCCTAAGGTCAAACAGCAGAGCGGTCAAGGTCAGGCTACACAGCCATGAGTGGTTAAAACGGGCCCTCAAAAGTCTTAGTCTTTGTCACATCACCCCCTCCACCTTAGGGACTGAAGCCATTATACAAAAGGGCTTGAGGTGGTGAGCACTTGGGTTCAACTTTGCGCCTTAAGTAGACGTTCCGCATATGTCATTTTCCATGAAACCATCAGCCCCAAACCTGAGCAGAGACTGTTCTCAACATATGAAGCTGTTTCCTCTCAAGAAACGTCTAGTCATTGATTTCACAACTCTGTGCAAGTAACATCATCAGCAATAATGTACCCTACATACTGACCGAGGCCTTTGGAATATTTGTTTTTATTTTTTTCTTTTTGTGGAGATTTTTTTTCTTTCCTGAGAAACTTAAGACTTGGGTACATCAAATAAAACCAATTTCTGGGGAAAAAAATCAAACTTTACAATAGAAAAAAAAATGTCTGGGAAGAACTCAGAGAATATACTTTTATAACTGAAAAGTTCTAGGTGCTTCATAATTGACCTTTTGATACAAAATGACCAATTTGCAACTTCTGCTTCTAACCGGTCATGTGCATTCAATGCTGCCGAAGACCCTTGTGTTAACTTTGCTGCAAAGAGCGCCCTACCTCCGAGCTGATCTGGGCGGGAATGCTGACGAACTCCGGGTTTGACGCAAATGCTGTCAGGTTCTCCACAGCTTCGATCAAGGGTGCAGTGGCAACGCGACATTTATTGCGGTTGTCTTCAGAGAAATCCCCATCCAGCGCCTGACGGGAAAAAAAATGGGAGTTTTTCATCTGACTGAGAAGCACAAAGCATCCCCAAGCTAGAGCAAGTTCTTCAGCGGGGCAGAAAGACAGTTCAATGAGACTGCTAGTGGGAATGTTTGGTAGATTCATAAACAACAAATAAGAACTGCCTGGACAGAGAGACCCAGTTAGCCAGAGCCTGGTTGCGCAGCGCACAGAACGCCTGGCTTCCCAGTCAGTCAACTCCCACTCCCACGAGGCACAAATGGGCCTGCTCTTGCCTCCCTCGGGCTGGGCTGTCAGACCCCACCTTTGACACTACAGTCCTAGGGCTCTGCGCCTCCATTTCTGCTCTGATTAAGTCCCGAATGATAAAGTTGGCACTTGTACTGTCTTTTAGTCTTGACTGGATGTCCCTGCATGACGTCACCTCCACCACCTGGCAATGAACGTGGTGGAATCCAATGCAAGGAGCAAACGAGACTGCTCTTCAATCATGCGGACAAATCCCACTAACATATATCTAGTTAACCTTCCCCTACCTTGGACTTGGCCGCACAACACAGGGTATCCTCTAAGTGATTCTGTCTGTGCAGAGAACAAACACAGGTAGAACTAACTGGGGTATTAGAGGTCAGGTTACCCCATAGAGCGGGTGGGACTGAAGGGGACCTGCTGGGAGAGCTTTCTGATGTGGATAACGTGCTGCTTCTCCATCCAACCGTCATTACTTAGCAGTTTCAGCTTGGGAAAACTCAGTGAGCTTTACACTTGAGGTGTGTTTTTTCCTCTATGTATCTTCTGCTCTTTTCTTCTCTCTCTCTCTGCCTCTCTCTTTTCTTTCTTCCTCTGAATTGGTATCAGATAACACAAGAGCTTGGGAAAACCAGTGAGGTCTATACATGAGGTGTTTTTTCCTCTATGTATCTTCTTCCCCCATCGGTAGCAGGTAACATAACAGCATACTGCTGATTCACAACGGGATGGAACAGCATCCAGGAATGCGGCCTGTGACGCATGCTGAGCTGCCGCACCAAGGGCTAACACTGAGAGTCAAGGTCCCCACCCTGGAGGACAAGACTGTTAGAACCAACAGCAGGCGACCCGGGCTAGTGTCCCTGCCTCCTACCAAAGGGCTGCTTGTGGGAAAGCAGTTATGCTTGCAGAAGGCCAATTTCCTCATTAAATAACTAATTAAACTGTTAATTTCATCCTTATGTGCAATACATAAAAGCCAGCATAGACAATTAGCAAAGAAAAAACCAGAGGTGCTGGTATTGTGCAACACACAGGGTCTGAATTCTGGTTTTCAGTAAGGCAAGAGGAGGCAGGCAGGGTGGGTCTGAAGGCTACTTCTGAATAACAACTGCATTCCAATCAAGCCTTGGCAGCTTGGGACAGTAATTACCCATCCCCGTAATGCTAATATTTTCAGAGGAATTCCCAGGGGCCTGGCTAATTTATGGTCGCGGCTGGTGCCCTTCCCCCAGCAGACAGGCACTAATCCCCCCTAACCTCGGACTTGGGCTTCCTCCTAGGCCCAGCGGATTCTCCACATGCCTGCTCCTTCCTGCTCCTCTCCAACTGCCACCAGCAGCAAATGCTGCTTCACATGCTGGCCCAGGCCACGTAGAGGAGACGCAGCTCAGCACGGGAACCTCACTGCACCACTACCACCACCGCCTCCTTGAGCTTGGGTCCTCCCAGGCCTCAGCCATTGGGGAACACTGTGGGAAGCACGTGGGTGCTACCTGGCAGGAGCCTGACACGGGTGGCCCTGGCATAGGAAAACAGTGACACGGGCGGACAGCCAGAGCGGACTTTGGAACCCAAGGGGCTCAGACCCCGGCTCCGGCAAGCACCGCCCTCACTTGACAGAAGATGCTGAGCCTCCCGCTGGTCTGCTCACCCTGCCTGCCCCTCAGTCTTTCGCACCTCCACACTCTCACCCCTCCCGCCTCCCCAAGACGGTTCAGTTCACTGGGAAGCCAAGCATCTGATCAAGCCATGGATCCTCAGCTGAACTGACTCAACCTGCAACAGCGACTGCCCGAGGCGAATCCCAAGGAACAGCTCTCTAATGGTTTCATGAACTGCACCAACGCGATGAAAGAGTCTGTCTGTCTAGCATAAGTTCTGAGAAGCCTGTGTCATGTAGCCCATTACTATTCATAGACCAGCAAGCTGAATAATGTAGACCAGAAAGCCAAGCTGTATCAAGGACTTTTTCCTATTTTCACATAGAAATAGTTCCCTCCAAAGAAGGGATTTGGCATCACAAAGGATGGTTCGTGCAGATATTATTTCATTTCCAAGTTTTGTTTCCAGTGGACATAGCTAGGCCACTCAATTAAACTGAGCACTCGGATCTGCCTGGCAGTCAAACACCAAGCAAGCAAGTTTCCTTGTGGTCACACCATGTCACAGAGCATCCACTACGCCAGCCACCAGGATGAAAGGGCAAATTCACTTGGTCACAGGTCCAGGACCATCGGTCAAGGGCACTCCTAATGCTGCGCCAGCTGCTCCAACTTTTCACAGCACAATCTCCCAGGGATCTTGGCGAAGCAATCTCTGTGCAGGAATAAGAATCAAAGATCCACACGTTTTGAAGGGATTTCCCAGAACTTACAGACGGTTTAGTACCAAACCCCCGCTTTTCCCAAACAAAACCTGACCTTTCCACATCAGAAAACATCACAGAGACACGATTTGCTAAAGTCACCCTGCTACTGACCAGCATTCCTCAAACATAACCCAAGACTCCTGGCTCCTTGTTCTCCTGCCGACTTTAGACAAAAGCCAAAAGGAGGAGCAGTATGAAGGCCTTGAATTTCCCCCCTCTTTCTTCGGAAAAAAACTATTTCACCAATCCAAACACAAGGATGACCAGGAAAACATACTCACAGCCAAGACAAATGCGGGTGAAGAGAGTGGATCAGGTGCCGGTGGCACACGCTGGAGACGCTCAGATGCAGAACTCTGAGCTCTGCGTCCGAGGTAAAGGCCAAGGCCAAACTTCAACTTCTCAGAAAAACAAACGCCGGTGTTGCATAATTTCTACTTGGCACCCAAACCTGAGTGACTGCACATTTAAAATAACATTCCATTCCACACGTCTGATTCAAGGCTAGGTAATGAGCAGATGGGAGAGAGAAGCAAGCATGTGTGTATGTGACGACCAGCGGACAGGGCGGCCAGGGGCAAGGCTGGGTCTCCTGCTATCTTGCCCAGCATTTCGAACCATCCCTGGCACACATGACACACACCGATTGTCCTCCTGTTGAGCTGTGCATTGTGATTAGAAAAGATGCCATTGGTAGAGATTTAGGATCATTGGACATGCACGTTCTGCTTATTTTTCTATTCCTGGTGCTTGTCTTGCCAAATCTCTCCCTCCCTTCTTGACTAGGAAGGTGTGGTAGCTAGGGTTTATGCTCGGGCATATCCTCACGGTGCAAACAGAAAACCAACCCTAGGAAGCATAGCGCTGAGAGAAAAATCCAGCTGTCTTAGGTATTAAGGAATTACATTTTCATTTGCTTTTTGGTTTGACAGGATATTCAACCATGTCTTCCAACAGGAAGCCTATCTAGTGTGAAGGACAGACAGTTACTACGAAAAGTCCTCACCATCTCCCTGTGTGTACTTTGAAAAGAAAGCTCAGTGTTCCCGGCAAACCCAGCCACAGGGGGAAACTGAGAAACCAAGCCCACCTCCAGCAAGTCAAGGGACAACGTGCCCGTTTCCGCTCCTTCCTGCACTGATACTGGCTCCTGGGTGTTTGTGGGCACAAGGCCGTCAACACACGCTGCTCCTCCGATGGCTCTGCACAGGCCTATGTTTCCGGCCATCACAGGAGCTCATCTGTGACGGAATTGCAGGGAGGGCTTGGCAGTGTGAGGAGAGACCTTACGTGACACTTCCCCCAGGGACAGACCAGGACGTGCAGTGAAGGCAGAGGCAGAAAAGGCTCCAGAATTCCTATAGAATGAAGGGCTTCCTTCCCTTCACACGCCTTTAGTTTACGTACAACTTGTTACTGAATGCTCAGAACATGACCGGTTGTAAGTTAATTTCGCAGCAACTGACGACGATGTCACCATTTTCAACTATGTTACCCTTTCCGTCCCCATCTCCCCTAAACTTAGACTCGAGCACCATAAACAAAGCAAGGTCCCTCTTGCCAGACTAGAGGGACTAATTTATCCCTCATCCCAAAAGGCCAAGCAGAGTGCTGGGGCTGCAAGAGAGGACGCCCGGGGTTGGGGTTTGAGTTCACGCCCATCATTACTGGCTGGGCCACCTTGATAAAATCACTCCACCTCCTTGTGCCTCACTTTCCCCACCTATAAAATAGGGATCAGCCTGGGGGATTGTGTGGACTGAATGATTAACATACACAAAGCGCAAAATAAACACTTAAAAGGGTAAGCTTTATTAATCACCAGTATCTTGAACTATGGTGGCAAAGGAGGTCAGCAACAGGGGAATGGCTTTAATGTACTGGTTCACTGTAACCTAGCTATTATTGCAGGGATTTTGGTTGTTTACTTTTAAAATAACTGTTGAAAGAGCTAAGAAACCTCTGCCGGGAAACTGCTCTGTGCTCTCGCAGCCAGAGTTTAGCTGCTGCTGGGCTGGCTGAGCTCTCCTTGGCCTCTACCAGGCTCTTCCTGTTGACTGACTACCCGGGGGACTACACAGCTTTCTCGGAGTGGGAGGGAAATGAGGTGTGCAGTGTCCTGTCCCCTGGAGGTCTCTGGGAAGAGACCACTCCTCCAGGACTCCTCAGCAGCTAAGCAGGGCCCTGACTGGTGTAAGGATGGAGACCCAGAGATTAAAAGCATTCCAGTCGCCAGGCCCTTTTCCTTTCGCCGGCCAAGTCTGCACAGAGCTGCCATCCTCCTCCCATGGCAATGCTGCTTTGAAGGCCAAGGCAGCGGGGTGCAGCAGGGCTGGGCTGTCTTCCCCCAGGCCAGCTGCCTGGGGCCTGCTTGGTCCCGGCTCAGGGTAGATGGTGCGGTTTTCTCACCCCCCTATATGACTGCAGCCTGGCCATCATCCACTCCCCCATGTGCCCAGGGACTTAAACACAAATACGAGCTCGTTAGGAAACCAGAACGCATTAATTTAAAGAAAGTTAATGCTCTGTTTAAAAAATTGAAACAAGGAAAATCAGAATAGGTATCAGGGGAAACTAAAGTGATTTTTTAAAAACATGATTCTTCCATAATTTCCTTTCCTCCCCATATCCTCTGGTACTCCATACATATCCAGCAACAAGGACACGGCATAGCCTGGTCTCGGCCCATTCAAAAGTGCCCCAGTAAACCCAGAGTTTAAGAACACACAAGCAGCTGGGGATTTAGCTCAGCGGCAAAGTGCCTGCCTGGCAAGCGCAAGGTCGTGAGTTCGGTTCCCGGTACCGGAGAAAAACCAACAATAACAAACAAAGAACACACAAGCTATTCACCGCCTGCAGAGAGGGCCAGCAGAGGCCCTACAACAAACCCCTGCTAGCCTGACTTCTTCCCCTAAGCCCATCAGGCCTTGAGTGTGGGGGGCACTGTCCCCTACAGAGGGGCTAAGCAGAGACTCTGGGTTTTTTTCTCATCGGTATTTCCGTCAGTGAGAGATTTCTCTCTCCACTCTGCAACAGGTACCACGGGGAGCGCAGACCGCGGGCAGCCACCTACCTTGATGGTCTTCACCAGGTTGGCGGTGCTGTTGGCGACCTCCTTGGCCGACTGGACGAAATGCCTCTTGGCCACGGGGTTGGCCGTCTTGGAGGAGGCTATGCGGCAGGCGTTGCACAGGGCCGAGGTGTGCTTGGCTACGATTGTGGCAGCTGACAGGACCTACAAAGCACGAAGCCAGGTTGGGGCGCGCCGCGTCTCAGTGCAAGGAGCCCGGACTCCTCTTCGGCTCATGCGCCCCGAACCCGGGCACCCCCGGTGTGTCTCCCGGCAGGGAGCGGGCAAGGCACACAAACACAAAATGAAAGTAAAAAAGGGAACGAGGTGCTGATGTGGCGGAGGACTGGGCCCCAAGTCAGTCTCAAAGTGGACAGGTCAGCAAGTCTTTGCAAGCCCCAGACAGGAGGTCCGGGCCCCAGGCTCTAGGCCAAGGCCTAGACATCAGTAATTTAACACATTTTCTAGCAGTCACAATAAAATAAGTGGAGAAACACGAGAAATTAATTTAAATCATATATTTTATTTAACTCAATATATTCAAAGTATTTCATTTCATCATAAAATCAATGTACAAATACTGTGAATGAACTTTATACTGTTTTGGTTCATACCAGGTCTTTGAAATCCAAGGTACCTTCTATATTTATAGCCAACTACAATTCGGACTAGATGCATTTCAAGTGACTAATACCCACATATCACTAAGGGCCACCACATCGAAGAGCCCGGGTCTCCTGAGTGAAATCAGTCAAGGTACGCCTACTTCCTCTGCAGCTGCAGGGTGCTGTCTGCCGAGCGCCTTCCCTCCAACCTTTGCTGAGGTTGGTCACACCCTCTGGCCTTAACTGGGCAGGAGCACTGACACCCCCACCTCCAGGCCTGCTTTAGGTTCAGGTGTTCCCTGTGTTGCCTTTTTACACAGATCCTTCTGCCTCAAGAACGGCTGCTCTTGGCATGTATGGGGACATGCTACTTGCAAAAGACTGCCTCCGCCAGCCTATATCCGTCGCTCTGTCTTTTAGCACACGCTTTTTCGCTTGTTTGTTTTTTATGGTATGGGAACTGAACCCAAAGCCTTTGTACTAAGCTATATCTCCAGCCCTTTTCAATTCTGATAAAAGCCTTGCTAAGATGCTAAGTTGCCCAGGCTGTGCTCAACTTTCAATCCTCCTGCTGCAGCCAGCCAGCGTGCTGGGATTACAGGCCTGCACCACCACACCTGGCTGGGAACCCACGGCACTCGGGCTGCGGGAGTGTCACGGAATGTCGCGCATACCGGCTCTTCCTCCAAATCCCTCTGGCTGCTGTGTGTGCAGTGGATCCTGACCCTGACTTAGACCTGGCTCAGGGCCTTGCTCTCTGAACTGACAGCTCCTTCAGAGGCCTCATCACGTCTTCCTTTGTGTGTGCTGTTTTGCCATCCTGTTCCAAAAGGAGCATTTTCTATACACTGGCCAAGAAACTAAGAGCTGAAGGGTAGAAGACCAGGTCTCACGTCGATTCCTTACAGGGTAGCACAAAACAAACCCTTGGGACGTAGCACTAGACTCCTGGCAAATGTCCCTGGGATTCCTTCACTCCTACTGCCTGCTGGCACCCATCACTAAGCATCTGCAAATTTCTACTTTCCCTACATTCCGCAATACTTTCCATGACCACTAAGTGCTGCGTTAAGCTGGCTCTGCAAGCTCTGAAAGGACAGGATTCTTTAGTAATTCTCCATTTTCCCACAACACACCTAGAGGAGCCCGAGGACTCACACACGCTACATTACCCCAGGTTACCTGCGACGGACTGCTGCCGGGGTCCACCAGGTTCTGGCATGCCATCTGGATTGCCTGGTTAGCCCTGGCAAACTGGATGGGGTCCACCAGGCCCTGGTGACCTGCCTGGCTGTTTGGATCAGAGATGCCAACCAGGTATGCTGCCTAGAAAAAGAGAGAAAACCAGGGCTCAGGCTGCAGGCTCCCGGGTGAGCTGGTGCGGGACGGCAGTCTAACCACACTTGGGACTGGCAGACTTAGGTTCTGCTTGGTGCAAGCTGGTCAGGGTAATGTCATCCCTTCTGCCAAGGAGCGTGTAGTGATGGACATGGCTGTGCCAGCCTGACTTGCCAGCAGGGGTTTGCTGTGAGTTAGAGCAAACAAAGCCTCCGTGTTCTTAAGAGAGCACCTTCAAGCAAGTCTTCTGTGTGTCCTGGACAAGGAAGGATGCGGCGCTTATTCCTCCTGGTGGCCATCTACGGCCACATCGGCTTCAGCATGAGGCTGACCCTGGCTGGCTGACAAGGCAGGCGGGAAGAAGTGGATGTAGACTCATGGTGTGGACCCGCTGGGCCAGCCACGCCTGCTGCCTCCCCTACCCAAGGGTTTCCTGGATATTCCCCAAAGCAGGAAGAGCCCTGATAATTCAGTAAGAAGAATAAGATGGGTCAGGAAATGTAACCGAAAAAAGACAGCGTTTGCCTTCCAAGCGGACAAGAGGCTGCAAGGGGAAGTCTTTCCTCTTTGGATGTGGCAGCCCAACAGCGGGGAGAAAAGGGACTAGGAAGCAGGAATGGGGACCCCAGTGTATTTTCCCTGAGTATGGAAGGCAAGGATGAGGGTGGAAAATTTCACCCCCCAGACTAGAGATGTTTCTTGGGGACATCTTAGGAAAACCTTCCATGCTCAAGGTAACTGTCAGTGAGACGCGGCCCTTCAAGGTCCACGCTGTCGTCTTTAAGGCTGTAGTCACAGGACTCCAGGAGTTACTGCAAAGGCACCGGCCAAAGAAGAGCAAAGACCACGCCAAATCATGTCTGCATGACGGCGTTTAATTTTTCTTTCTCTGAGACCCTGAAAACAACATGTCTTAACATGTCACAATTCTAAAGTCTCAGAAATTTTAATTATCCAATGCTTGTTTTTTCCCATGGAAACAACTCACCTATAACAATGACTGTAAAAAAGCAGTTGGCCTCTGACCCCGTTTGCTGGGTCTGTGCCGTTCAGTGACACTCACTGTCCTCGCCTGCCTGACCTGCACTGCTGGGGCTGACGACGGGTGGCTGACACTCTGCCTATGCCACTACTTCTCCCACGGTGCCTCTGGTGCTTGGAGAAGGAGCTGGAGCTTCTGCACGCCTGACACAGGGGCCTGGTCACTCCTGGTACCCACGCTGAGGCGCAGGACATCAGCCCGGAAGGCTTGCACTGCAATCTGTCTCTTACCTGGGCTGCGGCCTCTGTCAGTCCACAGAGAGCCTTGGATGCAATCCCCACACACTCCCCAAAGCCAGGCAGGTCCCCGGTCTTGGCATTCTGCGAAATCCCCGCCATTGACTCGCCGAGAACCTGCAAAGCAAATAACCAGTGACATTTTCTGTTGAGCTCTGTTACAGGAAGCTGTGCTTGTGACTTTAACTCCAAGGCCACTTAATTAATAATATTAATAACATTTCCCCCCTCTACTTGCATTAAGAAGAGATTCCCCCAAGAGTCATACCATTTCTGCTCCACAAAGAGAACTAAGGACAGTATGAACCGTTCATCTAAAAGTTGTCTGTATGCCAAAGAGATACAGTTAATGCACGCTAGCAATAAAGTGCACTCCATATAAGACCTCCCGTGGGGAAACGGTGCAGTCTGAGGATGATTAGTTCCCAGAACAGAACAGTCACATCCATTGAGCTATACAGTTGAAGTCCTACCCTGAAAGGAGATGGACCTTTCCGGGAATCTTTCACTAAATTGATCTTTCTTAAAGAGGGTTCCTGAATATTTTAAGTATTTCTGTCTTACGTTGAAAACTATTGGTGTTATTTTTATTTCAGTCTTCAAAATAACAGCTGAAAAGGATTTTGGTCTCAGAATCTAACGCGGAGCACTCAAATACTCTGTAAAAGGTCACATGAAAGGTCATACAGGTAAAGACAGAGAATCCACCCCAAATCTGGTGCTCGAAGGCCTATGCTTGGAGGGCAGGTCACACTTTCCAGGATCACAAGAGACTGTGATATTGCAGTCTAAAACCTCACACAGAACTCATTTGTCAATGGCCCTCTTGAAGAGGTAAGCACAATATACTTCCTAAAATTGCTTATATACACAAAATAATGTAGTTTTATGTAGAGTTGCAAAACAAAGAAGTTGGAATTTTTCTATACTTTTTTTCCCCTTAGATTTTATTGGTGCCTTTTAGATATACATAAGGATCACATTCATCATAGAGAATGTGTATCTGTCCAGGATATAACTTGCTTTTCCCCGCCCTCCCTTCAACCCCTCTCCATTTCCAAAGCTTTGTTTCCATGTTTTCCTTCTTTTCTCTTTTTTTTTAACTTTTCCCTACTTTCCCTTCTCCCTCCTCTCTCTCTCGTTCCCTTCCTCACTTGAACATTTTCCTCCTATTTCAAAATATATTTTGGTGCTTATTTACACTTTCAGTATCTCACACCAGAGGGACAGTGCAGTATTCACACATGTGTGTCCGATTTATTTCACTTAAGAGTATGGACTCAAGGTACATCTATTTTCCTAGAAATGTCTCAAGCATATCCTTCTTTATGGCACAGTGTACTCCAGTGTCTAAAAATATCCCACATCTTCTTCATGCACTCACCAGCTGATGGGCACTTGGGTTGTTTTCAAGAAGTGGCTACTACAAACTGTGCCACTATAAACATAGATGTGCACACGTCACTGTGGTGTGATGCTTTTAATTCTCTTAGGAAGGTACCCAGGAGGGGAATGGCTGGGTCAAACACAACCTCTAGTCCTAGTTTTTGAGGAATCTCAACACTGATTTCCACAATGGTTGCACTGGTCTACAGTCCCACCAGCAGTGGAGAAGGGTACCTTTCCCTACCACTGCCCCTCCACCATTTGTTACTGGTTGATTTCTTGATGATAGCTATTCTTTCTGGGGTAACATGGAATCTCAGTGTTATTTTAATTTGCATCTCTTGAATGCCCAGTGATGTTGAACATTTTTTCATATATTTATCTGCTGTTTGTATTTCTTCATCTCAGATGCCCATTTCTGGGTTGGATCTTTAAATTTGGGAGGTCTGACTTTTTTGAGTTCTTTATATGTTCTTGATGGTAATCCTTTGTCTGAAGAACAGCTGGCAAACATTTTTTTTCCCACAGTGTAGGTTGTCTCTTCACTCTGTTGGTGGTTTCTCTTGCTGTGCAGAAGTTTTTTAATAAGATGAGATCCCAGTTGTTGGTTCTTTGTGATAGTACCTGTGTGATCAGGGTTTGATTCATAGTTTTTGCCTACAGCAGTGTCTTCAAGATTTCTGCCTAGTCTATGTTCCAGCAGATACAATGTTTCTGTTTTAATATTTAGAAATTTGGGGCCAGGGAGATGGCTCAGCGGCACAGCGCCTGCCCGCCAAGCTCAAGGTCCTGAGTTAGATTCCCGGTACCAAAAAAAAAAAAAAAATTATATAGAACTTTGATCAATTTCAAAATTAGTTTACTGCATGGTGAAAGATACGGGTCCAATTTTAATCTTTGGTAGTGCCAAGGCAGTTTTTCCAGCACCATCTGTTTTTCTCTGTTTGAGACAGGTCTCACCATGCAGTTCAGGCTGGTCGTGAGCTCAGATTGTAGCCCAGGCTGGTCTCGAACTTGCAATGATCCTCCTGCCTCAGCCTACCGAGTGCTGGGATTACAGGTGTGCTCCACCACACCCGGCCTTCTAGCATCATTTAATAAAGAGGCCAATTCTGTCCAGTAAATATGTTTGGCACCAAGAAAAGGTGGCTGAGTACGTCTGGAGTTGTGTCTGCATCTTCTCATCTATTCATTGATCTTTAGGTCTTTGTCTTTGCCAGTACCATGCTGGGTTTGTTTTTTTTTTTTTTTTTTTTTTTTTTTTTTTTTGGTCTTTTTTGAGACAGGGTCCCACTATGCAGTTCAGCCTGGCCTTGAGCTTACCACTTTGTAGCCCAGGTTGATCTCGAACTTGCAAAGATCCTCCTGCCTCAGCCTCCTGAGTGTTGGGATTACAGGCTACCATGCTGTTTTTATCACAGCAGCTTTATAGTATAATTTCAGATCAGGGATTGTGATGCCCTCTGCCTTGCCTTTTTCAACCAGAACTGCCTTTGCTATTCTAGGTCTCTTCTGGTTCCAAATGAATTTTAGGATTGTTTTCTCTAATTCTGTGAGATATGCTATTGGAATTTTGATCAGAATTGCAGTAAATCTGTATGACAGTTTTGGAAGTATGGCCATTTTCACTGTACTGGTTCCTGCTACCCAAGAGCAAGGGATATCTTTCCATTTCCTGATATCCTCTTCAATCTCCTTTTTCAGAGTACTATAGTGTTCAGTATATAGATCTTTTATATCCTTTGTCAGGCCGATTCCTAGGTGTTTCATTGTTGGGGGTGCTATTGTGAAAGGTGCTCTTTCCCTAACTTCTCAATGAGTTTGTTATTCATATACAGGAAGACTACTGATTTCTGAGTCCTGACTTTGTATTCAGCTATGCTACTGAATTTGCTTATTAAATCTAGCAGTCTTTTAGTGGAGTTTCTGGGGTCTTCTATGTACAGTATCAAGTATACTGACTTTCTACCTTGCTCCCAACTCTGCATTCCTCTCTAAGAAAATACCATTTCTTTGGATCTAAGTATATAAAACATACACCGCCCCCCCCCACCTCACTCTGTTATTCTACAAAGATGCTGGACTGAGGAACTTCCAGTCTTAGCCCAACACAAAGCAAGCCTTCCTGACATCACCAATACCTATGCTCCCCCAACACTAACGTTAAAGTAATATAAATAAGCACCCAGGTGCAAGGCCAGATCACCATAGCTCCATACCCATTTATGTCACTAGTATGTCTGGTCACTTTTTGATTTTGAGATTCTCTCAGAATACACTGACATAATTAACACAGATCAGCGTTTCTCAACAGCTATTTCTCCTCCTCCTTGTTCCACTAACGAGTCTTTGCAGACTTCCCCCACCAAACTGAACGGTAAGGAATAAGGCTGTATGCTTCCAAGACCACAGGGCTGAAACCTGGTGCTTCTCAGAAATACATAATCTCAGCCACATCTCACATTTACCAGTCAGAAACTTGGAGATGGAGCCCAGCAAATTGGATTCCGATGTACCCTAAGGTTTGAGAAGGGATCCACCACAAGGCTTTACCACATAGCGGCCACTGGCAGATGCGTACAAAGCACACGTCCATCTTTCCCCACCTGAAAAGCAGTGTGAACATCTGGGTTACCGCACACACAGGCTCACCTTGGAGTTTTCCATCACACTCTCGATGCAGTCAAAGTAAGACAGGTCACTAACAGGCTCATTGGGATTGTCCAGCATCCCCTTGACAGTCTGCAAAGGAGAACACGACTTAAAACGGGAACTACGGGAATGTAATGAGAGCAAGTCATCATGAAACGCCAACCGCTAGCTGCCCCTCTCCATGTAAGACTCTGGAAAGGCCTGTTCATGTACTGAGATTCTAGGAAGCACTGAGATCAGATTCACTGCTACAAACCCAGGACCGCTGGGGCAGGGGGTACTCCAGGTTAGCTTTGCCAGACACGAGAACCTCTTGGTTTGGTTCTGGAGAACCATAGTATTTATAGAAGAGTAAGTTTTGTGTTTTGTTTTGTCTTAAAGAAATTTCAAACTTAATGCAAGGCAACATATTCATGGTAAATTAACATAATTTCTCTGCTGGATAACCTGAAGGGGTTTAGGTTCCAAGGGTCCATTCATTTATTTCTTCATAACTAATAAGAACCTGTAGTATTTCCATTCTGGGACTTTCTGATGAGAAGGCATGACAGATGGTAAATCTTTCAGGCTGCCCTCTGGGACGGCCCATTTTGTTTTTATTTTTCACAGGACAAGAGGAGGATGCCCGTGCTTGCTTGGGTCCCCATCGAGGAAATGGAAATAGCCAGTTTCTCTGCCTCTGCCCTGAAACCATCACTCGCTCTCTTGTTACAGCAACCTAGGCTCATCACCTGTGCAGTAACTCGGGGCGAGCGAGCCTGGGGTGTATCTGTGCAGTCTTCCCCAACCGGAGACCGTGCGTGAGGACCCCGCACAGCCGACAGAAAGACAGCGTCGTCTGAGTTACACAGGGTGAGGCAGGCAATGCGAACTGCCGAGCCCTCCAGTTAAACACACCAGGGAAAAGAGGGGAGGGAAAAGAAGGAGCTCATCTCAGTGAAGACCTCAGCTCACTCCCTGGCTAGGATCATCCAAGTGTCTTAGCACCAGAAATCACGAATCAGTCCTAATTCTGGCAGTGAAGGACATTGCAGAAGCTGCCCTGGGCACTCCCACCATGCCTGACCCAAGCCAATCACCCAGACAGCAAAAGAACACTGGGTACAACCACTCCATGGCTACTGAGATAAGCACTGGGCAGCGTCCACAGGACCTCCACGGGTGAGGCCTGCGTTACACACAGGTGGCCACACTGACGGTATGTTTAAGCACACACATTCTATAAGCATTCGTGGGGTTTTCAATTACAAGTCCACGATGGAGGATTAACTAAGAAGCACCCACAAATATGTGTGAGGCCACTAGGACCCCGCAGTCTCCTCGACTCTGGCGTCCGTCCTTGGCTCCAATGGTCCCTACAGGTTACAGAAGAAAACAGATGAGGAAATCGTTTCTACTGACAGGGACACCTGTCTCAGCCTCTACTGTCCCGAGTGTACCAGAATCATCTTTCCAACGAGGCAATGACTGCTTATCAGCAGCCTATACCCAATACCACAGGTCTTTTCCTGTTTGAAATAAAGCATCCTTTCACAAAAGAAATGTCAGCCTGTGGGGAAAACGGAAGCAGTGACGGTAATCCCCACCAGACCTAATTTTCTCCAGTTCCCACCTAGATTGGGACTTTGACCCCAACACTCTCTCAGGTAAGGTAGACACAGCACAGAAGCTAGAAAATTAGGCGTGTAGGGAAAGACAGGAGCACACGCTGCTTTTCCAGCCTCGGCAGCCTCGGCAGGGACCCACCTCGAGTTCCCGCAGGGCGTTATCGCACTCCTTCTGCCCCGGGGCTTGCTGGGTGCACAAGGTGATCAGCTGGTTGATGCTCTCCGTCACTGCTCTGCAACAGACGCAGAAAAGGGTGTGCGTTTGTTTATTTGACAGACCTCAGTCATTTCCCTAACAGTGCTTAGCAGGTTCACCGAAGACACAATTAACTCACTATTTAGGCTGGGGTCTCCGTGAGACCGCTCTCACAGGCCCTAAACAACCCGAAATTCATACTCACTAAAGATAAAACCAGAAGCCCTGCTTTGTTCGTATCATTCACTTGAGTTACCCTTAAGGGCTCTACTAGTTCAATGAGGACTAGCTTTTGATGTATTGATAAGAAACACAAACAGCAAAGTGATCGTATCAACAGTGCTTGCAAGCTCCTTCCTTAAAAGCTTAAAGGGTGATTAAGATTACCTAAGCAAGGGTGGTTTAGAGAGCTTCTGTGTACTTTGTACTGGGGGTTGGGGTAGCATTCAGGATCACACCCGAGGAGCACTGAGTTACATCTTTAGCGTTTTTCAATTTTTATTTTAACGTCAGGGCCTCCATACTTGTTTCCTAGGCCATCTTTGAATTTACAATCCTCCTGCCTCAGCCTTCCTAGTAGCTGGACTTACAGATGTGCACCACAATGTCCAGCTTATTTTGGACATTTTTGCAATAGAAGACAAAGAGCAAAATGTGCCCACGACTTTGAAATCTCTATTTCTCAGTAAATTCTGTAGGAATAACTAGCTCTGAGCAGCCTTCCCAAATTAATTCTTCAAAATAGCTATTTTTTCTTCATTAACACTAAGAGGGATAAATAAGCACCTGCTGTACGACTTCACATGTGCTTCTAGCATTTACGAAGCAGCCCAGAGTTTTTCCTACACCACGAGGATTTCCTATCTGGACAAGGCAGAAAGTAATGTTCACTTTGGATTGTTTTGGTAAGATACGCGATCTGGGCTGAGGCATCTTCCTTTCACACGGAAGTCCAACTGTTCCAGCACCACTTGCTGAAAAGACTATTTTTTGTGCCTTGAACTGCTTTTTCAACTTTATTGACAATGAACCACCCACATCCGTGTGAGCCGACCTCTACTTTATTCCGTCCCACTGACCTGTCTAACCTTTCACCAGCATCACACTCTTCATTACTGTTGGGTGAGAATAAATCTAAACACAGAAATTCTAACTGAGGAAACAGATAGGCTGAGTTGGTCATTATACACTGTACGCAGGTGTTAAATTATCACACTGCACCCAACAAATATGTACAATATTACACATCAATTAGAAATAACTTGTATTTTATAAGTGAAAATCTGAGAGATAACTTGGGGGGGGCACTACAGAAAAGGCACAAAAACAAGACCTAAACACACGTCCATTCACGTGGCTCCAGGGTCAGACCCACAGCCCTTTCTGCAGGACCATGGAAGGTTCTCAATTCTATTCACATTTCCTAACCACTACAGCTAAAGGGCAATTCAAAACAAACAAAATAAAAATAGTGTGCACACTGCGGTTGATCACGAACACTGTCTCACAGAGAAGATTCCTCATTTTATTAAATTGACTGTACCGCTTCCCACAGAATATCCAATTAGATGGAAAAAAGATGCTGCCAGGCACAAGGCAATCAGCTTAATTATCCGGTGAGATACTGCTTTCCATGTTAAATACAGCCGGGGGGATGGGCGGAAGAAGAAGATTCTTGAATTCAAGAAAGCAGCCCAAAATAGTTTTTCTAAGTCTGACTCGGGGGCTGGTCTACGTGGGGAAAGTGCTCATTAGCGTGTCAGCAGGAGCCCTGCGTTCTCTATGTTGCAAAACGGAACAGAAACAAGGGAGACAGCAAGACATCCCCGGCTCCAGCAACCCCGGAGGCACGGTCTAGGATGTACACAGTGGGTGTGTCCCACGCAGCCCAGCACCGTGTCCTTTCCAGCAGCCCCCAGACCCACCTCAGAGGGGACAGGCTGGTAGTATCTCCATAACACTAGGCGGCGCATGTCCGCCCCTGTGACAAATGATCACCTGGAGTGGATTTCCACGGATCACAGCCACCGCCCATTTATTTACTTCTCCATAAATGGGACTGCTGTTTTTTTTTTTAACTCTAGTTTCTGTGTAATGATTGGCCCATCTAAAAACCAAGTGTTTATAATTGGTGGATCCAGAGAACACACACTTGTGGGGAGGCTGCCAGCTTTCCTATTCCTCCAACTCTTCTGTAGATTTGATTATCCATAAAAATGTCAGCAAAGCATCTGGTGTCTAAACGAGCCCCTTGGATAACTGATTCACGACAAAACTGCATTATTTAGATCCTTGTAACTCATTTTAGAGTCTAGATTACACAGCTAAATAATACACTAAGTGGCCCGGAGTCAAATGATTATATACACCTGACAATGAAAGATCGTATTTTTACGTTTTAAATGACAGTAACCCAAACCAGTAAAGGACTGATAAAAAAAGGTACATTCCACAACAGAGTTTGGGGACCATTAAAAGCTATAGTGTGCTGCATATCACTAATGTCATAGAATAGTCAAGATATATAATTATCACACAATTTATAAAATAGTATAAATGGTATAAGCCCATCATTATAAAACTAAGCATATGTGTATGCACAGAAAAACAACAAAATGACCCATATAAAATGTTAAAAGTGAGTGCATAACGTTACTTTTTAACAAAAGTTTCAATACATCTAAAAATTATAATTTGAGCCAGGCGTGGTGGTGCACACCTGTAATCCCAGCACTTGGGAGGCTGAGGCAGGAGGATTGTTACAAGTTCAAGACCAGCCTGGGACTCAGTGTGAGCTCACAGCTGGCCTGAACTGTACAGCAAGACCCTGTCTCAAAAAGATAAAAATTATAATTTGATCAATTTACTTTGTAACTTAAAAGTGACAAAAATTAGCAGATCCTGCATTCTATGTAAAATCAACTATGCCTGGTCTAGTTACTTCTACTTTTTCCACATTTTTTTAAAAAAGTTCACAACTATGTAAGTGTACTTTTAAAGATTTGATTAAAAGGTTACATGATCGTAACTTCAATTTACAGATAGCATTTTCCCCCCAATACTGTGACCTACGGCCCTCACACTGAGCGGCCCCCTCAACCCCACCCTTTTTCATTTTGAGACAAGATATCACTAAGTCACTAAATTGCTCAGGGTGGGCTTGAATTTGCAATCCTCCTGCCTCAGCCTCTCAGAATATTGGGATTATAGGTATGCACTACCACACACGGCGAGTAACATTTTCTTTTATCTTACTCTTTATCTAGGCATATTTTTAAAACTGGGTTTTTAAACCTCAGAGGTTAAAAGGGGCTTTTTTTTTTTTTAAATATTTGTTTTTGTTTTTTGTTTTTCCTCCGGGACCAGGAATCGAACTCACGACCTTGCGCTTGCCAGGCAGGCACTGTGCTGCTGAGCTAAATCCCCAGCCCCTAAAAGGGGCTTTCTAAACTAAAAATCATTTGGTGTCCACAGATACTGAATTGATTTAAGTGCAATCTGATAGTTTTGGCTGGGCACTGTAAATACATATGGAGCTTGGGTGACAGAAGATAATCAGTGCTTTTCATTATCTATGAGGAAAAAGAAACCACCTCAGAAGGCGTTTGGAGAAGAAAAGAAAGCAGTACGACAGCTCCCTTCCTGAAGGCTGATGAAATCCACCAAGTATTCCCCAGGTCCGATCATGCCAAGGAATGGAGATTAAATGACACACCTTCAGCCTCGCCTGGACAGCAAGCTATTCACAATTCAGTTGGAGAGGCAAGACAAGGGGACACATGACATGAGAAGCGGGTGCAGAGAGCAGATATCGGGGCACAACACCACACGGCACAGGACGAGTCCCCGAACAAGAGGCCAGGTGAACGCAGGGACTCACGGAGTGCGCGGAAGAGAATTAACCTGAACCCGAGGGAAGAGCTCAGGGGCACGATTAGCAGTCAGGCCCCGGTGAGATCCTGACTTAGCTGAAGGGGAGAGAATGTTCTAGAAGAGAGCGATGGCCCCACGGATATTTTTCTATTTTATGCAGTAGAGGCCCTCCCTGCTTCACGCTCTCTGCTCATCACCCTTTCTCCTCTCTGAAGATGGAGGAAGCCTCTCAGCAGGAACCTGAGCAAATAACGAAGAAGGGAAGCTGAGTGCGCAGGAGCCTCATGTGGGCTCCCGGGGGGGCCTCGGGGACACCGGAGCAGCTGAGAGCGGGGAGGGTCGCACGTGGCCGCCCTGCAGTCCCTCTGGTCCAGGTGGCAACGGCGTAAGCACCACTGGCAGGCGAAGGTGCTCATCCGGAGGGCACGGTTTCCGCCGTGCAGCGGCAGGCTGGTTTGGGGTTTCCTCTGTTACACTCAGGGGGCACCAGGCCAGCACCTGGTAGAGGGAAAGGGTGAAGAATGGCTGACAAGCGCTCTCCGCCCTCAGCCAACTTGTCAGTGCCTCACCAGCGGAATATAAAGAGGGCAAGCTGGATTCAGACAGGACAGCACTTCCTCTCCCCAGGCATCGCACCCTGGGACCCAGGGGTCCCTGAAGGTCCCTAGGCTTGGAGGCTGAACTGAGCTCTGAGGAAAAGGACATACCCTGCTTTTTCTTCAGAAGCAAACCTCTTTTCCCACAGAGCCCCCAAGAGCAAGGGGCTCAAGGCTAGCGACACGGGCGCAGGACAGGGCTGAGCTGGGGACGTGCGCGTGATAAACACCTGAGTAATGGGCTCATGGAAGAAGGACAGCAGGAATGAAGGGACCCCACCCGCAGTGCTCTGCAGCGCAACAGCAGCTTGCCTGACCTACCGAGCCAGGCTGGGATCTCCTCTGGGAACCCGCCCCAGGGCGCAGAAGTTACTAAAACGTGCCAAGAAACTGGAGAAGGTGCCAGCATCTTCTTGCACCAGGCCTATCTCAGACAGTCATTTCCACACGAGGAATTCGCAAGGCTTGCTTGGTAATAAAACCCTCAGGCTGGGAGCTCCGTCAGCTTCGGAAAGCCAGGACAGGACGGAGGCCTGGAGCGCTCTCCCACCTGGGTGCCAGGTCCCGTCCCCAGTGCCACCACCAGGGGGCCCGCGGAGACGCGGAGCTCCGGCCCAGCACCACGCCTTCCCCGGCTGTGATATCTGGCTTTTAAAAGGCCGATTTATATTCTCCCCCTCTTCTTGCAGTTAAGAAAGCGAGCAACGTGTTGCAAGCTGGAAAACGTCATTTGGAAATGACACAAAAAACTAAAGAAAATGAGAAACGTCTGGGTTCAGATACCTAGAACCGATAGTTGCCTCATCCAGAGGCTCCTCACAGGAAGAAGGCAGCAGTCAAGAGGGGAGTTTTATGGCAGAAACAGCTGCCCAGCAGGAGGACCTCAGCCCCATGACGGTCCTTGTGCCCACTCCCCCGACCAGGGGCGGACACCTGTGTCCAGGAACGATCACAAAGCAGGCCTGGGTAGAAGTGGGAAGATGGGAAGGGAATTTTCCAATCCCCTGGCGGCTCTAGCTAGCATTTGCAGCTCAAATGCATCGCCCGTGACTAAATGAAGAACTCCAGGGTTTGCAAGGGAACTCCTCTGATGTTGTCTGAGCCTCCACCACACGTGAGATAAAAACCAACATCACTGTAAGCCAAGCGGGGCCAAGAGACAGGATCTAACTGTCGGCACCGCGACAGCTTAAGGGTGGTATAGCTCACGGTCTCTCTAGAGATCAGACAGGCCAAGGGATGGTAGCAATGTGGGTGAGTGAGTATCAAAGCTTGGATTAGAATTTAGATCTCTTGACTCAGACAACTTAAAGATATGCTAAGAAGAAGGTGAATAAACAAAACCAAATTAATAATAAAAAGCAAGCACCGTGGTACATTTGAAAAGGGCTCCAATGACTCTATGTCACCTAGTGGTCTCCACTTTAATGTTCCATCTCATCAGCTTTCCTAAAAGTAACACCACGGCGAGCAATGATGAAAAACATCTGCACCCCACAAAAACCTCACGAAAGCCTCCCCTCCTCCTGGCTGTCACTGCAGCTGCTCCTCTAACCGGTTATTGAAGGGAAGTGCCACAGTGGTGGGCGGGGAGAAGAAATGATGTTACTTCCCCGGGCGAAAGCCGCAGGAAAGGACAGCAGTGAGATCATGCCAATGTCAGATTCACCTTTTAATTTAGTTTAAGACCAGTTCTCTTCCACCGCCACCCCGTTCATCCTAAACTGGAGCTCTTCCACCCGTGACAGACGGAACACGCAAAATTCATTCAAACCCTGGCCGGTGCCAGGTACAAAGTAGGTGCTGCATAAATGCCTGCTGAACGGCTTTTGAGCACTGTTCTCTTCTTTAGTTTGCTGTATTTCCTTTTCAACAAGCACATGTTACTTTTCATGAGCTGAAAGATATAACACCACTTTAACAAAAATCTCTTTAAGTCCTCTTGTTTACAAGCCAACAGAGCCCTAAGCCTAAGCAAGGCTGTGCTGAAGAGGCTGCATGAGCAGAGAGAAAATGCAAGTCCTGGAAATGAGACAGTTTAAAAAAGATGAGGCTCGATCACCCCGGACTCTAGCTCCAACAACGTAAGAACAGTTCTGACTCCTTGCTCTGCAAAGGCGGCAGGACGCTGGGCTCCTCCTTCAAACTGCAGACGCACTGTTTAAACGCACTGTCTCTTTCTTACCTTGCAGCTGCAGCCAGAAGGTTTTTCGCATTAGGAGCTCCTGGATCTACGGAGAGAGACTTGGCAGCTAACAACAGCTTGCTGGATGCCATAGAGATATTCTTCAGGTTGCCTATCACTTGGATCTGGTCTTCTTTCGTCTGCAAAGTCAAGAGAGAGCCAGTGTCACCAGCAACTGTCTATTTCTCCCAGGAAGCATTCAGAGGGTTAGGAACAGCATCCTGAAGGGCAGGCAAGTTATCTGTTTAGATGACATTAGGCCCTATCCATCTGCAGATGCCTAACTCACTGAGACACAGACTAGCGTCTGCCCTTCCCCAAACAGATGCTGACAGCAAGAAGCATGCAGCAGGGAAAGGAACCCATGCCCAAGTGGGTGATCCAGAGCTGTGCTATCTCACAAGTGGAGGCATTAAGAGAGGAGGAGGAGGAGGGGAGCGAGCCACTTGCAGCAATGCACAGACCAGCCAACAGTTCCAGCATCTTGCTCAACAATGCTGGAGTTGTCAAGTAGCTTGCACATCTCGGCCTGGCACAAATGACTGGCACTGTCTCCGCAGTCAGAGCAGAGAGCATTCCCAGAAGTTTCTGCCCCGGGAAGGGACACGTTGCTCACCTGGCTTGCCATCTGAGAACCATTTGTGGATAACAGAGGAAGAAAAACCCCGTATAGCTCTTTTAGAGTTCACAGGAGCTCAGAAGACAACATCCTGGCAAGCTGACACCAGACCAGTCCTGTTCTCCTGTTCTAAACAAGGGGCTTATCCAGCCTTACCTGTTTGTCTACAAGAGCTAACATTTCATCATCTGACATTTAATCGTTCAGTACTACCGACAGTCTACTCAAATGAGCCCACTAGATCCTAAGTGCATATATCTACTCGATTATCCCACATTCGAAGAGCCTTCCTCGTCTCTGCTGAACGTTCTCCTTCCTCCTCCCCTCCTTCGGAATGGCGTAAGTAAAGGATGCATTCTGCTGGAGGATCGTGGGAAAAGTTACTCCTCATCACCACGAGCGCTTCACACACAGGCCGATAGCATCTTTGGGGATGCCAATCCTGTGAGGTCTTGGCGCATCTTAAGCAGCAAAAGGAATGTACTGTGGCCTGTCTGCAGGTTCTGTATTCCTCATCGCCCCCTGGGCCCTCCAGGGTAGGTAGTTATCAGAGGGGGAGAGGCTCAGGCCAGTTCAGAGGGCCACCTCCACGCTCACCTGCGCCTGGCCAGCCATCTCAATGCCAGCATCAAGGAATTCATCAAAGTCATCACTGAATTTTCCCGAGGCTGCGGCCAGCTCCCCGCTCTGGCCCCGGGTGGCGTGGACGACTTCCCCAGCAGACTGGTTTAGATCGGCTGCTGCCTGGTTCAGCTCGCTCTGGGCTTCCTGGAAAGGCTTTGTGCTCGGAGGTAGCTACGGGGACAGAAGGCACACCCTGTGAGAAGTTACACCTTGCAACGAGAGGGATAAAGGAGAGTATTGTGGACTGAGGGAAGACTTCCCAGGGATGTGTTTCTGACTCATCAAGACTGAGAGGCCGCGTGTGGTGTGAACCCATGTTGAATTTGATCTTCAGGACATCTGCATCCATCCCCTTACCCTTCCTTCCATCCATCCATCCATCATCCATCCATCCATCCATCCATCCACCCATCCATCCATCCATCCATCCATCCATCCATCCATCCATCCACCCATCCATCCATCCATCCACCCACCCACCCACCTTCACGGACCACCCACTCAAAGTTAGACAGTGCATGTCTGATTATGGTAAGAACAGCTATCCTTGGGGGTCACACTAACCTGAATGACAGGGACAGGACTCACACCCAAGCATCCTCACTCCAGGATCCATGTCCTGGACCACCACCCTCTTTTTGCCTCTTTTGAGATGGAAACTCCAAAGTTTTAGCTTTTTAGAACTAAAAGCCTGCTGCTAGCCAACTTTAAGTCATGTTCTTCCAGACTAATAGCCATCAATATTGTTTTACTAAATCTTTAATAACTTTTTTTTTACAGAATGTAAGTGCCATGTGCAGAGTTTTTACCATTAGTAAAAAGTTCCTGAGACTAAGCCACACCCCATTAGCCAACCCCATACAAAGCTTGCATACCTGCCCAGGGAAGACACAAAGATGAACAGCACAAACTCTTCTTTATAATCCGTGGCCCCAAGAAGGAATTCCTGTGACTACCTGCTCTCCCAGTGAATCACAGACACACACACACTCCTCCATCACCCGGCTGTCACTACCTAGCATGTGCTAGGTGGTTAGGGAATCACACACCCTCGCCTGTCTCTTCTGGATGACCGAAAAGCAAGTAGGAACATGAGCTCAAAGAAGATATAAACCTTAAAAGCTCCACCTGGAAAATGTGCTGATCAGAAAGCAAAACAAGGGGAAGGAAAATTGGCAGGAAAGATAGTGCTCTGAAGGGGAGTGTCAGCTGCTGAGAGATCCCAAGGAAGGAGGAAGACTCATTCGCACTTGGGGCTCCCCCAGACCCCCCTTTCCAGCCAAGAACTTCTCACCGAATCCACCAGCAGCTTCTTGCTGGATTCCCCGATGCTCTTCAAGGCCACATCCACATCCTTCTGCCCAGGCAGGCAATTCACACAGTTGTTCAAGGAGTGTGAGACGGCTTTGGCCACCTGGATAATGCAGGGAGAGAAGCAGCACAAGAAAATGACTTTCAGGACAAATATTCTCGCGCATTTGCTGGAAATGAGCAGCCAAAATATGCAGAGCAGACACCGGCATGGAAATCACCTACCAGCATCTAGCCTACGCTGCTTACTGAATTAAGCCACCTCACGCAGTCTCTTGGCCAAAAGCAAACTGCCACCCCTCGTGGGGGTTAACATCGTGTGATACGCCACACCCCACCTGGTCCCCAAAGCCAGGCTGAACCCCAGCTCTGTGACTCAGAGTTCTCCAATGTGAGGTCAGGCTCCAAAACACAGGTGTCTTATAGAGAACAGTGGAAATATCTCCTATTTTGAGGACCCTGCCAAGGTGACTGGGGTAGAAGTAGGCCTCGAGTTCTTCAGACCACCCTTAGCTGGGCCTGGGGCTGGTTCTGGCTCAGTGAACCTCCGCTGTTATCACCTGGGAGTCTCATTCTGCCAGAGTGCGAACGGACGCTTTGAGCCCTTCCAGACCAACCTGGTGCTGCCTTTTAAGAATGTCCAAGCGGCTCTCTGTCTGCACTCTTTGGTATCCTCAGTCAAAAGGCAACTGAAGTCTGGTCTCTGAAGGTGACCTGTGTCCTCTCCGTTCATCTAAAGCACCTCGGCCCCAGCTCCATGTCTAGAACTTTCCCCAGGTGGTTCCTAGCCAACCGATTTCATCAGGTAGCTAAGAATCCCCCAAAGAGGAACAGAAAGTCAGAGGCAAACACTTCTGACTGACTGGAACCTGTACAGCTACCTCACCTCCCGGGCTGAGAAGAGGAATGCATGAATCACAGATATGTTGCCACCAGGCTCCTACACCCCCAAGGACAGGGTTCAAAGTCCCCCAGAGTCTCAGCTGACTATGAACTAAGACTTAGAAGTGTGAGCATCCGGTGCGACCAGCACGGTTAGGACTCTCTGGAAGGCTCTGAAAACTCCCGCTGAATTCAAGCATTCACACCAGGAACACGTGCCCCGGAGACAGACTGCCAACACAGGCACATCGAGGATGCCCACGCTCCCCGGCCCCAGCCTCACCTGAGCTAGTCTCTGTTGACTCTCTGCATCCCCGGGTGCAATCAGGGCCTGCTTGGCTTCTTGGATGAGCATGGCAGAGCCCTCCATCACGTCTCGAGCAGAATCCAACATGGCATGGGCGGCTGTGGGGTCACTCGTAGATGCGGCCACTCCCCGGGCAGCCTGGGCCAGCATCTTCAGAGCTTGAGCTGTTTCCCTAGCAGCAACTCCTGGGGAAAGAAGGCCACCAGACTTGCTGTTAGATTCCATCTAACAGTCATAGTTTTACTCTGCAACAGGCCTCTGGACCAGGGCCCGGCACAGGGAGAGCTCCAGATTGATAGTTATAAAATCTGAATTGCTGTGCTCTCCGAAGTAGTGGCCCTGAGCCAATTCAAGAGAGACAGGATAGCAATGCAAAGCCAGGGACTACATCCCTCCGGCTTTTTTTGCTCTCTGCCTCATGTGTCCCCAGACCTAAAATACCAGGTACATGGGACCAGGTATACAGGTGAAAGTACTCAGGTGTGTCCATGGCTAAGCTCTGGAATGTTATTTTAATTCATGTTTCTTCACAATTGTCTTTCTTGAGCCGTAATGTACATATATATGATCAAGTGGACAAATGTGAGCAGCTCGGTGAATCTACGCTTGTGGACACGGTAACATATCCACCACCACCTCGTCCTTGCCCGGCAATGCCTCCCATGCTAGGAGTCACATAGTGTCTGTCACTTTACACTAGTTTTAACTATTCTTAAAAATCTGTGTTAATGTTAACAGAACCACACGGTATGTAGCCTTTGGGTCTGGTTTCTTTCTCTGATCACCACACTGAGAGACATGCCCACGTTCCGTAGCAGTTCATTCTTGCTGCTGGCCATGTGTATGCCATTATATGAACACACACACCAGCATTTCTTTGTTCATTCTTCTGTCGACGGACATGTGGGTTGGCTTTTGCTTTGGGTTATTATGAATAAAGATCCCAAGGACGTTCTTACACTGCTATAGTTTGTATCTGGATGCTCCCCAAAGCATCATGCTCGCATAGGCGGGGCTTCTCAGAGCTGGCTGGCTCTGTGAATACGGGTACATGAAAATGGAGTAAGGGCGCGTGATAGCTAGATTAGCCCACTTGTTGGTTTAGCACACTTGTGGGTGTAGATGAGGGAAGGCCCATCCTGGGTGTGGGTGGCACTAATCAACAGGCTTCTAGCCTGGATGGGATAGAAACAGAAAGGGAAGCTTGCTCCTTCCCGCCTCCCTCCTTCCCTGCCACGCCGCCTTGCTTCGAGTATGGACCGAAACCTCTGCAAACTGTGAGCTAAAATAAACTTTTCCTCCTTTAACTTATGGGTGTCAGATATTTTACCTCAGCGATGAAAAAGTAACCAAGACGTACATTCAGATGGACATATGGAGTGATCTTTATGGGCCCAAACCTACATGAACTGCTGGGTAACAGAGTAAGTGTCTTTAGCCTTTGGAGATCCTACAAAAATAGTTTTACCGCCACATGCTCCACCAGCAAGGTCTAAGAGTCGCAGCTGCTCTCTGTCCCAGCCAACACTTGAACTTCAATCCCTCTGGCAGTTGCATCCCAGCACATCCCAGTTTTAAAGTTCGGCAATAATGTTTAACACTTTCCAGCATATTGAATGGCTGGTTGGGTATCTTCTAGGAAGGGCCTATTTATCTTTACATCTACTTCTAAACAGACGCTAGGACTGGAGATAAGCTATGACTCTAAGCTAGACCTTTAAAACTACAGCATCACCTCACGCAGAATCAGCATGAATCTAGCCACATGCCAGTGAGTGTGTGGCACATGAAGAAAAAGGTGGAGTTTAGAGGCACCGGGCACTGAGGAGAAGAACCTAAGAACCGCAGACAGCGTACCCTGGGGCTGTCTCCTGGATGAGGCCTGGCATTAGCAATGCCCTGTTCACACACTGCCCAGGGAGCACCAGCACCGGCTCCACAGTTCCCCAGCCTCCAGCTCTGATGCTCTTGAGAGAGCTTTTTGGTACAGAGAACTGTGAGGGCTTCCTGCCTGAACATGCAAGATGTGTGTGAAAAACACACACAGCCCAGTCTCTCGGCACGGAAACAACTGTCTTCTACAGCGTTTCTGAGTGGTCTGCCCAGGGATCCCTGAGCTGGCCCTTCACCAAGGCTGCTCCACCGAGCCAGCACAGACGGACCAGGAGGGTCCTCAGGTTACTGCAGACACAGCGCCCCGCTACAGCAGTCAGTGGGAAAAGCCCCAGGCCCGGGAAACAAGGCTTGTGGCCACAGACTTGCTGATATGTGAATGCTGTGTGTGTCACGTAGAGGAATGAACTCTACAATCTTATCAAGGCAGATTACAAAGCTGCCACGTTACTGTTCATCACCTAGCTTGAGGAATGAAAGAATTACAAGTGAAAATTTTTTTTTTAATGCCATAAAACACAAAGGTAAACAAAGCTAGGGCAGAAACAAGCCGAGTAGAATAACCATTCCATTTTATGCTTAAAAGGATGTTGGTGTTCAGAGGACTCGCAGACGTGATTAGCCCTCATTGGCTGTGCCCCTGCTGATTAGCTCTGGTGTCTAGACTGCTTTCTCGTTTGGCCTCGGTTTCCCGCAGGTTTTAGGAGAGGCTGAGGTCCTAGCACTGAGCGTTGAACAGTCAGGGCTACGGCTTCCACACCTCTCTCTTGTCTTCCCATTTATTATTTGGACTCTCGAATCCATTTCTACTTGAGCTGCACAGGAATTTGGAAGAAGAAAATGTTTATCTTTGCAGTTAGAAAAGGCATATTTATGCAAAAACCACTTACGGGAATGTCTTTTATAGACTCGGACAATTTTTACAAGGCAGTAATTGGAATCACTGAACTCCTAAAGCCTCAGCTTGTGTAGCCAGCATCTTTTCTGGCAAGGCCTCTCTGTGAAATCTCCAGGCACATCAAGCATCCTCTTCGGAGGGATCGGATTTCGCAGGAAGAGGAAGCCTCATCATCCAGATGAGGAAACAGGCCACCAGGGGCTGGACAGTCCAGCGAGCACCTACTGCTCTGTGTGGCTGCACTCACAGCCACGTTCTCAGGGCCACTGCGACTGTCCTATGTTCATGCTCGCACTGCCCTCCACAAAACCGTCCCGGGAGTTCAGTGGCATTACAGCGCCAGACCCACTGGTGTGAAATTAGAAAGCTGACTTCTGTTTCAAGAACCATAATCTTTTGAAAAGAGATGACTTTCATAGGATTCTTGCCATCTGTATCTTAAATTATATGCTGGAGCAGAGTCTCAGGAAGACCTAACAAGTGACGTCAACTATAGCAGCATCTTCACAAAGTTTGTTGTTCCTTGTTAGAATTCATGTGGATTATGTGTTGAGATAGTATCTGGCCACACAGCAAGCCCTCAAGGTTGAAATCACTCATGATATAAATCTTTAATCTGAGCCCGGGATATAGTTCAGCAGTACAAGCACCTGCCTGGCAAGCGCAAGGTCCTGGGTTTGATTCCCGGTACCAAAAAAAAAAAAATCTTTAATCTGGTTCAAAGTATTTGCAAAATATTCTATGTAACTGGATTCAGCCATGTAGAAATAACTACACTTTGAGTATTTCCCTGGCCAAACAGAAACGCATTTGAATCAAAGGCACCCAGGGGACAGGTGAGGCGCACCCTCTGGAAGTCTCACACCTCTGTGGAACACAGCGCCGAGACCCAGGGAGAACGTGCCCACCGGTGCCCTCTCTTGGCTTCCCATTCACTCTTCAGCTTTGCTGAAACTGACTTCAACAAGGAGTTAAAGGTCCTGCCACCTAATTCCTGCAGCTAACTGATGCTTTCAAATCCTCTCATGACTTTCTGGGCATGCAAATATCCCTCTCTTGGTTTCACTGCCCTATCCAGGGCTGCAGAGGATGTTCTGACAAGATTTTGTCCTCCTTTGTTAGCTGAGGTCTTCAGGGTTATATCTGCTTAGCTTTTTCTTACTCTAACGCTGTAGGCAAACTCGTCTACTTTCATTAACATTTCACTAGTAATTTTCAAATCTCTACCTCTAGTCCAGCTTTCTCTCCTGATTTCCAGAGTCTGAGATCCAGCTGCCCAATGACACCTCTACTTGCATATCCTCCACGTGCACTGAATCAAATCCATTGGAAGTTGAGAACAGCCTGTCTGAACATCAACCCTCACCTCTGCCATGCTCCTATGTCCCCATCCCAGGGATGCACACAACTCTTCACCTGGCTGTCAGACCACACACTTGGAGTTGCCCATGTTACCTTCTGTACCTTTCTCTGCAAGTGCCTATGCAGTCACCAAAAAACTGTCAGGCCTCTGCATCTTTATCTGCTACCTTATCTCTACTGCTGCTATACTTTGGATCTCCAACGTCCCATTATAGTCCATGAGTTAAAATTGGTCCAAAGGGTGGTGCTATTGACGAAGGTGGAACCTTTAAGAGGGGGACTGTAATGGTTGATACATTGTGCCAACTTGGGGAGTCTAGAGGTTTGGCTACGTGACTCAGCAGGAAGCCAGGGTGCTTACTTTGTACACATCCTGAGCCTGTGGAAGAGGAGGGCATGGAGATTATGTGGGAGCTACACGCCCCTCAGGTGGGGGTAGCCTGTTTACAAAGTAAGGCAGGGAAAGAAGCTGCTTGCCGCCATTCCTCCATTTTGCTCTGGCTGTTTGCTGTTCGGCTGCCATTCCCCCCTTTGCTCTTGTTGCTTTGCTGTCTTCTGCCTCGGAGCCAGCCAAGTATGGACTGAAACCTTCACACACTGTAAGCTAAATAAACCTTTCCTTCCTTCATTTTGGGCGTTGGATATTTTGTCTCAGCAACGAGAGAAAATTAACCAAGACAGGGACCTAGAGGGAGGTCTTTAGTTCATTGGTATTGTGCCCAAGAAGAGGACTGTGGGACCCTCTGCCCTCTCCTCACTCTTTGTTACTTCCTGGCCATGAGATGAATGGTTCTGCTCCACCACATGCTCCTGCCATGAGACGCTGCCTCACCAGTCATGGACCGGACCCTCTAAAATTGTGAGCCAATATAAAACCTTTTCTCTATAAAAGTTAATCTCAAGTGTTTTGTTATAGTGATAGAACCCTAACTAACACATCTTTAGAACACTAGCACCTCTCATCTTGATGAAGGTAATAGACTATAAAAGGACAGTCTGACCAGCAGTCACAGCTGAGACCCCTCCAGGACTTCCACATGCTTTTCAGCTAAATGCCAAACTATTCATACTGCCTAATGAGGCTCTCTGGGATCCAAACCTGGCCCCACTTTCTAGCCCTCTCTTCCTACTCCTCGTGTCTCCACTTGCCTTTTACCTGAACCCTCTCATCTCCTTGGCTCAGTCTTCTTTCACTTCAGATACCACACACAGTACCTGCGTGCACACCCGCCAGTGCCGGCTGAAACTAAATGGCACCGCGTCCCAGCTGTTTCTCAGACAGCAGTGAGGCAGCCTGCCGCCCTGTATCCTGTACCAGGTGATGCAACCTGCAAAGCAACGTTCTCTCCACTCAACGTGCATTTCATCGTCTACAAAAAATCTGCCAAGACTCTGGGAATGTGCAGGAGTGTTTCAAACTGAAACCCCTCCTACACCTTACACTTTGGAAGCATTTATCACATGCTCCTTTCTCCCAGAATGCTGAAAAAGCCCTAAACAATCTCCCAAAACCCGGTCAGGTGTCAGTTCCACTCCGTTTCCTTTACTGTCCCTACCTTGTATGTTGCAGATACTACACTGCATCATAACCTCCTTTGCTCCTGTTGTGCTCCTTTTATTTTTATTTTCGAAGTAATAAATGTGCACAGTTTTGAAAAGTTGAAGAGGATTTTGCTTGTAGTAACTGGATTACCACAAACTGCAAATTTTCATGTCAACCTTCCCACAGAGAAGCAACTGGAAAACGCACTGAAACATTTGTTTGAAGTCACTAGAGCAACACCACGGCACCGAGGTAAACAGGACCAAGACCCTGAGCAGATGAAAGCAGAGAGGGTTGGTTCAAATTCAGGGCTGCTTTTTACCTCAAGGCATCTCTGAATTTGGAACTGCAGCCAAGAAGTGGAGGAGCTGAACAAAGCCCGCCCAAATCTCAGGGGGCCAGGAAGACAGTCAGTGTAGGGCTGAGCCCAAGAAACAGAATCACTCTGGTAAACAGCAAGACCCTGGATGGGACACTCAAAAGGCCACACCCTACAAGGCCAACTGGAAACAGACCGTCCAGTTTCCGGACGGTGCAGTCCTTGCTTATGATGGCGCGGCCTCTACCTTCGGCCCCTCCCAGAAGCGTTTCTGCAGCACACATCAGCTTGCTTCATGTTGGCGTCCCTCCTCCCGCACATTCTGGAGTTCTCACCCTCTCACTCTACCCGTGACTGTCTTTCATCTTCGAAAGTTTCACTGCCATCTTACTTGTTGTCATCCCTTATTCTCTTTGGCTTTTAAAAAATTTCTCTGCTTTAGTGGGACTTCTGACGTCAGAGACAGTCCTAGAAGTTTGTCATTACCATTTGTCAATGGTATGTCAATGCCATTACTATCAAACTAAAGAGTCTAACAGGAGTGATCCACAAATAGTCTAGGAATCATTCTATTACTCATTGTATGCTTAGGAACAAGCCTGGTGACCAACACATGGAAAGTGCTCAAAAAATATGTTGTGAACTGCTGGGAGAGAGGCAGGACTGCTGCTGAATCAGCGACCGCCCTTTCCAAGCCCCAAGGGGGCTCCACCTGGCCACCCGGCATCATGACAGCCCTGGGGGTCTCACCTGTGTAGTGCTCGTTGCCTTGAGCAGCACAGGTGAGGAGCTGCGCCATGGAGGAGCCCACCGCTTTCGAGGTGCTTCCCAGGTCCTGAGCACATTTTTCCAGCTATAACGACATCCAGAAAGGAGAGAACTTAGAGGGAAGGAAACATTCACCAGTCTCAGCATCATTTAGAACAATAAAGCACAGCAAACCTTACGCATGAGCTCTTTCCCATCCAATATACCCACAGTACTCAGCAGCAGCAGCAGTACCAGCAGCATGGGACAGAAAACAGCCCGGCTTTACAGTCAACGAATCTGGGTGCACACCCTGCCCCTATTACTAGCTGTGTGAGCTCTCCAAGCCTCAGTTTCCTGAAACTGTAATACCTAGCTGAAAAGACTTTCAGAAAATGAATGTAGAGTCTCCACAAACGCTAGCTACTAGCATTATGCCTTTAGAAGCTAATTTAGAAAGTCTGTTTGTTTTCTTTTTTTTGCGGTACCGGGGATCACACTTACAACCTTGCGCTTGCCAGGCAGGCGCTTATGCCACTGAGCTATATCTCCAGCCCAATAATTTAGAAAGTCTGAAATGATTCCTTTATGGGTATTCATTATGCCTCTGTAGAAAGTGGGCAGACATTCAGTTTTACTATGTTTCTGTCATATACACGATTAACATTGTTCAGTTTGATCATTACGCTTTAAAGAGGTCCAATAGAAAGGAAATCCACGAGTAACAGAGGTTTCGGGTGGTAAATGAGAGTATATGAATGGGCAAAGTGCGTGCTTCCTATGATAAGCATGTTATCTTGTTTCGTAAACTTCATAAAAATTTCAGAGAACAGGACAGGTGTGGTGGTGCGTGCCTGTAATCCCAGCACTCAAGAGGCTGGGGCAGAAGAATAGCTGTGTTTGAGGCCAGCCCAAACTACATAGTGAGTTCAAGGCCAGCATCAACTAAGTAGCAAGACTCTGGCTCAAAAAAACAAGCAACGACAACACAATCGGAGAACAGAGCTGGTAAAGACTTAGGGCGTGCGTGATTATTTGCTTAGTAGATGAGGACAACATTTTGGAGGAGAATTTGCACTGCATTGTAAGAGTGCAGAAAGGCAGAGGAAAACATACGCCGTTTTACTAGCTCAATACCTTTCTTGTAAGAGCTGGCCCATTCTAGCAAATAACATAACACAATGCACATTTTCTTCTCCCTCCAATTGCTGTTTTTGCAATAAACTTTTTTATTTTAGGAAAAAATACTTTCTTTAAAACGTATAAGGTGTTTCTCACACCCTGCTTCACCCGTTGTTTCATGTAAGACTGGAATTCACGCACAACAGCTGCTCTGGTCTCCCTGGAGTGCAGAAGTTTGCCCAGACACATAGAGCATTTCCAAAGCTTCGGGATCCAGTGCCAATCCCAACTTGGTCATCAGCTGGGTAACTTCAGCTAAGTGATTCAGCCTCGCAGGGCTGGGGATGTAGCTCAGCAGCACAAGCACCTGCCTGGCAAGTGCAAGGTCCTGAGTTCGATTCCCAGTACCCCCCCCAACACCCCCCCAAAAATTCAACCTCTCTAAGCCTCTTTCTTCAGCTTTACAATTAGGGCAACTTGATTTCCCAAGTATTTCCGAGTGCAGCTTATGTACCAGGCATTGTTGTGTAGTACATTAGAAGCTCCCGGAGTCTGCCTATATTTTAAAAGCCTTTCATTCATTCAAAGGGCATCGATGATTGAGAGCAGCAGCTTTTAGGGCTGGGATGCAGCTCAGTGGTGCATCCTGCCTACCATGCTCGAGGCTGTGTGTCTGCCACGCAGGAGTGCAGGAGTCTGGGTGTGGGAGTCCTGCAGGTGTGGATTCAAACCTTGCTTCTGCCGCTAACTGGCAAGTAACATTGGATATGTCTGTTTACTTCACGGAAATGGGTCTAAAAACATCTGCTCATAGGGTTATTGTCAGGATAAACTAGACTGTGCGCAAGTAATAGGCGCTTAATAAGTGGTGGTATTTTATTAGCAGTGCTCAAAGACATGTGGGAAAGTCAATGTATAGAAATGAGGATTAGTAAAATTTTAGGCCAGGCATCTCGATAAAAGCATCAGGGGTTATCATACTGGGACCAAATTGGACCTCTGGTCCGTTACTCTATCTGTGACTATGGCTTTACAGCAATGAAGGCTTTGCGGCGGTCCATCTCAGTGCCTTGCGCTACATACATGATTTTATTTTAAACACGACTGCTGACCATCTCTTCTGTTTACCATGATGACCTCACGGCCCCCCACTTCACCGATAAAACACCTGAGACACAGAAGTGTGGCAGTGGGTAAGAGCTCTCAGCTGGATGTCTAGACCCACCAGCTGTAGGGAACACTCTTACCAGAAAAAGACTCTAAGATTGGGATTTCTCATCAAAAAGAAGGGTATATGTTAACAGATGTGCGTGTATCCTCTGCAAAACCTCTGGAAAGGATACATACAAGCACTGCTAAAAGTCCCCGCAGGGTGGTCACTATCTGAACGCAGCTCCAAAGCTATGTGGCAAGTCTAGGGCACCAAGTTCCAAATATCTGAAATTCAGGGACACTAACCCCAACTTTTACAAGCGCCTCACCATGATAATATTACAAGCTGAAGCCTACAGCCATCTGGCTGGAACGGCTTACCGTTTCCCCAGGAAGAGGCTTCAGCTGACTCTCCACAGCTGCCATCTTGGCATCCTGCAGCTCATTCTTAAGCGTCTGCACTGTGTTCAGAGCTGAATCGATTTCCATAGGACCACAGGCTTCATGGGCCTGTCAAGAGAGTGAGGAATATGTAATACACAGTCTGCTTGGGAGAAGCATCTCCGATTATAGTAACACTTGGAACACTTTCTGGATATACCCAATGACTCTCTGAGGCCAGGAGTCGGAGGCCAAGGTAGCAACTATTTCCCCAGGGTACAAAACCACGTTCAGTCAGGACCTTAGTCTTACTGTCCCTAAATAATCAACTGTGTACATCTCATCACTGGACATATTTAAAAGTCTTCTTGCACCTGTTTTATCCACAGACTTAAAGGATCCTTTATTCACGGTGGCTATGCTGCAGAAACTGAGCCTTTAACACCACATGTACACACACAGAGGTTCGGAAGTACGCAGTAGAATGAATAAAGACACCACTCCAGGGGCTGGGGATTTAGCTCAGTGACACAGCACCTGCCTGGCAAGTGGGAGGTTGTGAGTTCAATTCCTGGTACTGGAAAAAAACCAAAAAACCAGAAAAAAAAAAAAAAAGGAGACCAATCCAGGACACTAGGGCCAAGTCAGTGCTAACCCTTATTCTCCTTACAAGATTTCCAGATTATAAATCATTACCTTCCCATCCTAAAGATTGTAAAAGTTTTAAGAAGGTTACTTCATTCTCTTAACCATTAAAACACTGGTCTTCAAACCCTGGTGATTTTGTGCAACTAACGCATCATTAATTAATTAAATACATGTGTAATAAATTGATCAGTATACTAATTATTGATGAATTTTAATTTCTTCCCTTTTTATATAATAGTAATAGTAACAGTAGCAGCAGTGAATACTAGTTGATTTTTACGTGCTAGTATTATTAGGTGAGGAAAATGAATCACAGAAGAGGATAACTAACTTTCCCGGGTCACAACATTAAGTCAGTGACAGGGCCAGAATGTAAATGCAGCTTGTCTGATTCCTCAGCCTGAACACGGAAACCTTACACTGCGTAACAAAAGTATTTACAAGCGCTCACCACGCCTTCCTGCACCTGGTGGGCAGTCGTGCTTTCCCCCTCCTCTGGAGCTCGCCGTTCCAGAGCTCATGTTTATTGTTGCTAGGGTTTGGGCGCAGAAACCCGCATTCCGACAAGCACCCTTGGTGACTCCAGGACCTCTCTGTGGAACAGCGCACACACTTTTTGATGGCCATCGGCTAACGCTCTAGGTAGTTTTCTTTGGCAATGTGGCGCGCTGCTCACATTAAGAATGCATGTCAGCCTCTGCCCGCTTTCCTTGTCTCTATACAGGAGCTGCTGTCATCAGCATTCATGAATTCTCACTAGAACTTCACGCTAACACCACACCAGAGTAGGAATGAGGGCCTTTGGTAATTAATAAGCTTTAGAAAGAGCAATGTACTTTGATCCAAATTGTGTTTTATTGAGAACTTTGTAAAGTGAATGCTTCCATGTAAAATACAAAAATTTTCTAAGGAAAAAAAAAAAAACATATAGTAAAGATGACCCCTGCAGTTAGATTTTCTGCCTAAATCATTTACTAAATTCTCAAGATGCTATCTGGAGAGAGGATTACTTATTGCTCTGTTTCATACCTGAAATCCCCCCCAAAAGATCCAGGTTTAGGCGTGGTCCCCAGGCTTTCTTACTGTCTGGAGGCAGTAGAATACTTAGGAGGAGGGGCCAGGTGGCAGGAAGCTATGTCACTGGGGGTTCGACCCTGAGGGGATAATAGGACCCTGGCCGCTTCCTATGTCCCTCTCTTTTGCTTCCCAGCCATCACGTGGTGAGCAAATCTTCTCTTACGTCCATCCCTGATGACGTTCCACAAAAGTCATCTCTAATCACAAGACGATAACCAAGTCTGGGAGGTAGCACTAACTGCAGTAAAAGCCAACCAATGGGAGTTATCTTCAATGGTCATGCATTTGGAATGGACACCTCTGCCAGGAAACAGATCTAGCTGTGCTGAGACCCTGGGCAGCACCCACACCACACCAGGAATACGAAATGAAGCGCTTCACCCCTAGCGAGTTGGACTTGAGACCAGGTTGGACTTGCCTTCTGCGAGGCCGTTCGCAGCTCAGCCAGGCTGGTCGCTAGGTTCTTGGCACACTGGCTCAGCTGCATGGCTGCGGCCTGGTCACTCACAGTGGGCACCGCAGCCTTGGCGGAGGACACCATCTTGCTTCCGGGCTGTGAAGAGATGAGCAGAAAGTGAGACGGCTCCTGGGCCGTAAGAGGCAGAGACCCCATGGCAACGTCTCCACAGTGACCGGAACTTATTTTTTCCTAAAAATAGAGGGACATCAAACACCAATTTGTTTTATACTCTGACCCTAAAATTACCACCCTAAATCAGATACTAGGGCAGTATGCATTCTAGAGTTTCTTGTTGTTTTGATTTTTTGTTTGCTTGCCTTTTTGAGGCAGGGTCTTGCTATGCAGTTCAGGCTGGCCTTGAACTCACTTTGTAGCCCAGGTGGGCCTCGAACTCACAGCCATCCTCCTGCCTCAGCCTCCCGAGTGCTGGGATTACAGGCGGGCACCACCACACTAGGCCTAGAGTTATTTTTTTAAAAGTCTGTTTGATAGTTGGTGGAGCAGGCAAGGTAAAATTAGCAGCTTAAAATTCTCATTTAAAACAGATTTCAAAGACAGCTCTTTTAAGATAGGTTCCTTTACATTTCTCAAAATTGTTCTCTACTCCGAATTTCAAATATATCCAATAAGCTATTTTGAAAAATGAAACCAAATAACATAACCTCACATCTCATAAGCCAAAATGATTTCACTATACATGGGTGTCCTATTCGATCAAAAATAAGATACTATAATGCTGTTTTCTTTCAGAATCTCTTTGTTCCATGGACTGGAATATTTTATTAGCCATGTCATACTCTATTATAATACCTGTTAATATTCCCCAATCCCCTATTATTGGGAGTGTTTTCATTTTTCTTCAATGTATTAAGCAATGACCAATCAATAGGTAAATGTGTGTACATATTTATAATTTTCTTTTGTTTTGAGATGAGGGTCTTGTTATGTTGCCCAGACTAGCACTGAACTCACAATCCTCCAGCCTCAAACTTCTGAATAGCTGCTTTGTATAAACTTTTACAAGTAGAATTTCAGGATCAAAAAGCATGTACACTTTAAGGCTTTCAATACACATACTACAAAACTGACCTTAGAAGCGTTACAACAATTTAAATGCCAGATCATAAACATGAAAGAAAAAGTTAATACTTCTAATATTTAAAGAATTAATGAGAATATGAAAAACCAGCATGACTGCACCAAAGCATGAACAGATAATTTCACGTGACAAAAACAAAGCAGAGCATATGAAAAATGTTTCACATTGTGACAAGCAAGGAAATGAAAATCAAACGAACCTTACAGAGAAAACTGGCAAATGTGGTTTTTTTAAAGCACTTAACACTCCGTCTTATAAAAGATGTATTAAAAGCACGCTCCATATACTGCTAGTTATAAATTTAGACTTGTTCAGCCTTCTGGAAGGGCAATTCTACAACGTGTAGGAAGGAAGTTTAAAATGCATAAACTTGCTGGGGGTGTGGCTCAGCGTTACGGCGCTTGCCTCACTCACGCAAGGTCTGATGTGCAGTACCCACATACACACATACAAAACAAGGTATAACCCTTTGGACCTGTCTACTCTATTGCTATTTATTTTTAACTTTGCCTTTTCTTGTAAAGATCTAAGTATCTATGATGACAAAGTTAAAAGGGCAGGGACAGTGGAACCAGGAACAGACAACACACACATCAGCTGGTTCCAGGACCGCTCGTGAGGAGACGCCTTGTCCGAGTCACACATTTGAGTGTCCTGAAATTAGAACTAAGTTGTTTTCAATCTTATTTTTAGGAATTTATCACAGAGAAGTAATTCAAGAGGGGAAGAAAGATTTGAGTACAGAAAGAAAATCCTATCACCAGTTGTTCTAGGATGGCAAAACATGTAAAATCTTGTACAGCCAATGCTGAGAAGGTAGCTAAACACACAATATGGCCACTCGGTAGATTATTCAAAACCATAAAGGTCCAGATGGTAAATGGAAAACCTAAAGGGTCAGCCAGGCATGGGACACATGCTGTAACCCCAATACACTGGAGGATGAGGCAAGAAAACTGCAAGTTTGAGGTCAGCCTGGGCAACTTAGTAAGTCCGTATCTCAAAATTCAACTTCAAAAGGGTTGCACGAGGTGCTGGGTTTGACCCTAACTGCCACACAAAAAAGAAACAAAACAGTAATAAAACACAAAGGATTTATATACAATGCATCACAATTCAAAAATTGCACATCCTCACACAATCTCTTTGTGCATCTGTGTATACCTTAAAGATGCAAAAAAATAAAAACTTCCATGTTTTATTTCTGCACGTTGAGGTTACAGCAGAAGATAAACTGACCCAGTGAAGGTCCTGCAACTATGGGTTGAACTAGAAAGGGTTGCGGAGCTGAAATGCATCCTCGTATCAACGGTTCATGAGGTGTAAGCAGAGACAAAGCGCTGATAGAGAGGTGTGAATACAAGCACGCAGAAGGGAGTTTTCTCATGATGCTGTCATTGCACCCAGTTTTCCTTAAAGTGAATCTATGATACTGTGGGTGGAGCTCAGTGGAATACAACTTGCCTGGCATACACAAGCCTATAGGTTCATCCCCAACACCACAAACCAAGCTAAACCAAACCAAACCAAAAACCCCCAACAAATCTACCCTTCTTCACCCCACAGAGGACTGACAGTCCCAACTCACAGCCAGTGGCCACCAGGAACATGCTCATATTTGGAAAAGAACACATGAAACAACTTGTGTGTTCCCGGTCCATGAATAAGGGCAGTAGGTGCTGCAGAAACCCAGCGCACGACCTGGTCCTGGGCCATTCATCACTATTTGCAGCTTACTGCAATGTTTCCTCTCTTCAGGGAAACATGAGTAAGGCACTCCTGAGAAAGATGGGTTGCACGCTGTCTCCCCAGCACAATTCCCTGAATGTTAGCATCTTGCTTTGACAGGTGAAACCTCCTTCTCCCAAAACTGGACAGGCGAGGTTGTAGCCAAGGCTACGGGATTCACCCATTCCCCTCTGTAAGGACTAAGGGCAGCCCCTGTCCAGCTGGGGGCGCCACGGAAGGCCAAGGTGACCGCTTCTCTGTTACCTGGAGAAAGTTCTGGCTAGAGATGATGAGCGCCAGCTGCGCGCTGAGGTCCTCCGCTTGCGCTTGGCTCCCTCGCACGCCCTGGACCAGCTGAGGAATGTGATCCGCCACAGCCTGCAAGGAGCCAGGAGACAGAAACTGAGCACAGGCAGAGGGCGGCAACTAACAAAAGACGGCGGAAGATGACGCAAGTGACTTGTGTTTGGATGAGCCAGCTGTGCCCAAGGGACGCGAGTCCTGGCACCTGGATTTACCCAACATGCTTAGCTGCGTCCTCACCAAGCCTGAAACTCGTTCTGAGTGCTTCTTCCCCATGCCCTCTACTTGTGGTCCCAAAGATCTCGATGTGTTTGGGGCATGATGATTCTGTGTAACAAAACCTTAAGAGAATTTCTCTAGATGTCATAGGGTTGCACAATCAGCAGCAAAGGATCTTCGCGATTCACAGACGGATAAATTGAAGTCAGATGGTCCCGTGATGAGAAGAAATCGGGAGAAATACTCAGCTACTGCATATGGAAGTGCTCGGGGCTCTTACTCTGCACGCGTGCGTTCCGTGTACCAGCCCTCACGTGGTCGTGGCTCGTGCTTCTCTATTCTGAGCAGTATTTACTGTTTCCCAAACTGAAAAACCTAAAGCCCAGCAGGGAGTGAGACTGGAGCCGTATTCACACAGCAGGACTGCTGTTTCCTGTGCTGCCTAACAGGCCAGCCTTCCTCCTTCTGTGGTTCCTTCTGAGATTTCCCTCTCAGCCCACTCCCGCTCTGATGAGCCAGCCTTCGGGGGTACAGTAGCTCGGCCACCATTGGTGGTAAAGATGTCCAGTGCATCCTGGCCTAGTGGCTCATTTTTCTCCAAAAACCCATTCCAGAAAGAGGTAAAAAAAAAAAAACCCTTCCGCGTCAATTTCCCCAGCCTTCCTAGGCGTGCTGGTTCTGGGGTCTTTGGTCCACTTTTCTTTATCCACTTCGAGCTCATGAACAGCACTCCTCTCATTTCCTGGCAGTGACACTCAGAGACATAGCATCTTTGGGCTCCACGCAACAGAGAGACAGAAGACTCACCCTGTCATGTGTCCCTCCACATGAGAGCACATGCTCTCCAAGAAGGGGACAGGCAGCTGAACTGAGGCCTGAATAGGAAGCACCCCGCACCCCTCCGTCCCCAGGCACAGCTGCCTGGGGCCCTAGCATCGCTGAGGGGACGGAGGACACCCAGAGTTCACCTCTGCAGCCTCCACTAACACCGCTTCAGCAGACCCCAGCCGGATGCGTACCCACGTGTGGCCACTGCTCTGCACGGGGACTCTGGGCCTGCCACCGCTCAGAGGTGTCCAGGCAGAGGCAGCTCCCCAGGCCCAACAGAGGGCACAAAGGTGGCTGTCGTCACCTCAACGCGGGACCAAGGCCCAGTCTTGGACAAGCGAGTCATACCAGAAAGCACCAGAGCACAACTTCACCAAGGCAAGAAAGGAAGAAATAAACCCTGCAGACAGAATTAGCAGAAAGCGGGAAATCAACCTAGCAACAAGGAGTAAAGACTGCGTGTGAAGCGCCCGCCCGTCAAAGAGGGGAGCCTAGGGAGACACAGCCCTTCATCACTATCTCAGAGCCCTCGAAAGGCCTCCTTCCTAATTCCTTGATGCAGTCCCTTGAAAAGGAAAAAAGGGTGACAAAGGGAAGACAATGGTGGGGAAAAAGTACATACTCTCCTCTCAAACACAGGCCTTCAGTTAAGGGACAAAAACCAGACACCAGGACAGCTGGAACGTGGAGTTGGGATCAACGAGATTAAGGCTGGCAAGACCTGTTTTGAGTGAGCTCCCCGGGCATATGGCACGCTGATCCCATCCAGGCTGTCACAGCAGAGCTGGGCTTCTGCGCTCCAGGCCGGAAACTCACCTTGCAGCTCTGGACCAGCTGCTGCTGCGCTGCAGGGTTCTTGTTGGAAATGGCTGCGTTCTGGGAGGCAGCGATGGTCTGCGTAGCTGCCGCCGCTGCCTGCTTGGCTGCGACCTGTGAAGGAGGATGGGACAGGTCAGTGTGGGTTTGCAGAGAGTAACACAGACACGCATGCACGATGTCACTTCCTCCACAGGCGCACACGCTGTGCCGCTGCAAGAACTCCGGGAATAGATGCCACCTTTTAAAACCTTTTGAAAGTCACTATCTGCCCTGCGTGCAACAGAGACGGGCATGCGTGAGAGCTCAAACTGCAGCGTATTGCAGTCTTTTCTTAGAAAGACAAAGGACAATCCCAAGACCATGATGGCACTGATAACTAGCAGCACCAAGGCTAAATGTTCAGGGGAAAAAGATCTCGCTCAGGAGCGCAGGCTGCTCTCCACGTCAAGCACAAACGCAGCTGTCCATGACCCTCCCCTCTCAGCGCCTGGAGCCCCTGGCTCAGAAATGCAGGTAAGCTGGCTGTGAGGGCTCAGGCCTATAATTCCAGCACCCAGGAGGCTGAGGCAGGACGATCACTGGGAGTTCAAGGCCAGCCTAGGCCGTACAGTGAGACCCTGTTTCGAAACAACAACAAAAAAAGAATAAACGAAAAAGAAGGGCACATACTGCGCCCCTGGGCACCCCATTGAGTTCGTGCCCTTGTCTTAGCAAGGAGGCCACTTTCCTTCCACAGCACAGCAGACAGATTCCTCCTTAGACAGGCAGGCACTCAACCCGTAACCCCTCATCTTCTAGTGTAAAGGTCTTCTGAGCATACTCATGGGAGAAATTAAATGTTTTGTTCCATGGTTTTATTACCATTTCAACTCTTTCATCAGAAAAAAATATTCTGAAAAATGAAACAAATATTTCTTCTTACTCTCGCCGGTACCTCTCTCTAACCAAACCTGATTCCCCCACCGGTCTCTGAAAGTCCTTGTTTTCCATGGCAAGCCCTGAACAAAGTCATGGCCTCTGGCAAGATGTAAACATTTTCAGTGACCGGTCCTTCCTGAATATGGGCACCGTTTCGTGTCAGGGAAGAGTACCAGTTCTGATTGAAAACTGTCTGCTTTCTATTCCTCAATGAGCGCAAGGATCATTGCTTTCAAAAGGCACAAATCAAAGCAATTTTCTCAGATTGTGCCAATGCCTTTAAATTATCTCAACTATCCACCAAGGCTGTTAACCTTGATTTAGCTTCCTTTAAACACACCTCACTTTGCTGACTCAACTATTTTTTCCACGTGACTCTTTGCAATCTAAAATAGGAATCCCAAAAAGTCAGCCTCTTTCCTGACCTCCAGCCGGTTGACAATTTTCTTCTTAATAGCGTTCTGCGCTGCAGCGTTGGTGGCTACCCGGAGACCTTCCGCGGCTTCTCTTAGCCTGTGCTGCTGATCCTCGTTGTCTGGGTTGGCTGCGGCCCCCTGCAAAGGTGAAAATAAAGATCGCAAGTGCTCCAGGGGACAGAATGCCACCATCACTGGGTACATACCTTTATGTATGTATCTGTTCCTTTCCCCTAGGTCTATAATGTGCTTGGAAGGGAAATCCAAATGCGATAGGCAATAGATGTAGGATAAAGATGTTTACAACTAAAAACATCGATCCAAGGAAGCTTCAAAGCTGCCTGGCTAGCCAGTATCCAAGGGTAATAATTAAATGCTAGCGATCACAGCCTTGGTCATTCATACAAATCACTCTGTGGTCAGAAATCTGTGGATTAAAAGACATTAAGACCTCACATGTGATCCCACTGAAATGTATGAATTTTACATTTTTATGTGTCAGTTAAAAATAAACCTAAATAAATAAAAAGAAATACATTTTGTTTTAGGCTGGAGCTTATAGATATACATATAGAGAATAAAGAAAGGGCCCAGTAATTTTCTTCCAGAGGATGGCCATTAATGCCAGCAGTATTTACTTTTTTTTTTTTTTTGGAGACAGGGTCTTCCGATGCAGTTCAGACTGGCCTTGAACTCACTACGTAGCCCAGATGGGCCTCGAACTTGTGCCTCAACTTCCTGAGTACTGGGGTTACAGTTGTGTACCACCATGCCCGGCACTATTTACTTTTTATTCTCTTTTTATTGAGGTAAAATATGATTGCATCCAACATGACTGTCTGAAACTTACGAATACAAGAGACAAGTTTTGGGCAACTTGGTAAATTCAGAGAATCGGTACGGGGACATTAAAAAAACAAACGTGCCTATCAGCCCTGGCTCAGTCTGGTTATGTGATGTTTGGCTCAATCTTTTGAAGTCTCCACTTTGTCAAGTGTAAAATGAGGCACGGACTAGATTTTCTCTATAACTCTTCCCATCCTAGCATGTAATTTTTATTTTTTACAAACATGAAGGTTTGTTTGATACGGCTATATATAGATTTCAAAGGGGAAAGAAGAAAATACTAATAAACTTTAAGAAAAATAACCACTACACAAAACCGTAATACTGCACATCTTTTTTGCTAAAAAGGGGTGGTTAAAATCAGAGGTCCTTGGCTGTACCAGGTAGAAGAAAGCAGTTCAGATCCTACTTCTTCCTTGATCCTTCTATTCCCCCTTTCTTTTACGTTCATGAATCTTGACCCTTGGGGGGAGGGGCAATAAGAAAATTCTGCATGGTTCATACAAGTCACAACATATTTTAAGTAAATTCACAAACCTGGTTAAGACACAGTTCTACTCCACCGGCACCAGGGAGATAAGATGTAAAGATGTACGATGAATTTTATATGTGTAGAATCCATTAAAAATGTTATTGTGGGAGCAGGGAGTTGAAGGTTATTTTTATTTTCTTTTTTGTATTTATTTGCATTTGCTATTCACTCCACAGGAAATGTATGCTACATGCATAGTAAAAAAGGATAAGATGGCCTTATCCATGTAAAACAGTTCTCACCTAGAGGTACAAATCAGGATATCCTATGTGAGACACAGACAGACACACACACACACACACATACACACACGGTCTCACCAGGGATCTTAGGAATCCGGGTCTTTGGGGATGGAAATGGGGCATGTACCTTCTAGTACATTATGAAGAGCTTCAAAACAGACCCTGTTAAGAATCGCTGCCTTTCAGAAGCATGGTACTATATAGTACAGGGGTCAAAACACACGAAGCGAACTTTTACCCTTATACAGGGTGAAAATCTGAAATCCAAAATATTACCAAATCTGGACCTTTGTGAGTAGAGCTGGATCTCCGGTTTTCGGATTACAGATGCATGACCAGTGAAGTCTATGCCAATCTTCTAAAGTTTATAAAAACTCCAAAATCTGAAACCCATTTTAGCTGAGAGACTCAGGCTGCACAAGATTTACAATTGCGGTTGGAAAAGAGGATGGTGGGGTAAGAAACACTCTGCTATGTGAAATCTTGCTAAGAGTTTAGTTGAGAAGTCAAATGAAAGGCAAGATAACACTGAGGCTAAAGTACAGGCGAAGTCACTGCTGAAACTCTCATTTAAGTAAGACTCTTACAGTGCAGAAAGAGTCCCTGGATACCCAGGGTGCCCTGCTGTTTGCAGCTGAGCGTTTCTCCCCCTGAAGAGTTTCCGTCTCATGTTCAACAATATGCTTTGCTCTGGGAACCAAGCCATGCGGGATTTAAACAAGAGAAATGCACCCTCAGCTGACCATCCTATGTCTTGCACTCAGGAAGGTGTGTGTCAAACCCGAACGATTACTAGCATTCACTTCTCAGACCAGCAGCTGCATGCCGTACCTTCGCTGCTTCCACCATGCGGGCAGTGGAGTCGGCCAAGAGCTTTGCTGCTGCCAGCAGCTTCTTTGAATTCTCCATGTCGATTTCGGCCTCCGCATCTGATCTCATGGCATTGACGAGGTCGGAAGTGGCCTGGGCCAGCACTCGGGCCTGGCGCACCATCTCACCTAGAGGGTGGGACAGGGGATTTGGACTGTTTGTTTGCTTTCTACAGTGAGTTCAATCTCAGGAGCTGGTGTGCTTTTGTCCCTACTCCTGTGGCCAACAGGAGAGAGGGGAGAGAACTTCCACGATCTATCTCTGAGCGGTGTGCTCAAGTTCCAGGCAGAGCTGAAAGTACCCTCCACAGCTGCCAGGACAGTATTCCCCAGACATACCCAAGCTGAACTTTTAACTACGTGGGTTAAACATGGCACAAGTAACCAAAGAGGAGCCCTTTGCAGAGGGAAGGCAGGGGACATGATCACAAGGATTTACCCTCTTTAAACACTTACTTAGAAAACACTGTTTACCTTACTTTAAGAGCTGCTTACACAATAACCCCTGTAATAAACTCTTTGAGGAATGCAGACAGGAAACATTTATTTTAAATTCAGGGTTTGCATGCTACCAACAACCAGATGAGGGATGTCACGTAACCCACTGTATTTGGGTCATCTGGTTCTCCCTCGTATGGCAGGAATAAGGGACCACAGCTTCACGCTCAAGGGCTCGGATATGCCCCGGCCCAGAGTCTTCTATTCAGTGTCCTCTCTGGTCACCTTTTTCTTCCCGGCACCCATCTGGATCTTGTTTTACTCATCCTTTGGTCTGATGGTGTTTGTGATTTCACTGGGATCTATTTCAACTTCCTTTTAGACGTGGGGAGGGTATAATGATCGACGTTAAAAATAAAACCACTCCATAAACAGGACCGAACCACTCCTCTCCCACAGTTCATTTGAGAAGAATGCTAACTAAAACACTGTAGCATTAGGGGGAAGAAAAAGCTTTAACCATAAAAATGTGTTGAATTCAGTGTGGCGCCCGGGATTGGATTCTGGAACGGTGCAAGGACATCTGTGGAATAACAGAGAATCTGAATACTCTCTGTGATTTCACGAACAGTTACACACAGTGCTTATCGTCTGGTTTGGACAAATGGCCATGCATTAGGGAAGATGTCAGAAATGGAAGAAGTGCTACAGCACACGGGAACTGTGTGTTACCCTCTGCGACTTTTGGTGAATGTAGTATTCCAAAAGAAAACATTTATGTAAGACACAAAATAGGGCACGAACAACCCAAAATCCAACTGCGTGGAATACTCCTATTTTGTTAATTCATTAGAGGATTTAAAAATGCACAAAGTAATTTTCTCGGAGAAGAACTTGTTAGAAAGAATTGCTCTGTGCTGGCAAGGAAGTAGGAAAACAGATTTCTTACGAACTACTGGTATAATTGCCAACGGTGCAAGGTTTTTTGGAGAGAAAGTTCATAAAAAATTTAAAACGCATGTACCCACTGGTCTAGTATTTCTATCAATAGGGATTTACCCTATATACATGGCCACAAAATGAAACTAAGATATTCTTTTGAGAATACTTATTGTAAGCCAGGAGGATCCCAAGTTCAAGCCCAGCCTGGACAATTTATTAAGACCTTGTCTCAAAATAAAAAAGGGCAATGGATGTAGCTCAATGAGTAGGCCCTGGGTTCAATTCCTAGCACCAGCAAAACAACAAAAACCCCAAAAAATCTTACTGTAGTATCATATTAAAAAAATCTAAACCAACGAATTTGGAAACCAGCTAAATGTCATTAAAAGATAACTGACTGAGTAAATTATGACGCCTCCAAAAATAAAATATGACCCTGCCACTAAAAAGATCAATATATGTAGGTGCACATGGACGAGGGCCTCCTGCTCCATTCCTCTCACACACACAACTGTGGGAAGGTCAGGATTTTTGCCGAATGAGTTAATTACAGCTGCTCTTGCTGCAAGCAGTGAAGAGGGTAACCGTGAAAGGACAGGTACGATCATATATCCCACTGCAGCACCATCTTACTATGGATATTTTTAATCTTAGGATGCACTCTTGTGTAGCTTAAATATAAACAGCAAAATTTACTTCCAAAAAACCCCCAGAAATTATAAGTGGTTAATTGTGGGGATTTAGAGGACATACTGAAGTGAGTCCTGGATCTTTTTCTGAGCCTCAGGGAGAAAGTCTTGGGCTGAGATCAATGAGAACTAGCTCTTGTCAGTCATCCTTCAATTATTCTGTAGAAAACTGTCTCCATGAGGGAACCCCAGACCCGTCCTTCCGCCCACAGCCGGGGCCTCACCGGCATCGCCCATGGAGCTGAAGATGCTCTCCGTGACACACATGATGGTGTCGGTGGCCTGGTCGTAGCGGCCAATGGGTTCTCCTCGGCTGGCAAACTGCCGCACGTGCTGCAGGAGGTCGTGCAGGGCCTGGCTGACCACGCTGGCTGCCGCGCTGACCTGCTTCAGCAGCTCAGCGTCGGTGGTGGCCGCCTGGCAGGCGCGGACGCAGTTCTCCACCGAGCGGTCCACGAGCTTGCCCGCTTCGATGAGCTGCTCCTGGCACACCGGGGAGCTGATGGTGGGGCTCACGACCTGCGCAAGACAGGAGCGGGGCATGGCGACCGCAGCTGAGGCTGGTCCCCGGTGTGCGAAGCATCCTGAGTTCCTCTGCACCCTGGGCCTGCGTTCCTTCCTTACAGCATTAGAGACTCAACTAAACCATTGCTGTGGCTCCCACACGCGCTGCCCTTTATCTTGGGGCTTTAGATGTCCTGCTTTCTTACCTCCTCAGTAGTCAGGCAGCACAATCCATTACTGCTCTGGGAGGGAAACATTTCTGGTATTTGCCAGTCACACTTCCTTTCTCCTTAGCTCCTTTGAGGCCAGTCTTCTGGACTGACATCAGATGACTGAAAGGAATCCTATTTCCTGTCGTAGAGGCACCTGAACTCTATCCTTATGGTAAAGACCAGAGGGATTCTGCTGGTCACCTATGGATCCCGCCCTGGCAAGCAAGGAGACCACTGAAGATCCCTCTAGCTAATGTGCAAATCCTAACGAAGGATAAGAAATGCTGGGCTAAGCCAGATCACGATCTACACAGTACACGATGTCAGCAAATGCTGGAATGGAAATGAGCCGTCTTCCGGGAAGAAGATACATATATGGTGGATGAAAAGGGCACTGGGGGTCAGATGGACCCAGCGCTACCATTTATTGTTTCTGTGGCCGTAACCTACTTGCTAATTTTAATGGCCGCGGGTTCCTCATCAGTAAGGAGGGTAATGGTGCTATCGCAACTCGCTGGGGAGCTTTAATGAGGTGATGTGTACACCTTGGACAAGTCCCGTTCACACTCTGACACTGCCTAATGGTAAGTGCTCCCCAGAAAGCTGCAGGTTATTTCTGAACCTTGTACGCCACTGTACCACACGAGGCAAGGACTCTTTCTGAGCGCTATCGGTAAGACAAGTCCACAGAGGAGAGGCAGCAATGTGCCTACAGAAGCAGATTAAGGGCAAGGACCACCTGCCTGCGGACTTGCACAAAGAACAAATGATAAAAGCAGAAGGAGGCAGTGTATCTCCTAAAAGGAGATCCCTAAAGCAAGCTCCCAGCTCAGACAGTCCCTAACAAATTCAGCTCTTGCTCCCCACAAATGACAGAATGCGGACAGGCAGACACAGCACGCTGCAGGCAGGGCAGGGGTGCCAGCCGGCTTACCTTGGCACAGGCCACAAGCTGGGAGGTGGAGAGGGCACACTGCGTGGCAGCAGCGATCACCCTGTTCTGCAGGACAGTATCTTCGGCCACTTGGGCCACATTCTTTGCCTTTAGCACCAACATGGCAGCAGCATTGGCAACCGCTTTGGCCAAGCTCATTAAAACATCCTGTGAAGGGGGAATCCAAGACTACTTGTTATTTTTTAATCATCTTTCTTTCGTATCATAAAAATATAATGTGGCATCTACCTAAAGATTTTATTTGGTCTTTTTCTTCAGAACTGTGGAATTTTTTTTCATTTACTTTTTAAAATGATAACTTATCCTTGAAAATAATTAGGGAAAAAAGACATGCACCTTAATAATGTAGAGTCTTCCTATATCTCGTAAGTAGTACAAATTTAAATCTTTTTTTTTTTTTTTTTGTCTTTTTGAGACAGGGTCTTTTTATGCAGTTCAGGCTGGCCCTGAGCTCACTTTGTAGCCCAGGCTGGCCTTGAATGCACAGCAGTCCTCCTGCCTCAGCCTCCTGAGTGCTGGGATTACAGATGTGTACCACCACCCCCGGCTAAGAGTTACTTTTTAGATCTTAACATCCTCAACATATTTGTCATTGCTTGTTGAAGGAAATCAGTGGAGTGTTGTAGAAACTAATAATTACAAAGGCGAACTCACCAGTGAGATTTTGAGTGTCTCCAGGACAGAGCTCCTAGCTTCCCAGTTGCACAGAGAGGACCAAGTTAGCCAAGGCTCAGAGCGAGGGGCGGGCTGCTGTCCATGCTGACCGATGGGGCGAAGCTGCTCCTGGTCTGTGCTGATGACGTGGGGACTTGAGACCTGCTGAGCGTTTGTCCCTGAAGTGGCTATCACCAGAAAGTCATGTCTTAGACCCAAGCCCTGTGTCCTTCTCTCCAGCCCATTTCTAGGGCCCTGATCACCATGTCCTGGGTTCCTAGCTTGAGTGGGAAGGGGCAGTAGAGGGAGCTGGGTTTGGCTGATGGGGCTTTGTTTAAGTCCCGCTTCTCCTTCAGTCCGGAGTCAGGACCCAGTCATCCACATGCATGGCAGACAGGCTCAGCGAGCAATGGTGCCCAGTACCCCACCCGTCATCCTGAGGAAGAGGGGTTCAGAGGGCAGTGTTGGCTGGGGATGCTGGTGTAGGCCCTCGAGCACAGAAAGACAGGATCAGTCGAGTGGTCCCTGATAATCCTTGGTGACCTCTAAGAGTCAGGGCTCCACTGGGGACAGCGGGAACACTTTTTTTTTTTTTTTTTTTTTGGACAGAATCACATATATTTTATTTTAAAGAGTAAAAGAAGGATAACATAATAATAGGGGGGACTTAGCAAATTACAGACAAAATGGTAGGAAATTA